CCTGAGTCCTGGATCTACAGCCTGAGTCCTGGATCTACAGCCTGAGTCCTGGATCTACAGCCTGAGTCCTGGATCTACAGCCTGAGTCCTGGATCTCCATCCTGAGTCCTGGATCTACAGCCTCAGTCCTGGATCTACAGCCTAAGTCCTGGATCTACAGCCTAAGTCCTGGATCTACAGCCTGAGTCCTGGATCTACAGCCTGAGTCCTGGATCTACAGCCTGAGTCCTGGATCTACAGCCTGAGTCCTGGATCTACAGCCTGAGTCCTGGATCTACAGCCTGAGTCCTGGATCTACAGCCTGAGTCCTGGATCTCCATCCTGAGTCCTGGATCTACAGCCTCAGTCCTGGATCTACAGCCTAAGTCCTGGATCTACAGCCTAAGTCCTGGATCTACAGCCTGAGTCCTGGATCTACAGCCTGAGTCCTGGATCTCCATCCTGAGTCCTGGATCTACAGCCTGAGTCCTGGATCTCCATCCTGAGTCCTGGATCTACAGCCTCAGTCCTGGATCTCCATCCTGAGTCCTGGATCTACAGCCTCAGTCCTGGATCTACAGCCTGAGTCCTGGATCTCCATCCTGAGTCCTGGATCTACAGCCTCAGTCCTGGATCTACAGCCTGAGTCCTGGATCTACAGCCTCAGTCCTGGATCTACAGCCTAAGTCCTGGATCTACAGCCTAAGTCCTGGATCTACAGCCTGAGTCCTGGATCTACAGCCTGAGTCCTGGATCTACAGCCTGAGTCCTGGATCTACAGCCTGAGTCCTGGATCTCCATCCTGAGTCCTGGATCTACAGCCTCAGTCCTGGATCTACAGCCTAAGTCCTGGATCTACAGCCTAAGTCCTGGATCTACAGCCTGAGTCCTGGATCTACAGCCTGAGTCCTGGATCTACAGCCTGAGTCCTGGATCTACAGCCTGAGTCCTGGATCTACAGCCTGAGTCCTGGATCTACAGCCTGAGTCCTGGATCTACAGCCTCAGTCCTGGATCTACTGCCTCAGTCCTGGATCTACAGCCTGAGTCCTGGATCTACAGCCTCAGTCCTGGATCTACAGCCTCAGTCCTGGATCTACAGCCTCAGTTCTGGATCTACAGCCTCAGTCCTGGATCTACAGCTTGAGTCCTGGATCTACAGCCGGAGTCCTAAATCTTTTATTTAATTTTGTCTGAAAAGCATACAAAACTTTAAAGTACCTACAGAGTTCATTTTAAAATTATTAGTTTATATTAGAGTCTGTCCTATTCTGACTTCTGTTATTCCTCACTGTGCGATGATTCAGCCTTCTTTTTTTTCTTTCCCATCTGCAGTTTAAAGCCCCATTAGAATAAAGCTTATCTTATCTAACTCTATGCAGAAAGCCTCCCAGTATTACTCACACCATTGACTTTATGACATTTAAATCCATATTTCTTGACTTCCCACTCAAACTTTGTTCCCACAGCGAAAGTCACATGATCCGGGTTAAAAATAACCGAGGAAACGTCATCAGATGGTGGTGATTCCTAATTGTGCAGAGCAGATGTGAGCGTCTCGAAAAGGGAAGATAAAGACCGCCGTCGTCTCCAAACATCACCTTGGCAAGTTTTTTAAAAAAATCACACGCCGCCAAAACCGATCCAATCCAATCCGATTCTTCTTCTTATCAAAGCATTCTAAGCCTCCAAGAGAAAAATCCAGATCTAAAACACATTTAATAACTACATCTATTCAAAGTTGGGATTCATTACAGTTTGCGAAATCCACAGCAGGTTTTTAAACGACTTGACTTCATCTAATTTCAGTGGATTACAAAGGTTCAACCCAGACGGAGCTGTTTCGTTTATAGTTTCAATGGAGATGACTCACTCCTGCTCTTTCTGATGACACTTGTGGAAACCGCAGTCAACTCAAGAGGCTGAAATGAATATAACGACCAGACAAGGCGCGTCCATAACACTTCGAGACCAGTTTTTAAAGCTGGGGTACCTGACTATCAAACCATGAAAAACGACTATGAAACGCATTTTGTCGTTGCTCCTGGCTCTAAAACAGTTCATGGTTCTATCCCCAATTTTTCACATTGGTGTATTTTTTAGGCATTTTTTCTGGTGACTACATATAGGCTTGGGAAAATTATTGATATAACTGAACTGTTTTGAGCGCCAAGAATTATAGTGAGATGGTTTTTAGTATATTAAAAATTAGGTCTGATTTTTGGGATTTTTTATTCACTGGGGCAGAAAAGGGACCTGTCATGTTTGAGTTGTTCCGGGAGATTTAAGGACAATTATGGACGTCTGTTGCCATTTATAGACATTGGTCACCTGTCTCTTATGGACCAATGTCTCTATGTGTTTTTTTCTTATGGTATTTCTTGTGTTTGAACAGTTTGATTCCCTGATCTGTGTTGGCCAATCGACAGTTGTGTAAAGACCTACGAGATAACTGCTGTTGAGATTTAGGGCAAAAACTGTATGATGCGTTTACAGCTCACTCTTTCAAATAGAAATCAAAGTTACACTCTCCCCACTCCCTTCTCTCTCTCTCTCTCTCTCTCTCTCTCTCTCTCTCTCTCTCTCTCTCTGGTCTCTCTCTCTCTCTCTCTCTCTCTCTCTCTCTCTCTCTCTGTCTCTCTCTGTCTGTCTCTCTGTCTCTGTCTGTCTGTCTCTGTCTGTCTCTCTCTCTCTCTCTCCTGTCTCTCTCTCTCTCTCTGTCTCTCTCTCTTTCTCTCTCTCTTTCTCTCTCTCTCTCTCCGTCTCAGTCTCTGTTTCCCTCCCTGTCTCTCGTTCTCTCTTTCTCTCTCTCTCTGTCTCGCTCTCTCGCGCTCTCTCTCTTTCTGTTTCAGTCTGTCTGTCTCTCTCTCTCTGTCTCTGTCTCTCTCTCTGTCTCTCTCTCTCTCTCTCCCTGTCTCTGTCTCTCTCTGTCTTGCTCTCTCTCTGTCTCTCTCTCTCTTTCTCTCTCTCTCTCTCTCCGTCTCAGTCTCTGTCTCCCTCCCTGTCTCTGTCTCTCTTTCTCTCTCTCTCTCTCTCCGTCTCAGTCTCTGTCTCCCTCCCTGTCTCTGTCTCTCTTTCTCTCTCTCTCTGTCTTGCTCTCTCGCGCTCTTTCTGTTTCAGTCTGTCTGTCTCTCTCTCTCTCTGTCTCTCTCTCTCTCTTTCTGTATCTCTCTTTCTCTCTCTCTCTGTCTCAGTCTCCCTCCCTGTCTCTGTCTCTCGTTCTCTCTTTCTCTCTCTCTATCTCTCGCTCTCTCTCTTTCTGTTTCAGTCTATCTGTCTCTCTCTCTGTGTCTCTCTCTCTCTCTCTCGCTCTGTCTCTCTCTTTCTCTCTCTCTCTGTCTCAGTCTCTGTCTCCCTCCCTGTCTCTGTCTCTCGTTCTCTCTTTCTCTCTCTATGTCTCGCTCGCTCTCTCTCTCGCTCTCTCTCTCTCTGTTTCAGTCTGTCTGTCTCTCTGTCTCTCTCTCTTTCTCTCTCTGTCTCAGTCTCTGTCATGCTCTCTCTGTCTGTCTGTCTGTCTGTCCTTCTCCCTGTCTCTGTCTTTCTCTGTCTCTCTGTATCCGTCTCTGCCTCTGTCTCTATCTCTTTGTCTCTATCTCATTGTCTTACTCTGTGTCTCTCTCTCTCTCCCTCCCTCTCTCCCTCTCTCCCTCTCTCTCTGTCTGTCCAGCGGTACAAGTCCAGGTCTGCCTCACCTCCGGTTTCCGCTGTCACCTGATCCACAGCTGAGCGCCATGACGCAGGAGCAAATGTCATCTCCATCAGAGGAAAGAGCAGCGCGTCCAGAGCTCCACACACATCAGCGTCATGGCGCTCACCTGCTGCCTCTCTCCACGCCAATGTTCCACTCGGGCTCTCTCAAAGGTCCCAATGTTTGCTTATGTTTACGATTATTAAAGATGTCATGTGTAATTGATATTCTACAGCTGCCTTTTTCTCAGAAGGGGTCGAACCAGAGGGATGATCCAAAAGGCAATATCCTTTCTTTCAATTTTGTTTTTGTATCATAAATAAAACTTGTATGAGACCCACATTGGGGAAATTATTGCCCTAAATTCGAGATAACCGTCATCTCGAAGGACTCTACAAAGTGTTGATTCGCCAACACAGATCAGAGAATCAATAAACCCTGTTGGAAAGATAGCTTTTACCCCCATTTTTCATGTATTCAATTCAATTCAATGTATTCTTGTACAGCCCTAAAATCACAGCAGAAATCGTCTCGGACACAACAGCTCAGAGAGACAGTTCGAACACAGAAGCCATTGGTCCAGATCGTCAATATCCAAAAATTTTAATAAAAGAGAAGGTGATCATCATTTTATTGAAGTCCAAACTTGTGAATTTGATGAATTTCACCTAAAGATGCAGTTCATCTACAACATTTAAAAAGTGACTTACAATAAGAACCTCAGACAGCTGTACAGTTATAGCCAAAGGAACAAGGGATCTCTCCATACCATTATATAATTTATCCTCTATAAAAGAAAGAAAAGAATAGAAAAAGACACCAGTAAATAATGATACTTCTGTTCAAAGTTTCCAAGATATATGAAAAGGAGGAATAACGGACTGATTCTAGGATGGATTGTATCATTTGAGAAACGTGAGCTTGAGAGCAGATTTGTCTTAATCCTCATTTAAATGAGAATAAAGAGAATGTAGAGAAAAATAGGATTCATACAGTTTTTTAGAAGAAAATACAGGCGTTTCAGAAATTATTTCTGTTATTCTAAAAATCATTTAAAATAATTTAATTGATTGCAACTACATTGATTTTGGTTTGGTAAAGCTTGTGTCATGTTTTCCACTGAGTTTAATGTCTTATGGTCTGTGTTTAATTCTGTAAGAACTTTGCTTTATTGTTCAGTGACGTCAGAGCGTCCTGTTGGTTTTTCAGGTGATTCACTTTGGAAAACCAAATGAGGTGTTTTCTGACGTCGCACCTGTTTGTGGCGTCACGCTGTGTTTATATGGAGCTGGTCACAGAACCATTGATACGCAGTCAGTCCAAAGTCTGAGATCATGAAGGTCCACGGCTCCACATCATTGAGACGGGAATATCACGCGCACGTGCATCACATTCTTCTCGCTCGTGGCGCACGTGCCACGCGTTTGGACCGTGCGTGCGCGCGCGTACACAGGATACGGGGTAAATGTGCCAGGGAGATCCGCGGACTGTGTGTGGGAGAGGAGCCGCTCTGTAGATGTGATAAAGCCTTGAACCCGCGCACGCAGCGGCTCGGCCGTGTGCGCCTCTTTGTGACGCAGATGGAACGTGCGTGGCACTGCCCCGCGCCCTGACCGGGCACAATGGACACGAGAAACGTGAAGCTTGTGCTGTCTTTAACAATTACAGTGAAATGTAGTGCGTGTTGCTGTGTTCACGCGCACTGCCTTATAAGGACAGACAGTCGTGCCTTTGTGCAATAGGCCGAGCCGCAGCCTGCGGAGCGGCTTTAACCCCTGCGCTGCTGAATTTAATTTGGTCCCGTGGACTGAAACAATGCAGGGGGAGAAAACCGAACCAGTGTGCGTTTGGGTTTGATGCCAGAGCCAACCAGTGTTTAAAACCTTTGACATGTTCGATTAGTGGCAATTGTATAGGAAAGCATATGTCTTTAGACAGAAGTGTGCTGGTCTAAGGGCATTCTCTTAGCCTTACGTTTCTATCTAAACCCAATAATTCACCAGAGCCATGGTATGCGACAGAACATAGGAAGACTTTAATAGAGAATGGGATGGAAGACTAGATTTAGGCTCTGGCCAATGATGAGCTTTGGCAAGAACTTATGTTCAACATTAAACACAGTCACATAAATATTTATGTGACTGTTAAATATAAGAGCTTAATAAACACGTAATCCAATGAAGGAGAAATAAACGGAAAAAAACCACCACAATATTTGAAGCCAAGATTCAAGTCAACTTGAAGCAGAATAAATCGCGCTCATATCATGTAATAATTGAACTTCAGACTCATTCACGTTCAGTCCCGTCACTCTTTTGCAGATGCCAATCCAATCTGCCAAATTTTGCAGTATAAACAAGACCTTATATTTAACTGTATTTTTATTTGGTCCATTGTTACAGCATCGTTAAGCTCTTTGGCCATTAGTATTTCTATGTGTTGAGTAGATGTAATCCCTCGTGAAGGTCGATCATGGAAAAGATTACAAAGGTCTTAAACAAATCATATTCACTTTTCTCATGGATGTGGACCAAACTCTTTATAAACACACTCTAAAACACAGCTCTGGGTAACAACAGACAGCGCTGGAAAGTCAAAACAACCTTATTTTAATTGTTTTAAAACTAGAAATCCAGAACAAACGCAGTAAGTTTCGAAATTCCCTTATCTGCAGTCTATATACAATGAGTTTCTTCACATTGTCAGTCTGTCAGTCTAACAGCAGTGCTCCAAGAGAGAGTGAATCGGCCCGAGCTGTCTCTTCAGAAGTCACCCAGCTGGATCTAAAGCCCGCGGTGCCATGGTGTGTACGTGTGTGTGTGTGGTGGTGACCTATCCAACCTGGAGCTCTCCTCTAACGCTGCGTAAATCCACCAGAAAATCCCCACTACACGCTGCTATTTACGAACTGTCACCCTCTTTGTCTGACCTTGGCGAGGAGCATATGGAAATCTATTCATTGCGTTTCCCACAACAGCGGAGGCTCAGAGCAATGATGTGACGCCATACATATACCACGCACGCATTATCATCTCAAGAGCGTGTGCCATAGAGCCGCGTATATACGTTCATTACGCACGGCCTTGCTTTGATAGACAGACACCATGGACCACAGTCTACTCGTACTCTGGCCTTGGGAACCCCGCCTCATTCAAGCCAATTGTCTAATAACTAGATAATGAGCTTGCGTGAGGCTTATAGGTGCGTTGGTCTGGACGTTGTGGATACGGAGGTGGGGGTATATAAGGGGGAGGAAGGTGGGGGGTGGGGGGGCGTATTCGCGAGAGGAGAGGTGGTCCGGGCCGTGTCGTGTTGGACCGTGAATCTCACCACTATTCCACACAGCACCATTGAGATCGCTCTTTCTGATCTGGGGAAGAAGCGGCGTTCAGGGGATGGGTGCAACTCGGATTTTTCAGTTCTCATCGTCAAGGTTAAATGTCTTGTCCTACGTTGTTAGTGGCTTAATATGAAAGAGATTATGGTTATTTCTATCCGTTCGTAGCATAGTTTAGGTGGAATCTTGGCATGTTCTGGATTCCACCTCCAGAAAAGGTCTTTCTGAGTGGAGTTTGCGTGTTCTCTCCATGTCTGAGTAGGATTTCTCTGTGTACTCCGGTTTCGCCTATACCGCTAAAAACATATGCAATAGCTCCCCTCGATCTAGGGCCAGGACTCCTCTGAAAAAAGGTTAAATACAGGTCATAAATATCTTTTTCACCAAAAGATTTTTCACCAAAATCCAAGACATACATTTAAAACATGTGTCCTACTTTGAATCATTTGTGTCTTCACAAACCTTTCTGCTGTTTCCATTAATATTCTCCCTTTTTGATTTGTTTTGACAACCTAACACTAATCTTTTTTGTTTTGAAATGATGAAGGGGATTCCGCTTGGTCACACTTTTGCCATAAAGATGCATAACATACTCCACCTGCTTGTCTAAACTGTCTACATTTTACACATTATCCCAACAGTTTGAATGCCCTATCATGGAGCGTTCAGGTAAAAACAATGGAATTCCCACTAAAAGAGTGGAAATAATGACATGGCAAAACGTTAGGCGTTTTTAAAGCCTTTGTCAGAAGATACGCAATCTTTGACAACATCAGCAAAAAAATAGGAAGTGGGTTTTATTATAGCCTTTCTCTATAAAGACTTAAGTCAGCGCAAAATATGAGGTTGTTACTCTTATCTACGCCCTTTGGTTTACTAATCTAGACTATATGCTAGACAAGAGTGGATTATGGTATCAGGACAATTACAGTATAACCTTAATGAGTGGAAAGTGTGTGTGAGTGTGTATTGATTGTGTCAAATGTCATTTAAACCCTGTAGGTGTTAAATTAGTGTTACTATGCTCAGCTGACTCCAAGATACTTTCATAAGCTTTCCCTACATATATAGATTTTTTTTTCTTCTTTTCTTGTTATTTCTTAAACAGCCTGCCATATATACAGTGTTTTTTGTCAGTTTCACATATCTGTAAACACTGACACTGAGGTTATTTGACAATAAAACCAACCAATCACTTTTCAATCCACTCTAGAAATCAGATTCAGAAGTATGTTTATTGCTGTTGTAAGTAATAGGAAAGTCACAAACTGAGAAATGTCTTTGGCATAAAAGTCAAAAACATCCATGACTATCTCAATTCTAATATAAGAGCTTCTTCATTCGTCCGTGGGAAATGTCAGTACACACAATACTATTCTCCTCCCACACAGATACCAACTGCACACATAGACCCAACCACACTGCTTATCCAATAAGACTGAACACCTTTCATTAGATTTAATTTAATTTTAGTTATTTATTTAAAACGTGTTGAGTTATCCATCGCCCTAGTGTATTGTCCCACAGCCCTTGAATGCGTCAGAGGGAACTACCCCCGCCCGGACACCGCCCCCTTCTACGTCACAGTGATTTGCATGAAGTGTTTTCTTGCTGCAGCTCAAACTCTCCTGCAGAGCGACACTCCGAGGGCGAAGACAGGGCGAGAAGCGCGCTGCAACAACTCTGGACCATAACGCACGCATTTCCCCCTCTTTTTCTTCAACACCGAGACGCGCACTGGAATAAAACTGGAGACGAGGATACGGACGCGTTAACGGATTATTTTGGGCTTCTATTTCTGTCTGGGGTTGGGGGGGGAAGATGGAGCTACCCGCCGCGGGAGATCACGTCTTTGCGGTGGAGAGCATCGAGAAGAAACGCAGCAGAAAGGTCCGTGAGTGAAGGACGTTGGTCACGTAGAGGAGGGGGCTGGTGTCTGTTCTCTGCCGACTGACTGATTATTGCTGCGTAAAGTATACTAATGTTTTTTGCTGATTGTCCGTTTCTCTGCCTTCACAGGGGAGGGTTGAGTATCTGGTCAAGTGGCGAGGCTGGTCTCCCAAGTAAGTCTGCTCACCATTTAAAAATAAATAAATAAATAAACATGTTAGGATTTGCAAATAGTGAGGTTTGTTTGCGTACGCGTGGTTGAGCCTATTGGGCGGTTACGCGTTTTGCTTTTGGCGCTTGACGACTTGGCTGCGTGATGATGGATGTTGTTTAACGACGTATGCGAGTCCCAGTTTGCCAATTAAGAGAAGGCACGGCTGTAATTGAAGCCCCTGTAGGTGGAATGCCCGTATATCTGCAGAAGAGCAGGGGACGCTCCTCTGCTCTGCGCTACAGCCGTGCGTAAAAGTTACCACGCACATTGCACGTGCGTCCCTGGGGACCGCAAGTGCTTTGGCATGATGTTTACTGAAGATTAAAAGCAAATACAAGAATGGCTGCACGTCCACGCGTAGTCAGTCGTTTCGCACAACGTTTTGGATGCAACCAATTTTGTTTTAATGGAACAGCGTGTCCTCACTTTTGATTGTTTTGTCTTTTGTAGATACAACACTTGGGAGCCAGAAGAAAACATTCTCGATCCAAGACTCTTGGATGCGTTCCAAGACAGGTAAGACACTGCCTGACGTGTCTTTATCACTGTAAATGGAATACAATACCTCATCAAACATGTTCATACAGAGATGTGCAAACTGCTGTATCTGGGAACCTTCTCACATGTGAACAACAAACCTCATGGCTGTGGAAAATAGTTTAAATATTTATTAAATTCCAGTGTTATCTGGTCCTTTTGGCAAGTTCCCAAGTACAGTTGTAGGACAAGCTATTGTGGTTTCATCCACACTGTTAAAAACCGGCCTTGTTTATGAGCTGTAACACCAGACCTGTTCTACACCTGCAGCACATTGGGACCTGATATTATTTATGTAACTCGCATATGTTGCTAATTCTCGTCTGCATAACTCCTCTGCTCGTCATCCGCACCTTGAACTTCCTGAAACAACACACGCTGTCTCTTTAGTCCTTGGAGGAAGCGACCTTTTCACTCTCTGACAGATGATACTAACCTGACAACTTCATGGTTAAACGTAAGGCCCAGTCATTCAGCGCCTGCCTAAGCTCAACACTTCTGAGGATCAAGGCTGGTGTCATCGGCTCAGGGTTAAACTTGGGCCGGTATCGTCGACATAAACTCCCTTTCCTGGGTTTCTGCTGTCTCCTGTGGGTCATCTGATAGGTATTTGCCTGTGCAGAGTGATCAGGTGTTGGTCACATGACACACCTGTGTTACCACCTATTACTCTCCTCTCTGCCTGAGTGCCCACATTAGCTCGTTTGGCTAATTGGCCAACAGGTCAACCAATTATGAACACATTATAGGCAATTTTCCACCATGAAACCCTAAACCAGAGATATTATTGTATCCGTCAGTCACTTGAATGCATTTAACCACACTATTTATACAAGTTATATTTAGTTAAGGACCATACACTGACATGAAACTTGCTCACACTTTTGTATGTCTCTTTTGGAATACGTTATTATTAAAATATTACCTGGTGTTTTAAAGTTTAGGTGGTTTTGGCTTTTTTCTCTTTATGAGGTTAAGGCTGTGGTATCTGCCTTTTTTGTTTTTCATAAATAATATATTTTATTTACCTAAAAGAGTCTTTTAAAAGTAAAATGAGCCACAAACCAGACCACGATACTGTATGTCTTCATCTCGTGTAGGGTCAGCGAGTGTTTGGGCCTTTGTCTGTTGTGTGTGTGCGTTGTCTTGTTTGTCTTGTGTCTGTGGTCCATGTCATATATTTTTCACTCTGTACTGTACAAGTTCACAGCTGTTTATGAATGATCCTGTATGTATATGGTTCTCGTACTGTACTTTGTGTTGAACGTGTGAAGGGGTTGGAATTCTATACGCGTTTGCTTTATCCACCTCCTTTTCAAACCATGCACTTATGTTATGTTGATGTTTGTGCAGGTTTTGAAATATTCTATCTATCTTGCTATAAAACATGTTATCTTTAGCACATTGTGAAGAAGAGCTCTGTGATTTGGTACTTTGGAGTGAAAACTGATGGTCCTCTCTTTGACAAAAAGCTGATGCAAATATGTGAGGCCAAAAACTGTGGCATGTGAAAACAAGATCGAACCAAACTGTTTTGAGGAACTAAGTAGATAGATTTTCATCACATTGTTGACGCTCACATGGTGCGTATTAAAAGTCACCCCAGCTTTAAAATAACCATAGCAAACACAGAAACTTATGCGGGTTTTGAATTCCTTGCACAGAAAATCATTGACTTGTGTGGTGCATGACTCATTATTATCTCAGAAGGCATATCCTCTTGTTTAATTCTGGGGCTGGACACGTTTAAGCCCGACAAGGACTTTAAAATCATCCATCATCACTTGAAAATCAAAACTTGCAAACCCAGAAGGCCTCGAATTCATTACCGTTATCCATTCCCCTCGACCTTTTCCAGCACGTGCGGTTAATAATCGCACAACAGTAATAACTCATCGCACTTTCCCCTGTCACTAGCCCCGCATCTGTCCTCCGTCACTCTCTCCTCAAAGCAAACAAGGCCACACGTCGAAACCAAAACACACACACACACACACGTTGGTCCAGATCTGGTGGAGCCATTACCTTACCGCTCTTTATTGAAACTAATTGCCTGTCTCTCCGGGGAGCCAAATTGTCTGAATGCCAGGCTATGAAAATACACCAAGTCGTCATTGTGATTAGATGTGAGAGGAGGGGGGAGGGGCCTGACATCATTCTGTCTCTAGTATTGAGTTACTCTTTCAGTCGAGACCTGCGCCCGGCCGAGACAGCTGAGGAAAGTCAAAACTGTGAATAGTTTGCGTACATGTTGAAGTGGCTAGGGCTGAACTGCAGACGAGTGTTAGCAAAGGTGTGAATGGGGGAAAAGAGACTTTTTTGTTTTCATATATATATTTTTTTTGAACCTGCAAGAATACACAATTTTATATATCAATATAACAGACAAATAACTTATACCTGGTTCGAAAAGGGGTTGGATGAAGCGGACGTTAATTGGATTCCAACCCCTGTCACACGTACACTGTTTTTAACAACATTGTGTAGTAGAATTCTCAAACACACAACTGTACGGTACAAACAGTATTACAATACTACCACCGATGGTATAAGACCGACAACACAAAACACACACACTCTGACAACACACAGGCCCAAACACTCTCTGACCCTACACCTCTTTCCCACTTCTTTTAGATATGAAGAGAATCAGGAAAGAGGTCAAAGATGGGTTGAAAATCTTAAAGAAGAAATATTATTATGCATTATTTTATGGGCATTAAAGATGATAGAGATGTTTTACTAATTTTGTGCTTTTGAATGTGAATGAGCAAGGAATTCAATGTTTGTTTTTCTCCAGGTTTAAAAATGTACTAGCAGCAAACACAGACAGGACGGCAAAACAAATTTAGGGGCAATACTTCTGTTTTAAATGCACTGAGTATGATGTCATAGTGGTACAATGACGTCATACTATTACAGGATTGAGACGGGAGCTTTTTAGACGGAAGGGCCGGATTGATATTGAACAAGATGGCAAAGTCTGGGATTGTGTCTTTAATTCAGACAGAAGACATGTTTTATTGTCATGGTAGACGGCATGAACACGAATAAGGATTTTACAGAATGCAAGTGATAATATACAGCAGGAGAAACAGAGTCCTCCAATCAGCGTTTGCCACAGGGCTTGTAGCTTCAACATTGAGATAGCCAAAACAAGGGAAGGCTTCTACATATGTTAGAATGATGAGTTAGAACTTTAACCACAGTTGCTTCAAATTGTCATGAAATCACTAAAATATGTTTGTGTCGGAAGTTCATGATAACGGCATGGATGGATCTAAAAACAACTCCTGGTCTGTGATTAGTGAGGAAAAAATTGTGTAACAAGTTAGCCTCAAAGTGGTCTCTACCGCGCAGTCCGTGCATCCCGAGACACACATGCAGTTCCACGCTCGAACGTGTTTCACCATTGACTTTGGAGTGAAAGTCACCGCATGAACCGGTCTGAACGCGGCATTAAGTGGCAATTTGTTTTTGTCATTAAACAAACACAGGGAGGGCTTTTGTCTGCAATTTGGAAATGTAAACGGACACAAACCTTCTGAAAATAAACGTACACCCAATCATTAGCTTAATATGTAAATAGCACTTGTAACCGTTTATAATTCTTCTCTTTTGGGAGTCCTGGGAACATATAGCAGGTTAAAATCTATGTATTTGCCTTTCCCTTGGATTCAGATTGATTGATTGAACTTAGCCTGGAGAGTACAGACACTTCCTAAATATGCAAATTCAGCTTTAGTGCAAGCATGTCCAGATTTGAATGTAAATTTAGGCAACAGTGAAAGCTTTTGTTTAGTAATTAGTTTTAAAAATTGTAGAAATGATTTGTGTTTCAATCTAAAAGTTATTTGTTGTACCTTTCTTACTTTAGATAGATACTTTATTGATACCAAGGGGATTTTCTTTCCTTGTCTCATTCCCAAATCTTTATCAAATTGAAGTGAAAGAAATCAGATATTTTAGAAAAAAAACATTTAAGAGTGTTTAGTATTCTGTAAATACTTGGAATGTTTACCCACCCAGGCTGAAATATTGGCCATATTTTGGAGATTATGGTTATGTGAAGGCACTTATTGTTGAAATAATGTGTTTTTCTATTTTCAAATTGCATATATTTTTTTATTAATTTCAAACATGCACAAGATACAAACAATTGTGAAAAACCTATGATATAGTTTTAAAAAGGGATTGGTCGAAGCAAAATCTTGTATTAATCTAAATACAAAGAAGTAATAATATTAAGAATCAAAGAACTAATGTACCCTCAACCAAAACACATAACTGTCAATATCCCTGATTGGAAGTTTATACCCCCCAGTTCTCAATATTGAATCTTTGTGTGGTAATTTTGTTCCTTTTATTTTCTCTGATGTTAAAGCTACCTTTACTTCTCAGCAAAAAGCCAGTTGCTGTAAATTCCTAAACCTCTTTGCATGAATCTCCCCACAGTGGCTCAATGATGTTTTATTATTTGAAAATAGAAATTATTTGACCATATACTGTATGGCTGCAGACAACTTCTGGCAATGAGTGGAGAAAAAATGTATTTGTGTCATCATTCATAATCCCCATATTTATGTATGTTTTTTTTTATTTGATGGGGACAAGTGAACACAATTAATATATGAAACGCTATAACATTTATAAACAAGGCAAATTTGCAATATGAGGAGTTCAGGCGCAAAAACGAATAAGTAAGGTTAGAAAAATATGTGAAAGGCTTACAATTTTATCTTTACCAAGTACAAGTATGAACATTTAGTGTCTTACAATTCAAGTTTCACCTCTTCATGAGCAAATTCTTCATGCCTCAAACAAAACATGTTGAAGTTTGTACACATTTCTCTATTGTCAAAATGGAGACATCCAGGAACTCTCTCTCCAACACGTCAAACCTTTTAAACTACATCCTGGGAGGGTTTTTTTTTTTGTTTTTTTTGTGTCACTTTTGGAGCCGGCCCCCTCCTCCCTCTCCGCCTGCTCCGTGGAAAAGAGCGGCCGTGACGTGTTGTTGCCGTGGCGACGCACACTCATCTCTGGAGACCCGCACTAATTGGCTGCTGTTTCCTTTTCCCACAGGGAGCGACAGGAGCAGGGCTACCGCAAGAGAGGACCCAAGTCCAAGCATGTCCTGGTCCAGGTGAGATTCCAAACACACGACCTTTTATAGAAATCAGAAATGTGTATCTAATCTAGAATATGTGGGTTTTTATGAATGTATGATTTTTTTTGTATATAAATGACCAGAAATATGGGTATCTTTTTTTAACCTGCTGTCCTTAATGCTGGAGTTAGTGATTTTATTTTATTTTAGTATAGAGTTACTATTCATCTTATCTTGTGCTATGTGCTCCTCATTCCTACTGCTCTGTAAATTGTGATGCAACACTGAAATTTCCCCACTATAGGTTGAATAAAGGGTCTCTTAATCTTAAAACTGAGGTACCAGATTCTGTTTAGTGTATAGCCTGAGTGAATCTCCATCCTAACTGTCCAATTCAATCCAATTCAATTTGCTCTGCTGTAAAGCGTCTTTGAGTGCCCAAAAAAGTGTTATATAAGTTACAAGATATAAGAATTTATTAGCCACCTGCAGTAAAACCACATTAGAAAAACTGTGCAAGACTACCCCAGTATGCACCATTGACACACACCAGAGCTCTTGCCACGGCGCCATCTTTCCTGCGCCATGCAACGTATTATTATTATTATTATTATTATTATTAATAATTCATTTCATGTTTTCATAGCCCTAAATCACAACAGTAGTTATCCCAGATGACTCTACAAAGTTGTCGATGTACAGCGGCCAGTTCTAGACGCTTTCATCCAGTGTTGAGAAGGTGAGGGGAACCCCGGTGTGCGGCGTTTTTGTTCCTCTGGCGGGTGTCGATGTAACACATGGGGATAAAGTCAGTGACAGGACACAAAGCCACAGTGACATTCCTCAGAGCAGCAGGAGACACTTTGAAATGTCACCGTGTGGGTTAAAGCTCAAAAAGTCCCAGGACCGACGTACGAGGACTTAAGTCAATGTGACACAAAGACACACACACACCCTCGGCTTGTCAAAAGTGTCGAAAATCAGCGAAACTAGCATCGAAACTGAATACGCAACTGAGAAAGTATTGATACAAAAATATTTCCACAAACAGGGAATTTGAATCTAGCCCGAACTGTTATCATAGGCAGCCGAGCGAGAATTTTCGATCCTGTGTTGACCCAGACCTGTCCGTGTGGAGTTTGTGCATGAATCTTGCTATGTCTGGTCGTGAGCGGGTTTCCTCCAAGCGCTCCGGTTTCCCCCCATCACCTAAAACATGAACGAAACGGATGCAAAGAGTACAAAAAAGCGCTGTATAAAACCGATGCATTATAATTGAGGACAAATACAAATACAGCAGACCATAACACGCTACGGTTCCATAAAAAAGTGTTATTGTCGTGTTTTGGTTTTTGCAATAAATTACAGCTTATTGTCTAAAAAAGATCAGAGTGATACCGAAATTGGAATCAGCACCCATCCTATGAAAAGTTCTTATCTTATTTAGATGTACAGCAGTGTAATTCATGGCTAAGTTTATATTATATTTTCCTAGTAATATTTAAATGATAAAAAATTATACAAGTTCACATATAGATAATAATTTAAGAATTTGAATTAAGTTTTGACTAGTTCTGGAGAAATTAAATCAAAATAGCTTTGTCATCAGTTAACAAAATGATTAGACTGCTACACATGTAATTCTCTGAGGTAGTGTCATAATTGCACGCTTTTGTTTAACGCTTGTTTAACCCCATAACTTAAAATTTTGAATTGGCAAAATCAGCTCAAATGTCTAGACACCACGTTAATTTAGCAGTTTATCATTGGCAACCGTACTTTGTTATGTTGGCCGACGTGGTAGCTGAGGGATAGCAAAAAGGTCCTGGGTTCAGAACAGGCCCATCTGAGTTGAGTTTGCATGTTCTCCCCGTGTCTGCGCACGTTCCCTCTGGGTGCTCCGGTTTCCCCTACCACTAAAAACATGCACAATAGGTCTGATTGTGATGAGTGAGTGAATGGATGGTGTTGATTGTGAGCTTTGAGGAGGTGTGTTCGCCGTCTCACTTCTGTCATCGCCGTGCGTGGAGAGAATGGAAAAGTATTTGTATATTCTGTAAGATTTGCGCGATTATATAGAACGAATACTTACTTATGTCATGTCAAAAATTACAAAACAATTGCCGTTTCTATTCCTCATACCTCATATTTTAATAGCACCATCTTCTCCATTCAGCAATAGCAAGATCCAATGTAGTTTTGAACACATTTAAAAGTACGCCTAACCGTCCAATCAGGCATGTCCAAACTGAGGCCCCCGAGACAAATACGGCCCTCTGCTTTATAAACCCAAAAACGCCATTGAGGCAGACAACTTCAGCTCTACCAATATAGTCGTGCTGTACCTTTTTGCAAAGCTCAGAGCCTTCTAAATTCAGTTATTCACATAATCAGTCACATAATGGCACCAGTGTAGCAATAAATACCCAATTTTAAAGCCCAGTCCTGCCTGAATCAAGAAAAAGCAGTTCTATAATCCGGGTTGTCGGCCCCTGGTCAAGTCTGATGAACTTGTCGCCCTCTTACTAAAAAGTTTTCACGATCTAAGGTCTTTAGTAGAACTTATTTTTGCTTTCCAAACATAGCCATACACCGGTGTCAACACGAGGGCTCTGCAGACCGAGCTCTTCCCACATTCCACCCACGGTTTCTACGCATTTCTTCCAGGGCCTCATTTGAAACATGACTTTGTGTTGTTGTCTAGACACATCTATACAAACCCCAACAATCCCCACTCGGATCCCATCATTTTTCACTGCTCTCGCTTTGTCCTGTACCTTTTTTGCACCACTGGAATTATTCATAGTGTATTCTAATGGAGTTGTAGGTCTGTGTTTGGAAGCTTTTGCCTCATGTTTTCTAAAGGATTACGAGTTGCATTCCTCTTTTTGTATATTTATATTAGGGCTGGGCAATAAATAAAATTTAGGCAATTAATCGGCTTATGAAAAAATCAAATTTGTGAACAATTTGAAAATCGTGAAATCGAATGAAGGATAATGTGAGAGCTGCTGCAGCACATCAATTATACTTACAATATCACAAGTCTATGAAAGACATTTATAATACGTATTGGGGGAAACAAATTAAAAATGGTTTTGTGAAACTTGAATATTGAGCGGAAAGATCAAAAATATTTTTAAGGGCAAAGTCTGTCTTCACTGACTTCAATGAAAATCAATTTAAAATTGAAATCATCCAAAGCAGAAAATAAAATTGAGATTTTACTTTTTTGCCATATCGCCCAGCCCTAATTTATATCAGAGGCCATTTGTGGCATAGGTCAGGTGTAGGTCTCCAGGTTTGGGAGAGGCACACCCAAAACGATACACTGCAAATATATAATATGTAATTAAGTGTTCATCTCAAGCTTTCATACAGCAGGAAAAAAAACATTAACTTTGAAAAATACAGTTTGAAAAGGGTGCTTTAAAATATGTGATAAAAATGTCTTAAATTCAGTGATTATATTTAAAGCCATTTAGTCTTTTTCAAGAACTGTTGCTTAATTCTGTCATTCCAAGAGAGACATTTCTTTTAATTTTTTTAATTTTTGATTACTTCTTTGATTTTTGGACCCTGTAGCACTCATTTCTCCTGTTTTCTGAGACATTTCTTGTATCTTTTTAAAACAAGATAGTATTGCTTGTCCCATTGTCAAATCTTCTTTTTAAGGCAGTCCATAACTTTGGCCATTTTCGACTTATGTTGGTCGTGTAATATTACTGTATAGTGAAATAATTCCTGCTGAGGCAAAACACAAACAGGGCTTGTACTTAATGAAACCCTATGATTGAAAAAAGGAAATGAGCATCATATTATGCATTTAAAGCCTATAATAAAACATAAACTTAACGCTGGAGTAATACATTTATCGCATACGGGAAACGATGCACTAGAATCCATCTACAGTCACTAGTTCCCGGCTCTCGAAACGGTTTGGTTCTATCACTAGTTTTCATATTTTTGGCCCCCGTCACATATTCAGATCAGATTCTGTCAAATAATGATTCCGCCGGCCTCTTTCTTAGTATGCAAAAGATAATGTTTGCTCAAAAGAAAAATCCTGCTTTTTGTTTGATTAGTAAAAAAAAAAAAAAAAAACCTTGTACTTTGACCAGACTTTTTTTTTTGACAGGTTATTTATGAATGAAAAAGTTAGGCACCCCAGCTCTAACCTTTTAAACATTCACTCTAATGATTTTTTTAAGATCTTCAAACATGTGAGAATTTCTTTTATGTTTTGACCCCTGACTTTTTATTTCAATGTTGAGGTGCAGTTTGATGGTAAAAATGCCTAAAACCAAGCGAGATGCCCCAACGAGGAATATTTCAGTTCCAAGCTTAAAGTAGATCTAGTGACTCAAAAGCTATTTATTTTTTACCCAGAAATAAATGAAAATGTGTTGATTTATATTTTTTTCTTACAAAGTGGTGACCTTCTATATAGTGGAGGCAAGCGGACTGACTACATTTTTACACAGGACACCTCTTAATCCAGGACTTAATTTTGCTCCACTCACTCACACCCTCTCTTGGTTTTTCTCAGGTCCCCTCGTTCGCCCGGAGATCCAACATTCTGGCCGACGTCCGCGAGGAGGAAGGCACCCGGAAGTCGAGCTCCCTCCCGATGCAGTATCAGCTAAACAGCAAAAAGCACCACCCGTATCAGCCACATTCCCAGGACCGCGACACCGACCAATCGAACGGCAAGAAGTTCTACTACCAACTCAACAGCAAGAAGCACCACCACTACCAGCCGGACATCACAAGTCACGAGACGGTTTTTGTTAAGCCCAAAGAAGTGAAAGTACCGGATTTATCCAGCAATAAGGGGTACAACCTTCCCCCCGTCCTGCAGCAGAAATGGGTGAGGGATAAGGACTCGGGCTGTTTGACGAAAATAAAGGATATTACGATGGAGTTAAAGAATCTTCCCGCTGATTTGAACGGACATAAAATGGACCCTGAAACGGCGAAACCAAAAGAGGACGTCGTGACGCAAAGCAACGACGTCCGCAGCGGGAAGCTAAAAATAGTGAAGAATAAAAACAAAAACGGAAGGATTGTGATTGTGATGAGCAAGTACATGGAGAATAATCTGAAATCGGACAAAATCAAAAGCGACTCGGAGAAGCAGGTGCCGGACAGCAGCACCGAGGACCACATGGAGAAAATGAAACTGGTGAAAAAGCTCGGACTCATGAACGGATTTACAAAATTACCCAAAGACAAATCATTGCCTTCGGGCCCTGACAGCGGGGAATGCCTCAAAGAGCGAAAAGAGATTTCTAAAGCCGAGCCAACTGTGACGGCAGACCAGGACAAACATGTTGGGGTCAATGGTCGCGGGCAGATTCTGGCGGATGAGGCTGCGGAGTTGACAACCACAACTAATCTGGTCTCCTCGCCTTCAGACGCAGAGGAGAAGCAAGTTAGCCAAAGCGCACCGTCGACGTTAAAAAGACACGCTGTGGAGTTCGAGCAAAGCGGGCCGAGAAAGAGATTTTTGAGGACATTTAACCCTTCTCGGACTCCATCTCCGCAGATAACTCAAAGCGTTCCCGACTGTCAACAAGTATTACCTGACTGCGGTTACCAAGACGAGCCCATGGACTTGAGTATGGACAAGTCTAAAGTCTCGACCGTGGATCCCCCAGAGGCAGTAGGGTCCACCCAAGTCGAGCAGCCGCTGCCGCCCCCGGCAGAGGTGGAAACCCAAGACCAAAGCAGCGTCACACAAGTCACACAACAAACGGAGAATGTCAGGCCTTTGTCTCAGAGTGACCACAGCCAGAGGAAAGACGTGCACTTTCCCTGCTTCCAGCCCCTTCTCGGGAACATCGTGATCACGGACATCACCACCAACTGCCTCACCGTCACCTTTAAGGAGTACGTGACGGCGTAGCTGACCCGGTCCACTCTGTACAGGACGTGTATAATCAGAACATTCAGAATTCTTATATTTTTGCATATTTGTGTGTCTGGAATTTGATTTGGTTTGATTTGGAGAATTGTGAAAAGAACCACGTGTTGTTGGTATTGCTTTAAGTTTGCATTAGTTTTTGTTTGTTTGTTTCACTAATCCCATTTAATAATATGTGGAATAAACAACGGTTAAGTCACGTAAAAAACTGTTTTGATTTGCTTCAGTCGACTCTATTTTCCTTTTTAACGATTCATGCAAAAATATAAGAAATGGGAAATGTATGTTTTCTGGCACAGTACTTGCGTTTTCGATGCTTGAATGTACAAATGAACTTTTTGTAGAGTTTGGATACCAGTCTGAACTGTTGCTTTTGTAATATTTCCATAGTATTTCTCATAAGCTCTGCCGCCTGTTATTCCAGAGATTGTGCAGTGTCTGGTCCATCTCTGCAAAAGAACCTCCTGTATCTTAAAAGGACAGCATCGGAGACGGAAGTTGCACTTATTTGTGTACATACTTAACTTTTCTATGTCTGATTTATATATATATTCCTCTCAGATGTGGATTTTGTAAAATGAAACAAATATATAGAAAGATGGTAAATGACACTGTGAGAGTGTGAAACATGGACGCTGCTGTGTCTCGGGAGGTGTTTGCAATGTTGGAAAATGACAAATCTAGTTTTCTCTAAAAAAAATAAAATGTACATCCGCAGGTGTAGTTTGAATCTTCAAATCTGAAACTCCGCACAAGTCACTTCCAAACTTATTATTTATTATTTTATTTACTATTGAAACCATGAATGAACTTTTCCTATTCTCAAAGTGCCAGATTAAGGCTGAAGTATATAATGATTTAACTTGAACTTCTTAATATATGTTTTTCTTTTTTTTCCTTTTAAGATGATGTCAAATATAAGTCTCTGTTCGTCAGTCTCCTTGTTTTAGATTAAGGTCAAAATAATAAAAGAAATGCTTTGTTTGCAACGTTCTTAATCGTTTTGCTGTGGCTTATTGAAAAGAACATTACGTTCTGTTTCCTGGTGGAGGCTGTGTACCATTTTTACTTTTATTTCTAAACATTCCTCCAGGTTTCTTCATGAACAGAATGCTTGGACTCTTCACTATAAAACACTCCACAAAACATGATCAAGAATAATCAATAAAGCCTTGAATCAGGACTTTCATAACAATTACCATGTTTGCCAATAGAGCAAGTGACTATTTCATAGGCAGAATTGGCTGGTCTCTCAAAACATTTGGGAAAATAATGTTTTAAAAAGAACAAAAATCGAGATAATTTAAATATGGTCCCTCTGTCTCGCTCTTGCTGTCTATGGTCTCTCTCTTGTCTCTCTGGCCTCTCTCTTTCTGGTCCCTCTCTGGTCTATAACTCTAGTCCCTTTCTCTAGAGTCTCTCTCTCTCTTCCTGATCTCTGCTCTCTCTCTTGCTGTGTCTCTCTGGTCTCTTACTGTCTCTCTCCCTGGTCTTTTTCTCTGGTCTCTCTCTCTTCCTGGTCTCTCTGCTCTCTCTCTCTCTTGCTGTCTCTCTCTTGATGTCTCTTTTACTGGTCTCTCTTCCTGCTCTTTCTCTTGCTGTCTCTCTCTCTGGTCTCTCTTTTGCTGTCTCTCTGGTCTATCCCGCCCTGGTCTCTGGTTTCTCTCTCTTCTCTCTGCTCTATCTCTCTGGTCTAACTGTACTACTTCCTTTTGGTCATGTTTTGCAGAGTTGAATTAGAGAAGCAACAGTTTTGGTATCGAGGATCTGTGCTGATCTAGAAACATTATGTTGTATGGCTTTCTATGATATCAGCTAAAGGTGAGTTATGCTACTTTTTATGTGGAAAAATGAATATTTGTGAGTATTTGACCCTGTAGTCGCCCATTGGCTGTAAGAGTGGGCAGTCTCACTTTTGATCACGGTTGTGTCAATACAGTGCTTCAGGATCAATTGTTTTGTAGGTTGTCTAGCGCAGGGGTCCAACAGCAGAGAAAACATCCCACACAATTGATCCTTGAGACCACTGTAATGGAAAGTAAAGGCACCAAACTGACCCTCACAATATGTCACAAAGAGGTCAAATATGCCAAATAGTCAAAAATGTTCTTCCGCATAAACAGTTGGATACTTCTCCTTTAAAGCTGATACACACATTTTTAGTTTCAATTGATGTGATATCTACTACTTGTATCTCAGTAGTTTATTTCAGGATATATAACAGTAAAAACTACTATTGGTTATATTTGTCTGGGTTTACATTAGGCATGGGCAGACGTGCATAGCCAAAGTGTCAAGATTTGTATCAGACATGAAAGAATAATTTGTATTTGTAGTATTTCATTTATTTTCAGGCCATTCTCTCTGCAATCATGGTTCTTAATCGCAACTGATAAAACTCTTATTGTGTCGACTGTTTTGTAACCCTGCCCAGTTCAACCAGATCTAACATTCTTGTTTGAAGACTCCCCTTACGATTTGCAATAATAAAATGATTTGAATGTATCAGCCTATTGTGTGCAGTGTTTGATTGACTGGACCAGTGTCGAGGCTGATTCACAGCGAAAGGCTTATATTCTGAAGTCTGTAGTTTCTATGACAAAGAAACTGCATGGTTTTATGTTGTCAAGAGCTGCGGCTATTTGCACCAATACATGGAAAGGTAAAAGCCCAATTTTGTTTCTTAAATGTAGATTCTATAGGGCTAATGCATCATTGAAAGACACATATTGTATTTCTATTGCAGCTCAAGTGGTATCACGTTATAAAAGATGGGCAAAAAGTCCTGTCGCTGGTTTGGGCCAGTGTGAGTGTGACACTATTTGTGGCAGTGGAGGTGGTGAGGATTATTACAGCGGCTCGCAGGGCTATTTTCAGACCTGCTGTTAGTATGTGGGCTGACACAGGCAGGTCAGACTTACTGCCTTTGGAAAGACAGAGCAGCACCAACAATACTCTAATCTCATTGATCTGATAAGTCTGACAATAAACATCTCCAATATTAAATAGACTTCACAAATACAACTGAACAAACGATTTGCCAGTCCATTTCTATTTAAGATTTCACAAGGCAGAAATTTTCTGAGATCTGCAAAACGTAAAACTTATTTTAGTTATTGCTGTCGCCACATTTACTTTAGGCCTATACATGCTATAGGTCAATATGCAGGGTTAGTTTATGGCCTCAAAAGTTCACTCAGAATCATAACTTATCCTCCTTTGTCCTTTCTGATCACAAAATCACTGCGGCTGGATGTCATTTTACTGTATACCCGAAGCATCCAGCCAAAGAACACGTGATAGTGACGCCAAAGTTCAGTTTCTTTGCAGTGTGCCCGGAGTGAGCAGCTGTTGCTCTGACCTCCACAGTCCTCCGAGGCTCCGAGCAGAGAGACGTGAGAGATGTGTCCGAGCCCTCAGTGACCGGTGGGAGTAACGTGGACCGGCCTGTTCATGTGTCATTTCTTTTCTCTCAGTTATTTTATCAATCGAGCTAGGTTCAGAAGATCATGAACAGTTATTAACCTGTAGGTGACCTGTCTAAAGTCAATACATTTTCACAAACTCTGAAACACGGCCTGTCATGTATGAGGGACACAGGACCTACAGGCCTCCAGTCCCTTCAGAGGGTTAGGGTAGAGTTCAAAGGTAAAGGCCAACATCACATCATGGGAACTGAGAGAGCATGGTCTGGATAGACAGATGATAGACCTACAGTCCCATTACGAACACGTGGTTAGTGGTCAGTTCGTCAGTGAGAGTCCATCCACGGGTCTACGCAGACGGATGCGTGATAGACTTAGATAGTGCGCCGTGTTTGCGAAACCAGCTCCTGTTCAACCTCTTTAAGGTCACAATCATAGCAATGATCACAGCGAGCGTCAGGACAAACACAGACTTTGGTCTCTACAGACACAGAAGCATGATGTGGCACAGTGACCGTGTTAAATATCTGATGCTCGGACATAGAGGCTGCACATTCACGCTTTAGGCCTCAGAAGGTCCATGTATTTAATCTGATCAAAGCGCATCGAGCCGAGACAGGCCGGACCCTTTGCCAAAAGCACGGGTCATCTGCAGGAGCAGAGAGACGGCTGTGTCACTTGTACACGGCACATGCAGTCAAGGACACATACGGTCAGAAGACACGTCCATCGTGTGTCCACTGTGGCCCGTGCAGCAGCACGACAGTGACGCTTTGGTGCGTAAAGAATCGGCTGAAAGCAAACCGTGCCATCCTCCCTCTCGGTCTGTGCCAGTGCTGCCCTCACACAAGCAGGAATAGAATCTTTTCTTGCCCAGATACAAGCCAACCAATGGAGTCAGCCGCGGCCGCGCTGCACTGCAGCGTGCGCAGACCAATCGCATCCCCGCGCAGCAGCAGCGCCCATCTTCTGTCTGCGGAGGTGATTAAAGCCCAGAGACCTAAACTCCAAAACCCCGACCCGCGGTGCTGTGCAGCCCTGATGAGTGGGACCTGCGTGAGTCTCTGCGGAATGCGCCTTTTCACATTATCGAAAACAAAAACACGAACATGGAGGACACTGTGGTCAGGGTCTGACATTAATAACATGTTTTATGAGGTGCACACCGCAGTCGTTTTAACACTGGTGTTTAGAGCAGATCTAAATGAAAGACAGCAGTTCTAAGAGCCGTCACTTTGACCTTTAATCTGATACAAAGACGTGTGCCTGAAGCATAAAGCCATGTTTCTATCAGCCATATGCTGCATGTAGTTTTCAGTGACAGCTGAGAGTGTGTGGTTTGTGCAATTGATTTAGGATCAAACACATCTGATTAAGATCGTGGCTAATAATTATCTCAATTAGCCGGTTTGCAGTTCAGACATAAAACCAACAGAAATAAAGCTGATCAGGTCCTTTCACCTTTTGAGGCCATTGAGAAGACTGGAAGACATGAAAATAAAATTGCATGAGTTCAATGTAACAAATAGAGGCGCGTCGTTTATTGTCTTCTGAAAATATATCTATTTTTCCCTCATTTTCCCGCCTCAAGTCTTTTAGAAGATACGGTTCAGGAACATAACATTTGTTGGCAGTGTCTCTGTTCACGGTGAAGGCCTGACTGACCAGTTCTTTAGATAAAATGTGTTTAAAATGAATCCTTTGCACAAGAAGAAACACAGCCAACCCTTTCCTCGGTGACACAGGCCTGTATATGTGAATGTGTCGTCCTCCTTTTCATTTAGTCTATACAGAGGAAAAGCTCATATTGACATCAAAGGCCTTATGTCCCTGCGGTTAAAATCAACAGCGCCCACTTTTAAGACACATTTGCTGTTTTTTTCTGGGTTTTATTGGATTTAACTTTACCTTGGTTTTTGATGAACGCATAAGTTTAAAGACATTATTCGAGCGGAAATATACATAAACACAGTGATGCAACATAATCATGAAATTGTTTTGTTTATTTCTAATTTTGCAGTCGTGAAAGAAACATTCTAATAAATTCCACTCTTTTTGTATACCCGTAAATCACAGCAGCAGTCGTCTCGGAGCACTATGGAAAATGCTCAATAATTTTAGTTTCAGCCTTAAATCTGGTTTCGGAAATATTATAGCTCACAGTTTGCATAGAAAAACAGGCCAAAGTCTATTTTCCCTTATATGCCTGATAAATTAGAATTATCTCACGTGCGCTGAGAATATACAAAAAATCACCAGAAACCCAGCACATTTATGGAAATTTTTGCACATTAATTATTATTTAAGGACATGGTTATCCCGCTCCCCATATGGACTAATTTATCTTATGTGTTTGTTATTATTGCGTTTCCTATGTGTTCGAACGGGTTTGATTTTCTGATCTGATGTGGGCCAATCGACAACAAATCCTCCGAGACGACTGCTGCATGGTTTGATTTAGGGCAATAGAAAAATTAATGTAATTGAATTGAATTGAAACGCACGGCTCCTGAGTTAGTCCGCGTTATATCAATCCTCTGCTTACATCTAAGTGTGTCCCCTCTGGTGCTCCGTCTGCAAATGAAGTTCCTCACGGATAAATAAAGTTATTTGAATTGAATTGAATTGAGTTGACAGCAGACGGGCCAAGCTCAAGAGGGGAACTCCGCTCTTCCTTTTTCTTATAACCCTCACATTCTCTCTCTGTCTATTTATTCTGGCTTTGACTTCAATGCGCAACAGGACGTGCACGTTACTGTCAGAAAACTAATTTAAAATGAGCACCCATGAAGTTAAATTCTCATCTTTTATTGCGACATGCGGGCTATAACGAAAAAGACGAATTACTACTGCCTTTGGAAAGCGAAGGAATTTTCTCAAATCTAATTTTTCCATTCATATTATTTGTGCATTACCCTTAAATCACAACAGCAGTCGTTTCGGGAGGACTTTACTAAATAGTCCATTATTTTTTCGTCCCCCAGCAACCAATCAGAGAATCAAAACAGCTCCAACACATGACGTGCAATAATTCAGCTATATTTGTTCATATATAGAGAGCGCGCAATAACCGATGTCCATAAATGTTAATAAATATTGTTGCAGTTTTGACATTTGTCTACGATGCTGGCTCAGTGAGATAATGTTAGGTTGTATATCCAATGGGAATGCGCGGGTGAGGTGACTTGAGTAAGAAAAGATTTTTATTAGGTAGAAAAAAACATATCTATTTTCATTAATACCTATATTGGAGTCACTATTGTCTACCCTCCTTCTTCACTAGCTTTTATATCAGCAGCTGCTTCTTCCCTGCCCATTTTTGTTCCCATTTCTTCATCACTGCTTTACCCTCACATTAACAACAGCGCACAGAGACGCTTCATCGACCGCACGTATTTACCGAGATTCGCCCCCCTCCTCTTCTTCCCCTCCAGAGTCTCTCTCCTCCCACCTCGGTAGCAACGCCTCAGCCAATGCGCGCACAGATCCAGCTCACACCGTCTGTGTTTCCAAGGCAACAGCGTACAAAACTGCACGTACGCTCTTTACGTCCCCGAGTATTATGGTCTGTCGGGAATCCAAAGTAGTGGCTCTCGCTCGCAAGCAAGACACGGGAGGAGGGGAAGTCTATCTCGGTTCTCTCTCTAGCGGCGGATCGGCGTCAACATGGAGCTGTCTGCGGTCGGGGAGAGGGTGTTCGCGGCCGAGTCTATCATAAAGAGGAGGATCAGAAAGGTAGGGTCCATTTACGTCCGCTGTTACGCATGAAACACGGCTACAGTTGTCTACATGCGAGCTGCTAACCCAAGTCTTTCTGATGGCACGCACGCAGGGTCGCGTTGAGTACCTCGTCAAGTGGAAAGGCTGGTCTCCTAAGTACGTCAACTGCCGTCTTCTTGTCGCTTTCTCCCATTCCCAGTGTGTATTACGCGGTGCTACTATCCAACCCGAACGCAAGAACGCGCTCCGATTGCCTGTGTGTGTGTGTGTGTGTGTGTGTGTGTGTGTGTATAGCTTCCCAGGCTAACACCGCTATCATCCACATTGACGTATACGCAGCGCGGCGCCTGCTTCACCTTTGGATTAACACATGTTTCATTTGGCAGATACAGTACGTGGGAACCAGAGGAGAATATCCTGGACGCGCGATTGCTGGCCTCTTTTGAGCAGAGGTGAGAGAGAGAGAGAGAGAGAGTGAGAGAAAGAGAGAGAGAGGGGGAGAAAGAGAGAGATCATGTCCCGTGCATGGCCTTTACGCGTGAGGGCCGTCAATGTGTCTGCTGTAAATATACGTTCCCCGCGCTGCACTTTGCTCCGTGACGCTCAACGCTGGTGTGTGTGTCTGTGTTGTGTGTGCGTGCGCGCGTGTGTGTGCGTGTGTCTGTGTGTGTGTTGTGTTCGCAGGGAGCGTGAGAGAGAGCTGCACGGGCCCAAGAAGAGGGGACCAAAACCGAAGACGTTTCCCCACAAGGTTGTTTGACATGTTTGACTTGACGTTTTGTTGCGTCTTTCTCATATCTTGGTTTAGGCCGTGCTCGATTCCGCTTCTTTCTAATTGCCTTTAAATCAGCTCAAAGCGCACTGTGTGAGGTCACTGATGAGAAGTTCATTGTCTCCTTTTTGAAGCGCGATGAACACCAGAGTTTAGATTTTTGTCTTATCTTTCAATTGATGCGTATTTTCATGCTAGGGAATTTGTTTAAATGTATTGTCAAACACTTTTTAAGAAATGAAAATTATTATTATCAATTATTCAATTGATATTGAAGTACCAAATAACTACTTGCCCCATAAACTTATTCCATTTGCTTTTTTCTTTAATGTAACAAATTCTGACTTGGTAAGAGACATCAGTGCATAGCAGCAAGCAGAACAGGGCTGTTTGTTGACATACACGATACAGTCAATGCAAATACATAATAAGTTTTCCAATATGATTTTTTTAGTTCTTTATTTTGTCAAAACATTCATTATTTTGTTTGTGACTATTTCCCTACAGGCCCAGACTACAGAAGTCAGGTCATATGACTTCAGAAGTGACACAGTCAGAGGGGTGTCGTTCCCCTGTGCAGAGCCAGTGGTCACTCCCAGGGCCAGAGAGGGCCTCAGGGCTGTGGTTCCCACCATTTTTCCTCCCAGCACTGTCAATCGAGGAGAGAGCTTCCTCATCCAGGAGCTGGCCTTGCAGCACTCGCCCTCACACTCCATCTGTGACATCAGTGTCCCCAAAAGGAAAGGCCCAAAGCCGAAGATACTCACTCTACATTCTGCTGAGTCCACCAAGAGAAGAGCAGCGGAGCACATGGAGCAGGAGACTTGTAAAGCACCCAAACTCCAGAGCACAGGAGAGGTCAGAGCTGTCAGAGCAGGGCTTCCACACACAGAGAACCATAAACACCTGCACCACTCTAGCTCACACAGAGCTCTTTCTGAGAGAGACTTCCACCATGTGTCCTCCCCTCGCAGCGCTCTGTCTGCCCGGACACACACAGACCCTCACACCCTCACACAGTCTCTCACACAGACCCTCACACAGTCTCTCACACAGACCCTCACACAGACTCTCTCACAGACTCGGAGCTGAGCAGAGCCCTGAGCTCCTGTAAACACCTCAGACCTGTGCCTCCCCCTCACAAAGCTCCAGTGAAGAAGCCTTTCTTCTTGGAGCGCTCGTCCCCGGTGCCTCTCAGTGACTGTGCTGAAGTGTCATGGAGGCCTTCTCTGCTGACCATGCAGAACGTGCTGGTCACAGACGTCACCACCAACCTCCTGACGGTCACAATCAAAGAGAGCAGCACCTCTAAAGGCTTCTTCAAGGACAAGAGATGATCCTTTTCTTTATGTATCCAATACATATGTGCACATAAATACAATACTGTATACAAGAGTATTTAATTATTTACCAAATGAATGAGTCCTCTGCATTGCCAACATCCTCTGGAGACGTTTGACATTTCTGTTTAAGACTTTCTAAAACTATTTCCATACGAAACAAGTATATTGTTTTTCAGTTTTTCTCCCAGCCTTTGATGCTGTATAATTTTAATTTTAATTAGAACACCTCTTTTCCCTTTTGTGTAGTATTGAAATGCATACGCACTTTGAAAAAGAAAATATTTTGTTTGCGTGATGACCCAGACTCTATTTAAATGCACTACCGTTTCCGAACTGATTGTTTTCCTAAATAATCCCAATAAAATTGTGTAACAAATGTATTTAATGTGTCAACGCTTATTAATCATTAAACCATTGTTGCTGTTTTTATAAGAAAATCCCCGCCATGAACTTAAAAACGTGCACAAAGACGCACGCTCAAGGGCCGGTTTAATAAATGCGCAAACCTGGATTTGTGAGGCCTGCTTTGTGTGTAAGTAAGTAAGTAGTAAGTCATTATTTATATACCGCCTTTTCACTGCAGAGCTGAGTCTCAAAGCGGTTTACAATTGTTATTTTTTTGGGCACTTGTCTCTCACTCCACACAGAGATGGGAGCGGGGTCGCCAGTACAGGAAGCGCATGCCAGAACTACATATTGTACATATTTTTAGTGTGTGTTGTATATGCGCTCCTACAGAACGAACTATTATTTATTAAATTTACTATTATAGACTAAGTTTTTGTCTCTTTTTTAACTTTGAATTCAGCGTTAACATTTGCCTATTAGTTTCTACAATGTATTTTTGCATTTAATTACTGTCCTTCTGACACAATGACGCACAAAAGCGCACCGCAAAACACCAACCCGCCCCAAAGCGCTTTCAAACCTTTATGAATTCACAAGGTGCAATTAGAAATAACGAGGGCCTGATGATCACAGGCGTTTCCCGCGCAGCCTGAGTTCTCTCTAATCCTGAAATGTATTTATGGATTAATGAATTTGCAATTTTCAATCAGGTTTATTTTGTTGTGTCAGAATAGAAGCACAAAAAGGCCATAATGGAAAGTAATTTCTCTACATCTTTAAATCACAACTTGGTTAATGTTTTTATTCACTAACAAGGACATGTCGATCTATTCTTGAATCCATTTGGCTATATTCACACGTCGTCATTTCTTTGGCGTCCATTGGTCACGGCTGAAAGAAAGAAAGTAAAAAACAGAATAAGAAAACACCCTGCATATAGCGCACATGGTCTGCAACGCTGTAATTACCCAGAATGCCACTTCTCCCGGGGCCCTTCGGCGGTGGCCCCTCACACCGGGTATCCGTAGTTGCTGTTGCAGCGCGGGAAGCAGTGCGGGTTGAGCCAGTTCTCGCGAGTGGTCTCCTGCGCTCTCTGGTCCAGGACCTGCATGTACAGAAGGTGCTCCTGCAACCAGACACAAAACAGAAACAGCAACCTTCAAAAAACACATCATTTATCCTCAAATAATACAATTTAACCCCAGACATAGTTTTTTGTTTGTTCCATCAATGACGCGGTATGACGCAGCTCATGGGTATAATGTAAACGTTTTCCATCCACGTTATAGGCCCATATTTGTACATCCCATTCCAATAGCTCTTTGTTAAAGACCACATTTTGAGTCACTGTTTTTGAAGCTTGGTTGGAACTGAAATCTACCTCTTCTACCATCAAACTGCATCTCAACCATTTGGTAAAAGGCCCATGAATATGACAAAATACTATACAAAAATGCAAAAACATAATTATTTGTTTGTTATTAGTGCTCACATCTTAGAAAATCACTCAAAGAAACATTTAGATGGCTTTCTTCAAGTGAACATTAAAGGGTTAAAACTTCACAACTTGCTTCTATTCAAGGCCTATAGTCAAAATAAGATAAAAAACATATTAAATGTTCTAACTAATTGACTGACTCATGTTGTAACTAACTAAATGTCTTATTTAGATATAGTTGTAAAAGGGTTGGCAGTATAATTCTTGTTTTGACTTCAGCCTAAACCTCTTTTTGTCAGCATTATTGTTGCACATAAATTCTCACACATTTTTTCCCCCCAATTGTTTAATGTATAAAATCTTTGAAAAACATGTGACCTATGATCTAAAAGTTCATAATGACCAAAGAAAATACACTAAAAACAGCGCCGTGTCTTTCCCAAGTTTAATTTAGACTGACTGTTTGAGGCTAATCCTGTTTTTTCCTTCACCGCCTCTCCGCCCACTTCCAAATTTGTTTCCACCTTTATATAAATGTACATGTATTTTATTTTTGTGAATCTATTTCAGTTTTCTATTTCTCTCTTTGGGCAGCTGGTGTTGTACTGATAAAGTTGACATTGAGGTTGGGTTCTTAAATCTCCTGAAGCTTCATCTGAATCAGCCCTGCAGGATTCAGATTCTACACAGATTCTAAACCAATAATATCGATGCATGTATATAGAAAACATCTACTTTAGTTTTGTTCCGTTTTACAACATACTCACTGGTTACAATGCATCTCTCCTTTTCGCCCAGGCAAGGCAAGTTTAATTGTGTAGCACAGTTTATACACAAGAAAACTCAAAGTGCCGCACAAAACAAAGGTAGAAACAGTCGCACGAGGCATTCAAATCATGAATAATCACAGTTCAAGCTCATTTTTATTTGTGCACTGTCCCTTTAAAAATCATATCATCAGAATGCCATACATATACGTCACATTATGAGCTATACGTGTGATATTTTAGATTATTTTAGTCGTTTTGTTTTTCTCCCCTGTCCAGTGATTTCCTTAAAGAAGTGTACATTTGACTGTGGTTTTTGATACGTTTTGATAATGTGAGGGTTGTATTCTACATGTTGCCGCAGAAAACTTGGTCATGTAAACAATTACGTATGGTGTGGTGTGATATGTATTCATACAGAGACAGTGTGCAATAAACATTAGCCGGGACCATGATTTTGAGGGGGAAAAAAGAAAAAACTGAAATAACAGCGCTTTTTTGAGTATTGCTATTTTTTGTTATTATTATTTTGTGTGTCCTGGGAATAAAACTGCCACGATCGACTTCAAGGTAGCTCGCTGTTTTAGTTGAACGATGTCAATATCCCAGGTTACACTTATTTCACTAAACATTATTACACATGGGGAAGGCACATACTGTATAAGCTTTTTTTTTTGCTTATACCTTCACTTTTGAGCTATGTTTCTTGAAATTATATGTATCTGTAAAAAAGAAATATATAAAATTTCTCAAATAAGCTCCCACTATGCTACTATACATGGATATATTCAAAATCGTATCTAGTTTTCCACAGATCTGAAAATGCGGTAAATTCTATGTTGCTCCCTGTTTGGACTACATGTACATCAGTGGTTCTCAAGCTGGGGGTCGGATCGCCATGGTTACCAGATGATGCAGATGAAAGCAAAGATATTGTTTTTTTCAACGCAGCAGGGGTGTGGTATTCTATGACATATTTGTACTTAATTTGTACGTAATATATTGATGTAGTATCTGTATCTTTAGCGCATTCATATGAGATGTCGCGCCCAAAAAGTTTGAGAACCACTGATTATATACAGTAAACGTTCAAATATGGTGATAGTTGTTTGTACTTCCCAAAATTACTTCCTCTATGTGTATCAAATATTTTACTTTTTTCTTTAACCTTTGTTCGCAAAATTAGGCCGAAGTAAAACGTACTATTAAAACTATATATTCTTTGAGTCTTTAAGAGGGAATTAAGTTATCTGCCATGCATACTTTGATCATTAAATCCAACTTCACAACCACAAACAAAAATATATGTATTGAAATCTGGATTGGTTCTTCCCTGCGACCCGGCAACGGATGAAGCGGAAGAAAATGGGTGGATTTTAACAAGCATGTATTTTTGTCTCATCTATAGATAGGGTTTTTTCTGGGGAAAAGGGAAAAAGAGGCCCACCCCTTCTTAGCCAATCAGCTCTCAGCATAACGTGTCAATAGTGACTCAAAGGGCTCTTTCTTAAAGCACTTTAATGATCTTGCACTTGTTTTGAAACTGTTTGAGTTGATTGATTTCACAGAGTCAATTGCATATTTTTATTCTGTTTAATTATTCCTGTACTTTAAACCTTTTATTATGTATATGTACTTGTCTGGTGCACATTGGGGACTCTTGCAAATGTAGTCCAATGTGGTTTTACTGCGAATGACAAACAAGATGTATCTGAAATGAATCTGAATTTGATGTGGATGATAAGATAACATATTTTATAGTTATATTTTTCTTTTACTTTTTTTCTGACGGGCCAAACAATATGTATTAATTATGGAGAAAAGTAAATAATATGACGTAACATACGTTGTTCATCCCATATTGCACTACTGTTTTATTCTGTTGCTCCTGTTTTTTAATGTTTTTATTATGCCCTGTACAGTGCCCTTGGGTGTTTTGAAAGGCTCTATTAAATAAAATTTATTATTATTACTAGATAGATAGATGACTTTATTTGCAGACTCAAGGTCCAGATCAACACAGACACAGACAAAAAAACACAAATAACAACATTATTATTATTATTATCCCACACATTAATTTCATTTTACCCTCATTGGTTCATCAGGGTGACCAGGTTTCTGCCTCTTACTGCGGAGAAGCTGCTTAGCAAAGCTCTCCTTGATGATGGGATTTGCCTCTGAAAGCATAAAACAGCATAAGAAAAAACAGTAAGGTAAAGGTAAAGTGGAAGGTGCACTTTTTGATTATGAATTAATTAATAATAATGGGAATATGTGGTACTGCTCATCAAATTAACCTTATTTGAAGACTTGGGTAAATTAGCTTAAATAATAACAATAATAACTCATGCAAACAACAGCATGCTAATAAGTAATGCTGCTGGTTTAAAAAAAGAAAAACAAAAGTGTGTTGATTTCCTCTGATACACTTCCTCATGTGTGTGTGACCTCCACCACAGTTATGTGTTGTGTAGCGGCTGAGTATGGGCTAATCCAAAAACACTGCTTATACTGAGACTTGTGTTCGACCCCATGAATAACTCACTCTCCACCGTATCTCTTTCCCTCATAATGTGTTTACCCAGCGCAGGTTTGAGTCTGTTTTTCACACTCAACTCAGCGTTGACAAGTTCAGTTTTTGGAGGAAACCAACAGAGCGTCCATTCATGGGCCCTCTGTCTCTGGGGAGCCCTGTGTCACGTGACCTCAGCTGGTAAACATCACTCCCCCATCTCAAAGCTCTGTCAGTGAGCGGAATGCTGCTCTAAGTGTACGGCAGAGACGTGGCAAACTGTAATATTTACTGAACAAAACAACTTATGCATTGACTTCTATTTGCATGTGTGATTTATTTATAGACCTATATGTACAAGATGCCAACGTTGCAATTATAGTTGTTTCATGCAACATTTCTAGCTGAATATTTATGTAACTCCTCAAAAATGCATCTCTCTTTCTTGAATAAGTGAAAATGATACATGCTGGCTACTGCTATTTTCCTAAATGAGTGTTGAAATGTTCAATGAACTAAGTAAAAAAGGCTTTAAAAATGTGTGTTTAAAATCCTACCTGTGTAGGCCATCAGCAGGACCACGCAAAGTAAAAACACTGCAACTTTCTTCATCTTCTTCACGTTTGCTGCTTCAATCCTGACTGCTCTGAGTCCACACTGAACCAAGAGGAGGTGCAGGGGTCTCCTCCCCCCCTGGCCAGAGGGAGGGCAGTGCTGCTGCGAGGAGCTGAAAGGAACAAGGAGCATGGCTTCATTTAATGATAGTGATTATGTTTGCCTTTATGTGGAATAATAGCATTAAAACACAAAACCATGTCTCTCTATTGTTTCCATTGAGCAATGGCTGCACGTGGCCACTAAGAGGCAGCAGAATATCTGACAGAGATTTTCATAACAAACGTAAAGGAACTTTCGATGTATTGATAGGAATCTGCATGTAGGATCATTTTACAATTTTAGGATTACTGACTTACTTATGCAATCAGAATAAATATGTTAGAAAAAATAAATACACGTTACAACGGCAGTGGTCTCCGTGTAGCAAACAATCACCACTATAATGCAACAACTGTAACAAATGTAAACTACAGCACTATAGTGCTATGACTGGTGTTTTTGTGTCGCCCTCCTAAAGGAGGACACTACTGTCCAGCACAAACATAAGCCCATGAGAGCGGATATCGTTATTATAATAGATCCATGGCGGATATCCACAGTGTGATTATCATCCTGACTCATATCTCACATCAGAGGCTGACAGCGTGTACTCACAGCGCATGCGCGAGTCCCGACCGCAAAGATAGTTGTGTTCTGCGCACTTCCTGTTTTGTCAAAACAACATTTAACGAATGTGTTTTACATATGGGTATATGCCGTGGGCGTTGTTCGCATATTTCCAATGATAATACTTAATAACATGTTTAAAGCCGTTTCAATGTGAGCTATAATCACGAGGATTACTTGTCATTAACAGTCCGTTCCTTCCGTTACCGTCTGCTGTGCAGCGAACGACCGCATGGTGTCGCTGTGCACTGCAGTCTGTGTTTTGTATTATTATCCTGCTGATCTTTGTCAGAGCTAAGTTAGCGCTGGAGCTGCTGTGAGCTGCAGCTGCTGTGTCCACTTCCTCTGAGATTCTCTGTCTTGACTTCTTTCCTCTGAGCTGGAGCTGTACGCACGAACATGGGCTGCGTGTGGAGGACGTCTGCTTTGTGTTTTTGCTCTGTAGTCTTTAACGTGACTTAGTTTCCGCTCTCTCACGCTCGACCACAGCCCCACACCATGTCCTCGGAGGCGGGGGACGAGTGGTCCCTGCTGCTGTGGACGTCTCTGGCGGTGGTGGTCCCTGTCATCATCACGCTGTGGTGCAGCGTGCAGCGCGCAAAGAGGAAGATGCACATGAGGGAGTTCTTCCGTAAGAGCAAACACGGCTGGCACTACATGGACCTGTTCACCAAGCCCACGTACTGCTGCGTGTGCGAGCAGCACGTCCTCCAGGGCGCCTTCTGTCAGTGCTGTGGCGTGTGCGCAGATGACGACTGTCTGAGGCCGGCGGACCGCCGCCTCCGCTGCAAAGACATCATGGCCCCGGCCAGGGCAGACGGGGCCATGGACCACCGCTGGGTCCGAGGAAACGTGCCTCTGGCCAGTTACTGCAGCGTGTGTCAACAACAGTGTGGCTCTCAGCCCAAACTCTGCGACTTCAGGTGAGTCTTGGCCTGTCAGAGCAGCTCACCAGACTTAATCCCACTTTAAATATGCCCTAATGGCTGCTCTCATCATCATAATCCTGGTGATGCACTCTCCCTGATTGTGTTGGGACCAAAACTAACTCATGTCGTGTAGCAGACTATCTCTTACATGTCTGTCCCTGTGTGCAGGTGTGTGTGGTGCCAGAAGACGGTCCATGACGACTGTCTGAGTGAGGTCCCAGACCAGTGTGACTTGGGGGAGTTCCGCAGCCTCATAATCCCTCCTCACTACCTCAATCACGTCAACAAACTCAGGCGCAGGCATCCAGACGAGTACAGTAAGGTGAGCTCCTAAGGTACTCCACTTACCCCCATTCACTATGTAATAAATGATACTACACTTTTCTTTGGTTTGTGTAGTTGGCTGAGTCGTGTGGGAGCAACTGGACCCCGGTGTTGGTGTTGGCGAACACACGCAGTGGTAATAACATGGGAGAGGTGCTGCTCGGGGAGTTTCGAAGTGTCCTCAACCCAGTGCAGGTCTGTGTAACACATTGAACTTTTTTTTTACAGTTTATTTTATATATTATATATTATTGCAGAATATAGTGAAGAAAGTGGGGACCAATAATTGCAGTACATAAAAAGAGTGAAGATACAATCCTTCAGTTGTATGCACAGATTTGAACATTGTCTGTAAATGCTGTGCTTTGTGCAGGTGTTTGACCTGTCGCAGCTGAACCCCTCCAAAGCGCTGCAGCTCTGCACCCTGCTCCCGCCGGGCAGCGTGCGGGTGCTGGTGTGCGGAGGCGATGGCACCGTGGGCTGGGTGCTGGACGCTATAGACACCATGAAGCTCAAGGTACAGTGATCATTTTGGAACAAGATTTTAGTATTTTTAGTTAAATTGTAGTCTTCTAAATCAAAGATAACAGAAAGGGTCTTGTACAAGTAAAATCAGACCACATTATGTAATCTTCATTTTATTTGAAAACATTTTATGTGACGCATCGGGCTAAGAGCTGATGTTTGTTGGATAGTTCTGTCTTTGTCGCTTTTCTGTCTGAAAAAGCTGATCTAAAGATGTGACCGGCCTAAAACACTCGCAGGGGAAAACTATGGATCCAAATAGTTTAGAGCGAGGGTCTAGTAAAATCCATTTTTGTTTGAAAGTTTGGTGTTCATGGAATTGAGTTTGTTTTTGTCTGATTAGGAATGGAAAGGAATGGATTTAGTCTCCACTTAATTCATAAATGTTTAAATGTTCATTTTTTTTACCCAAGAAATGGTAACTATGGGTCAGAAAACACATCTACTCAGAGTCCTGACTCCAGTTTAGGGACATGTGCGTGATATGAGGGGTGTGTTTTCCTTTTCCTCTCGGCTCCACCGTCTGTCGCACTGTTTTGGCCGAGTTAATAATAAACCTGCTGCTCTGTTTTAGGGCCAGGACCAATTTATCCCCCGAGTGACCATCCTGCCGCTGGGCACCGGAAACGACCTGTCCAACACTTTGGGCTGGGGAGCGGGCTACGCCGGAGAGATCCCTGTGGAGCAAGTTCTGCGCAATGTGGTGGACGCAGAAGTGGTCAGAATGGACAGGTGTGAGACCGAAACATATCACGGTTATAAAACTACTCCATGGCTGTGTTTATAACCGGACTCTACATTAACAGATGGAAAGTGCAGGTCGCATCAAAAGGTGCATATTTTCGTAAACCAAAGGTAAGTGTCAATCTGCTTTCTACAAGGTTTGAGATCATTAGAATTCAATTGTGATTAAGGTCAAGTTTATTTATGTCGCACATTTATAATTTCAAGAGCCCAAAATGCAGTTCTCAAGGGATAAAACGGTAATTAATGCTCATAATTTGTCACTTCCTGTTACTTAACAATGGCAAGACAAATTATTCTGAGTTTGTTTTAAAAAGAAAATGTTGATACAAATGACTAAAACGGTGAATCACCATTTAACACTTAGTTTATCATGATATGGGCTGATTTGAATTATTTATTTAAAAAACCATCTCCATAAAATAATTCTTCAGGCACAGATATATACAACTAGTGCTTATTTGATCTTTTTTCCCCCCCTATTTTGCATTGATCACAAGTTCAAAACAATTTACTTTTGTATAGTCCTAATTCACAACAGTTGTTATCTCAGAGGATTTCACACAACCGTTGAATTCGCCAACACGGATCAGAGAATCAAAAAGTTCAAACACAAAAAACGCAAGGATGAAAAACACATGTCCTATAATACAAAATAAAAAAACAGTGGGACAAAGTGAGAAACCTCGGCGTGGCCCACATTAAGGGAGGGATCCGCTTCCATGTACAGACGGGCTATATATCCAAGTCTTCTTCAACTGGAAAAAGATGATGGGGAAATCTGTAATAACACATAATTTGTACTTACAAAGAGCAAATTTTCCAAAGCTGTCTGATCAACGATGATAAGGTTGTAATCATAGCTGAGTTTATGATTATGAAGTGGAATTATTATGGTAAAGTCAGGGGTTTTTGTACTTAAGTCTTGCTTCTTCATCATGCTGAAGTTGGAGATTTTATACTGCTTAAACGTGTGCTAGAGTTAGAGAATTCATTTTGTATTATTTTAGTATTATTTGTTTATCTTGTGCTACTGTTCTGTATTTTGTGATTGCAACGCTTAATCTTGAATATGCAATCACACGTTTCAGGTTCTGTCCATGAATAACTACTTCTCCGTCGGACCGGACGCACTGATGGCCCTGAGCTTCCACACTCACCGAGAGAAAACCCCCTCGTTTTTCTCCAGTCGGATCATCAACAAGGTCAGAGTTTGAACACAAGGTTTCCACTGTGCAAACATGAGCCATGCTGTAGTTTGAACGTGCAACTACCGCCACGTCTCCGTCTTTCTCCCCCAGGCTGTGTATTTCCTGTATGGCACCAAAGATTGTTTAGTCCAAGAATGCAAGGATCTGGATAAGAGGATTGAGGTACGGTTGGGTTCAAATGCACACAGATTTACGTCAAAAGGAAAGCGAAACTACTGTAAAACATTGAAGACAAAAATATATATATATTAAAGCTGGACTACCTCACCTACCACTGCATTTTTGTATTCATGAGGAAAATTCAATCCCTATCCATGCAATGCAATGGGATATACGTCCTTTTGAAGAATAAGTAGCGCAGGTTTGTCATTTTATTTCAGATTTAATTTTTGTGCAACAAGGAAGAGAAAAGCTTGGTGAGTGCGGGGAGGGGAGCAGAAAGAGCGAGGGCCGCGCTTAGATTTAAAACGGCAGCTTCAAAGTCAAAAAGTGAGTCCAGCTCTAGTAATCCTTTGTTTTTGTTTTTTTAATCCTAAATCACCGGTTACATAATGGGAATGAGAAGCACACACGATAAATGAACACCTCATAAAAATATACTAAAATGAAATTAAATCTCTAACTTAAGCGTAATAAGAAAGCAAATCTGAATCTCCAACTTGAGCATTACGAAGAAAGTATGAAATCTCTGACTATAGCATAATAAGTAATAAAATAAGTAAGTAAATATTCATCTTCATTGATCTTTATATACATTTGCATAATTTTACATTGTATACTTTCCTTTTTTTCACAACAGCTGGAGTTGGATGGAGAGCGGATCGCCCTGCCCAGTCTGGAGGGCATCATCGTGTGCAACATTGGGTACTGGGGCGGAGGCTGCAGACTGTGGGAGGGGATGGGAAACGACCCGTGTCCACCCACCAGGTCAGCCACTGCTCCTAAATGTTTAGCTGTTTCATGAGTTTAAAGGAGACGCATGAAAAATCCACTCTTTTTTTTATTTATTTTTTTGAGCCGTTAACCACATTACAACATTGCTCCCTCATCAAAAACAGACAGACTCACCTGTTTTTTAGATCCATCCACGCTATCATCAGGAACAAACCTCTGGCACAAACTGCTACCTTCTCAGTCCTTTAATAGTGTGACGTCATTGTACCACCATGACATCACACCCAGATGATGGGTGATGTCATAGTTTTGAGCCAGTTAAAGTGAACCAGACCAACTAGTGTGAAACAAGCCTTGATATCAAGTTAGTTTTTTATATCCATCCATCCATTTTCTACCCTTTAATCCATTTCTGGGTCAGGGGGGTGGCAGTCAGAGATGCCACCCGTCTCATAGCACCAGCCCCTCACTGACCCTCTGCAGGTGGTGAGTCCACAGGAGGACGGCTGCTCTAAGTGTGAGCATAGCCTTGATCTTTCAGTGGGGGCTTTTTGGGCAAAGTGGGGTTAAGTGTCTTGCCCAAGGACACAACGACAGCAGTCATCAGTGGGAGTCGGTGGAGAAGGTGCAGAGGTGGGAATTGAACCCACGACCTTCTGGGCTTAAGGCCAATGCTCTACCAACTGAGCTACTGTCGCCCCTTTTTATATAACATTTAAAATTGGGTCAATTTATTAAAGAATCATCCATTGAAATAAGGCATATTACTTCTTCTGTGGTACCCAACTAACTATCCATCCATCATCCATTTTCTTCCCCTTAATCCATTTCTGGGTCGGGGGGGTGGCAGTCAGAGCTGCACCCAGTACACAGAGCACCAGCCCCTCACTGATCCTCCTGCAGGTGGTGAGTCCACAGGAGCTGAGATCTTTCAGTGGGAGCTTCAGGCAAAGTGGGATTAAGTGTCGTGCCCAAGGACACAACGACAGCTGTCATCAGTGGGAGTCGTGAAGTAGGTCTTATGGTGGGCTCGAACCCACAACCTTCAGGCTCTAAGGCCAATGCTCTACCAACTGAGCCTCCTAACTATCTTTATTCATGAATATAGTTCATATGTCAGAGAGAAAGTTTTGTAAAAGTCAAATCAGACATCGTCATGCCGTCTTCACCCTATTACAAAACATGTTCTCTGCAAACTTGGAAGTGAGGGGGGGGTCTGAAAAAGCTTATCTACGGTTATTCCTCATTGTATTTTACCAACACCCAACTTTGTACAAATGCAACGTGAAGTTAGTGCTGTATAAATAGACAAATAAAAAGCATGTTGAGAGCAGTAGATTCAACAGAAATGAAACGAAAGAAGATATGTGTCCGTGTTCTCGTGTTTGTATATTTTGCTTTTGAAATGGCTCTGTGCTAAACTAAAGGCTGATAGTGAAATATTGTTTGTGCAGACTGGACGACGGTCTCCTGGAGGTGGTGGGGGTGTATGGCTCTTTCCACTGCGCTCAGATCCAGGTGAAACTGGCCAATCCTGTGAGGCTGGGACAAGCGCACACTGTCCGGGTAAAAACACACACCAGCACAACACTTCCTCTGTGAGGCCTCAGTGACAGTGGACAGAGCCCCGTCATGAAAGGAACACATCTGTTTTTGAAGCCAATTGCATTTTCCTAATTGAATCAGCTGAGAGGCACATGGAGCCGAGCTGCAGCTGCTGCTCACACCCGTGTCATCCTTTTATATCACTGCTCATTCACTGCTCCTTCACATGTTGCAAACAGAGCAGAACCAGTTGCTTTACCTTTGACCCCCTTAAAAATAACTTAAAATGTTATGATTACAAAAAAAACGTAATTCTGTTTTTTGAGAATGACTTTGACATTATTGCGTTCCCACACTAAACAAACATGTCTCTGCAGCTGGTGCTGAAGAGCTCCAAGATGCCCATGCAGGTGGACGGGGAGCCGTGGGCACAGGGGCCCTGCACCATCACCATCACCCACAAGACCCAGGCCCTCATGCTCTACCACAGCGCCGAGCAGACGGACGATGACAGCAGCGGCTCCGAGACCGAGAGCAACACTCCACACGACTCCCCCAGACCCCCGGGCTCCAGCTCCACCCGGGCCTGATCCCGAGGGCCAGCTCCACCCGGACCTGACCCTCTCTCTGTCTTCAGCGTCTGTATGAGTGCTTTCACTTTGGTTTTCCCTGAGGTAAGATGCTGAAGGGAGATATCATGTTATTGTTTCCCTCTAGTTTTTATTTTTGGCACATGAGTCACTTATATTCTCCTGCTTTGACAAAGTGCTGTAAGTCTATGGTCCCTTGTTGGGAAAATAGACTTAGTCTTTGGTTTGGGTTTTAGATTGAGCTTATTGTCTGACCAATTCCGCAACAGAAGGTGGCGGTAATGCTCCACTAGTTGGCTGCCAATCGCCGTAAAACCCAAAAAAAGAAGTGTTATGATCCCCTGTGCTCCTTCACATACGTCATCGTCATCTGCCTCATCCGTAAAGAGGCAGAGGCTAAACAGCAATGTCCAATATGAAAATCCTCAGATATTAAGATCAATACTGAGATGAAAAAAATACTCTAAATTGATGATGATGATGTAAACATGAGGTGATGCGATGACTTTGGCTAACTACAGTACAATCCAACTACAACTCAACATTTGAGTTTTGAGACGGGATCAGCTTAAACAATATTTGCTAAATGTTCCACATTATTTTCAGTTTTGTGCCTTTCTTTGGCAAAGGAACCACTAATATAAATGTGACTTCACTCCGTCACTTCGTCACTTATTTTTGCTGATGTCTGGATCTTTAGAGATCTCTTTAATCTAATCCTAGTTTTGCTGCTGAATGCCCTCGGGGAAAGGTGTTTTCCACGTTCTTTTTCGAGCAAAAAGAACATGTATTTTATCTCCTTGTTGAACACTGCAGTTTCTCTTCATGTTTATGTCCGTTAGCCTCATGCCACCAGACTGATTGTGTTACTACTGCCAAAACCCGTTTACACACATTTATTTTGAGTTGTGAAAACTGTTGCTTTCCTTTTTATTTTTGCCTTTTATTCAACTTGTTTGTTGCACTTTCTGGCACTTATACGATTATTATTACAAACATTGCATTGTGTATTGTTTGAAAAGCAGTTTTGAATCTCTACCACAAGATGGTAGCGTAAAAGTGTTTTTCACTTAGTCCACTGGTTCATGGATTTTGTGTCGTTACAATGTGAGTTCCTATGTGAGAAAAAAACAGCCATATCTGAATAGACCTTTTGAATGTTAGTTGACCTGGGAACTAGTAAAAATATTTTATTTTTTTGTGGCCCTTGTGCTTTAGGACTGATGTCTTGAAATGGCAAACAGCAATTCAATACCCATTTGTGAAAGAACTGCTTATAGAACTTTTTCTTCTGTCTTGCACTGTATTCGTTTTAAAGTTACACATTTTATTGTATTTTTGCCTTTTTACCCGCACAATTCTGAGTGAGACTAAAGGCACGTTCACTGGTCTGGGTCACTTCAACTCAGGTTTGGCTCAAAAGATGTAAACCGACTTAAAGGTGCAGTAAGCGATTTTGTTAGCTTAGCCGTAGCACCAACTGGAAACCACTCCCCCCCTCCCCTCGCCTCACACCCCAAAGGCAAGGCAAGTTTATTTGTATAGTACAAAATCATACACAAGGCAACTCAAAGTCCTGAGCAAAATAAGAAAGCATTAAAATACTATATAATCACAGTACATTAAAAAGAAAGATAAATATAACATTCCTCAGTTGTATGCACAGCTAAACAGAACTGTCTTTAACCTGGTTTTAAACATTGTCAGAGAGGAGGCCTGTCTCACATCTTCAGGAAGACTGTTCCAGATTTTAGCAGCATGAATCTGAAAAGCAGCCTCCCCATGTTTAGTTCTGACTCTGGGCACTAACAGGAGTCCAGTCCCCGTGCTCCTCAGAGTCCAGGCTGGTTCATATGGGACTAACATGTCACTAATATATTTTGGTGCGAGGCCATGGAGAGACTTGTACACAAGCAGAGCTGTTTTAAAGTCTATTCTCTGAGCCACAGGAAGCCAGTGCAGGGACCTGAGGACTGGACTAATATGGTCGTACTTCCTGGTTCTAGTCAGGACTCGAGCTGCTGCATTTTGAATGTACTACAGCTGTTTTACAGCCTGTTTGGACAGACCTGTGAGCAGGCCATTGCAGTAGTCTAACCTACTGGAGACAAATGCATGGATAAGAATCTCCAGGTCTGCTTTAGACACTATGTTTTTGATCCTGGCAATGTTTTTTAGATGGTAAAAAGCTGCTGATGTTACTGATTTGATGTGGTTATTAAAATTAAAAAAGTGTGAGTCCAGTATTACCCCTAGATTTCTGACCTGGTTAGAAGGTTTTAGGGAGAGAGACTGTAGGTGACCAAACATCCAGCATTTTCTTTTCTTTGTCACGAGACATTGGCATTTTTTGTTCAGCCATTTTGGGTTTTAGAAAATCCTATACTGTAACTTAGGTGTGCGCACTCGCGAGAAACAGGAAGAGGGTGAAGGGGGTAAACACATCCCATTGGTTCGTTTGGGATGAACAAATCTCATTGGTTTATTTTCATCGGTCCGCTCAAATATTTTTAATTAATTTTTGGAAACTATAAGCATCTGATCAATTCCATTACTATTTGAAAACACATGATAACTTGACTACTTTTAGGGTTTATGGACGTTTTCCCACAATATATAAAAAAAAGACGTCTGGGAATAAATCATCTTTAAAGCTGGAGTACCAAACATTAGGAATCATTTAATTGTCCAACAGAAATACTCTCGTTTTGAGTAACATTTTGTGAATGCGTTTCACATTTCTGTCAGAAAAAGCAGATTCAAATCTACAAACCTAAGTTGCAGATCTAAATATATGCATGTGAAAACTAGTGACCAAACTGTTTAGAGACACAGCGAGAGGAATTAGTGACCTGGATTTTATTTCTCCAGTTTTTTCTTCCGCTTCATCCGTTGGCGGGTTGCGGGGGCAGCAGTCTGAGCAAAACTGCCCAGACATCCCTATCCACACACACTTCCTCCAGCTCATCCGGGATATTTTTAAAGTTAGCTACCCCAGCTTTGACTCCTAATCAACCAGAATCGAGCCAGTTAAAGTGAACCAGACCAACAAGTGTGAAACAAGCCTTACTATTAGCTTAATCAAGTTTTTTTTTTTATTTTTTTTTTTTAAGGCAGTAATATGTATATAACAATCAAAATTGGTTGAATTTATTTTAGAATGATCCATTAACTGAATTTTAAATCTTAGATGGAAGATTGTAGTTTCTGGATGTTGCTCAATGCCTTATGTATTTAATATACTGACCACGAGTTTAGTTTACATACACAACACTCACATCGGTCTCATGTCAGGATTATAAGCTCCCTCTATTATAGCTTTGATAGCGACGCTTGCTCACTGTACGATAGGCGTCATTTGAGGTTTGTAGTTCAAGTATGTAATTCCATGTTATTCTAGGAGACTGTTCCCCCCCCCCAAAAAATAGTCATATTATCAAACTCCCATATCCTTTCACATCGTCCACTGTTCCTGGTTGTAGACGTAACCAAGCGTTTCGTGTTTATTCCTCCATCACAAAGTACTTTTAGATTGGTAATAGTTTACGAAAGCCTGCGTTTCTTTCCTATTTGCATTTTTGTATTTCAGGTGTGGAGCAGTATTTTTTCTATTTAGATTTTACAGTGTTGTGATGCTGTGCCCAAGCTCTGGAATTTGAACAATCTGCTGCTTGAATTTCACTGTGTTGAGAATAGGAAAAAGTCATTATTCAAATGGGACGATTGCTTTAAATGATCTATATTGTATAAGCGTCAGGTTTTTGCCAAATAGACTGATATTTAATTGCTAACAGTGTGTTTACAAGACGAGTGCTCTGAAATGTCCAAACAAATGTGGATTAAGCTGACTATAATGAAATGTTCTTTGAATCTGACATTCCCATAAATATTTTCATAAATAAACCGTTGTGTGTTTTGTATTTATTTAAAGCTTGGGAACTGGAATAAACGCAATACACGTAACTAATTCCAGGGTCTTAACCAGTTTGGTTCTAGATGGTTTTCAAATGATTTTACAAAAAAAAAAACTTGTTGCATGTTTAGATCAAGTTCTCAGACCAAAATTTCCAAGAGGACCACCCCCTCCCTCAGCTCTCCATCACAGGGTTCTGTTTTACATAATCATAAGATGAATTAATCATTTTAACCTGTTGAAAAATTGCATGGACAAACATGTCCAGCACGGATCCCCCTCTCCCCGCCTCCCTCTACCTCTCCATCTTCTCTCCCTCCCTCCCTCTCACTCCCCATTGTCCTTCCGGCTTACCCCCTCCCTCACCCTGCCTCCCCCTCTGATAGCCACATTGGCCGGAAGTCGGAGGTGCTCATCCCAAGAAAAAAAATCTGTTTTATACAAAGCACACTGTGTCTATCCAATTGTCTGTTTAACTGTGTTATTGCTCTCTGCTTGCGCACAGCGCCGCAAATGGCAAAGTGGCACGCTCTATGCTAAAACAATTTCCAAGTGGTAACTTTTGTTACTTACGTGGCAATAAAAAAAATTCTGATTCTGATGTATTATTTCCAATCCTTAAAATAAAGGTCAGTTTTCAAATCAAGACATGTTTAAAAGCAAAGACCAGTTAGACCCGCCTCCACCGCTTCCTGATTGGACGCATACATTTTCTGTGATAGACCAATGGCAAGGAGCCTCCGTTATCTATTCTTCAGCAACTATGTTGGGTGGTGGTCATTCCAAGTGCAGGGACAGTTTAAAAAAGGTTTTCTATGAACAATATGGTCAAATGTATTATTTATTTAAATGTAATTGAAGACCTTACCTTTTAATGTTTTTTATTAACATTTTACTTGGATCATGGAAAAATTAGGGAAAGTTTCAGTTTAATGCAACATTTCCCATTGACAATGTCCCTAAAAACAATGAACAATTGTATTATATTTTATGAACAAATATATTTTATGAACAATTGTTTGTTTTACCGGTTTCTGCATTACCTTGACATGAATTATTGTTTTTCCTGTTACTTTAAATGAGGTCTCCCCTTTTAGATTGTAAAAACTGGTCCAGGGACCAATAGCAAATATCAGTAATTGCTGATCCTTTACACAGTTGAAAATATGACTTTTAAAACATGGTACTAGTTTAGTTGCATATGAAAGAATGAGTCCAGTCATTTGTGTTGGTAAAAACATGGGTGTGTTCTGTCTCCCAGACTAATCTTTGAAACGTGATTTGTATCATTACCAACCCAGAGTGACTCATTCTTACATCAGCACTAACAAAACACTTGCCGTTTTAGAGTTAAGCATATGCCACACACTCTAAAACCCTTACAGACAGATACATCTTTGCACACGCTGGTGACACGCACCTTTCCCGTCCATTCCAACCAATTTACATCTGGGGCATCCAACCTGTAGCTCGCCACCTCCTTTTATGTCGCTCCCTAAAAGAGATCTAGAAAATATCCAATATACTGAATATGACAATGTCTTATTCCTATGCTCACAACTATGAAATTTAAATGCAAACTTTGTGCACTAGTAAACAGTAACTAATAACATTGATAGTCACAGTATGGGTGCAGTCACTAATAATAAAACTTGCTCCCACATCATCTGGGAGTGACGAGCAAAAACTCAGACTGCACCTCAATGTCAGTTCATCACCCAAGATTACAATATTCCGGAAAAAAAGAAGAGTCAAAGAATTTCAATTAATTGATTTATTTATCATTGATACAAAAGAAGTGCAGTGAAGAAGTTAAGTGCATATGAGCAAGAAAATATACAATAACACGATTTTAAGACAAGATGCATGCTTGCAACACTTTGGTATTTAAGTAAAATTGAATATTCAGGTTCAGGGGCCTCATTTATAAAGCTTACACATGTAGAAAATTAGGCTTTACATGTCAAGTTTGTGACAGAGGCCAAATGAGATTGTAAGAAATGAGGAGTTATTGTTTTGATCAATTCTGGAAAGACTACAATTTAAGTTTCATAAATGAGGCCACTGACGAGTAGTTACACATTCTGGAAATAAACATTAAATCTGCATGAAGCACAGATCATTACAGAGCGTCAACATTCAAACTAACAACTGTGGCTCCAACTCTTGAGGAAAACCCAACTTTCAGAAGAAATAAGTTTAGTTGTCGCATCAAAATGCATAGCAACATCAACTCAAATGTTTGGATAGATGCACAATAGTCACATCTTAAATCCAGCCTCCAAACCCAAGCGGATCACAAACCAAAAAACCCTTCCAAATGTCGCTCAGGAAACATGCTAAAATGTGTGAAACTAATGAACATTTTAAAGAATTGTAAATCCAAGTGTGGGACAGAACACCCACCATCTGTTTTACGTTGGACATAGAAATGCATGAGATGTTCCACGGTATAGCATTAAAGTAATCGAGCTGCCCATGGAAATCTTTTTTTTTAACCCGTTTTCATCCACATCCTAATAATAAAAACTGGTAGAAAAAAGAAGCAGCTTTTTTCCAGAGCAGGATTTTTTTTCAGCTCAAAAAGCCAGAGTAAAACGTGATGAATTCGAAGGTAGGTGGGTTCTTCTCTACATTTAGATCTGTATGAAATTAACCCTAACCCAAATTGTTTACATTTATGCATACCTTGGGACTGCAAGAATGGTCGCCTAAACCTTTGATCAGGTTTGAGTCTACAGAGCTCCAGGATCAATGGTTTTGTGGGTTTTCTGGTGCAGGGTCCCTCAGCAGAGAACACCTACACCTCCTAGAGACCAAGTTTTGTCAGGTTGCTTAAAACAGTTGACCAGTTTTAGTTATATTTTTTATCATATCTTTAAACCAAGGTATCCATTGTTTCCTTAGTGGAAATGTTTACAGCTCATCTCATATCTTTTGAACACAAGTTTGGATTATTCTTTTCTGGGAGATTTGACCAAACAAAATGGACTCCTTTATGTTTGGATTGAACTGAAACTAGACAATTTGTTCTGTATTAGTGAACTCTCGCTCTTACCAAATGGGAAAAACAAATATTTATAAAACATGCCACAGTCGCACACATCAACCAGAAGGCCCCGGCTTTAGTAAGAACACGAGATGGTTAGTTTAATGCCATACCTTGGAACATTCATCCCAGTCCACCACCCAGAAGCAACTAACCAAAACCTCTTACGTTAGCGGTTAGTGGCGTCAAATGCAGCTACTAAAATTCAAAAAGATAAGACTACGATTTACCACTGAGCAACATCTTTCACCATAACTGCGTTTTCCCAGTATACAACGTAGCCTCCTTCAAGCAGTAGAAGGAAGTGAAAGTATCAAACAACTTCCAGCTTCTCTATAAACTCGAGCACAGCACAGATTTTAAGCAACTTTTAAGCAAGTGTGTTTTTATTGGTAAAAAAAAAAACACCTTCAAGAGGTCAGTGAACGTTCCTTCCAAGCACATTTTTATTGTGCATTTTAATTGGCTTGTTCACGTGTAAACTTGCATAAGGCTGCTGTATCTATGCTGTATCTGTGCCACTCATTTCACACCATTGGGCACGGGCAAGACAGACCTGCTGGTGTGGAGCAGTTATATGCACTCACACTATTATGACGACCAGAACATTCATTATGATCTGGTTACAAACGTCTGCAAGTGAATCTCACGCGTGGGATCGAGACGGTATGCGACCCTGTGAACACGTTTATGGAGCCACGCTGGACCATGAACCGCTTCAGAAATAACACAGGCAAAGCTCAGTTCTTCAAAAGGACAAGTCGTACATTTATTGTATTTCTTTGTGTGTTTTGAAACTGTAGAACTGCCTGAATGATTATATGGAAATACAAGATACATTGAGATCAAACCATCGGAAATTATAGCCACTGGAACGATCTTTGTTTGACAGGTTAATGGAAAGCCTGTTAGGGAAAGGTATTTTTTCCCTTCCAGATATTTAAAACTGCAATAATTTGGATGGTAAGATATTTACAGTACAGCTTTAAAGTGTACAACCAATAGGTGACAAGATTACATTGTCCTTCGCAGACACAAGGAGATACATGCAAGCTACACACAGAAAGCCTGGGCCAGGAATCGAACCCAGGACTGAATATTTTAGGCATGACACATTACACAATCTTTGTCATATATTTATCTTTAGACTACACACTATCAAAGAGTGTTTAAGATAAGATATTTAGGAATGAAATTAAAAAGATACAATATTCAAGATGTATGCATGTCTTTATACACATTTTTTTCACACTTTTTCTTGTAAGTTACTTGAAAAAGTAACAATTCCTTGTCTGTGACTTCCTGTTACTTACAATGGACAATAACAATTCTGATTATGAAGTGTCGAGCCTATGTAGCCTCTAGATCATCCCTATACAATCCCTAATCAATGTAATAATATCGACCCATTTGTTAAAACATTCTGTGTGAGAAGTTGTTCATCTAATGTGATGTTTACGCCAACATTGCAGAGCGTGTCCGTGGATACAGAACGCCACACGCCCACATAACTTCACCCGACCTGACCGCCAGACAACAACACGGCTCCAGGTTGCGAAATGGACCATGAGTTTCTGTGAGTGCAGGTTTGAATCCCTTTCCTGCAGTTGAGTATTATTTCCGCATAATTTCATTTCCCTCCAATAAACGTTTTATCCTCAGTATTAGGATGCAAATGTAATAACAGACCCCAAAAAAACTGCCACCATTTTCATATTTGATTTTAGACACCTTACAATTCCTTTCATGCAATCATCCTGGATTAGGTCGCACATATCCAGTTGCACACATATACAGTTGCATATGTACTTATTATCAAAATTAACTGGTTAAATGCTACATGCCGAGGGATTATTGATTTTTCATTCTTTATCAACATATATTTATACAGACATTATAATTTAATTTTTTCATTGCAGAGAAAATTATTCGCCAACCATTATATCGAGTTGCCAAATATTCTAATGCACTTTTTTCACATTAATTTATGAATGAATTGAGACATATTTTACCTTTTATCAATATTATAATTCCCTGGCATGCACCTGTACACCCACCCTCTATCCTATGGCGTCATCTTGCACAGATTTATAGACGAGCCACTGGAGAAGATCCAGAACGCCGGGTACACCGCTCTAGCGAAGGAAAAGACGAACGTGTGGAAGGGATAGGCGCGGTCTGGCACATTGTAAAACGTGGCCGTGCCCCCCTCGTAATCCAACAGCACGCCCACACGCTTGGGATTCGGATTGGCCAAGACGGACTCACTGCTGTTGTGCCACGCGGAGAGCTTCACGTTGAACCACTCCACGCACCACGACAGCTTGTTTCGGCCCAAGCGGCTGTTCGGTCCCTTGCGATCGATGGAGTCGTAGGCCAAACCGATGCCAATGAAGTTGTTGCTGCTCATTTTCACCTCCCAGTAGTGGCGCCCCGAGGAGAAACCTTTAGAGCTGAGGACCTGGGAGAAGAGAGGTCCAGATGAGGCGAATCCATAATTAGCACCACTTTTAGGGTGATAACTGGAGTTCATAGACGTAGGACAGTGGACTTAGTACTGACGTCACCCATAGTGTTTGCCTATTGCCAAAGAAGCAGATTAGAACTCGAAATCAAAAAGCCTCTTGAACCTGGGACCAAATAAAGTGTTGCATTGAGCTAGAAACCCGACTGGTAAATTGTAAATCCAGGTATGTCACTTAACAAAGACATGACCAAGATATAAAACACCAGAATCATACAGAGTGGCAGGCCGTGGATTTTTTTGCGTAAAATGGTCAATATGACACGAACGACGGTCAGAGATTACTTTTCAAGTGAATTGAACCAAAGCATTAGCAAAGCTCCTTTATTTCACTATAAGCAGAAACCGAGCAGCCACCGAAAGGCTATTATCTGGTAAATATATATTAATCATGCCACAATCACATCAGAATAGTAATCCAGCGTCCAAGTGACTCAATGGATTCGTTATTGCTAATTATCTCAGCATATAAAAGGTAAGGTATTTTCTTCTATTCCAGACAATAGTAAGTTAGCGATGTTGTATTCCATCAAAAAATATCAAGACAAGACGAGCCTTCCTGGACAATTATCTCAGCAGTTGCGAAATATGCACTTTTAATTGTGTTTTTTTCGGAAATTGTAAATGTAAAAATTTAAGTGGTGACATCTTTACCTGGGAGCAGACGGCGAAGCGTTCGGGGCGGTCGGGGTAGTTCATGTGCTCATCCGACACCATTGCTCGGGTGAAGTTGTCGGTCAGGAGGATTCGCTTGTGGGCCGTCCTCGGGTCCAGAGTCAGAGAAACGCCATCTGGTGGGAAACATTCAGATCCCTTTACATTCATTCCTAATCCGGTACAAAAATGTAAACTTTATTGGTTTTATGAAATTGTTATGGTTTTTACTTACATACATAATAATATTTTCCTTTTTTATTTCTATTCTATTCTATTTTCTTATACATATAAAGCTGGCAAACCTGTATTTTGTAGACTGGAAATGGTTAAACAGATAATTTTTTTACTAATGATGGTGTTTACGTCACCTTTTAAAACATTTCTATCGTTTGCGTCATTGCAGCAAAGTATTTTCATGCATAAACATCTCATTAATTTCCCCTTCATGTATAAAACAAATATAACTGACATCTTCCCTTTGAGTATCACATTTTTAAGAAGTATCTACGGCAATTTGGTTATAATAATTTTCAGCTTCAACTATCAAAACACAAGTTGTCCATAACAGAAGTAATTGCTAAGTTGACTGTAGACCCGTAAATCCTTCAATAATCTACTTTATATAGAGTCGTTTGCACTCACATTTCAGAAGTTCACTCCTTTTTTCAGCTGTTGTCATGCTCAGGGGAATCTCAGTTTTCTCTGTAACACAAAAGCAGTGTTCAAACCAGTCTTACAAAATAAATGACACAATTCAATTAACGTCCAGGGCACTTACCGGAGCTTCCATGGTGCTCTGCCGGCGGTGGTCTTGTGGGCTGCTCCCTGGCTTCAGCGGCAGGTCGGCCTCTGGGTTTATCTTTTCCAAACGTTTCAAAATTATCCATGGAACTTATTTCCTCCGCAAAATATTCTGTAAGTATGTTATTCTCTGAAGAAGAAAAATAGAAACTTGATGAATTGAGAACATAGTAACAAATCCATCTGTTATGAAACTGCAAATGAGAGATTCTACTCACTCGGTGGCTTCTTCTTTTGTGTTGTTTTTTTTTTATGACCTGGTCCAGGGCTGTGAGACCTTGGATTCCTCTTAAATCCTTGTTCTAAAATTTCATAAAAAGGAAAGGAACAAAATAACATACAATAGGCTTCAGGTACTTCCAGTAACAAATACAATTATCCACAAACTGAGACAACATCTTTCCAGAGAGAAAATTCCCCCGCACGACTGAAACATGAGAGTTTGAAAGTATAACTATTTTATTCATGCACAAGATATTCAATATTTATTCTATCTAAATAATAATAAATTATTAAACAAAAATATAAAAATGAAAACATTCACAATGTACAAACCAAATAGAGGCGCAGGACCTAGTGGCACAAGATAGGATCCTGGGGGCGGCCTATCACCTAAAAGACCTGTAAGAACATAAAGTGATTAAAATAGGCTATTGTTCGAGTTAAAAGTACACTGTGTAGTTTTACTCCCATCTAGTATTGAGATCAGATATTGTAATTTACGGTACTACAGTAACTTCGCAGGACAATATGTCGTCTTTGACAGTGGTCTCCAACTCCCGCTCAAAAATAAATATTCTTAAAAAGGTCCCATTTGTTTTTGGTTAACATGTTTTTTTCCATTTGGAGGAACTGTAAAAATTACACAGAGTACTTTTAAGTTTCATTTAGAAACCAGACCAGCCGGTTGGTAAGAAACACAAAGGAGCGTCCCAGAGAAAGAAATGACCAATAAACCAAAACCACATTCACTTTATTTTTTCTAGACTTGAATTCAATTCAATATGTAACCTAAAGGTGCACTTTCTGCCTCTTACAATCGTGTTCAAAAATGCATCATGTAAAAAATCTCTGGTGGAGGATACTTCTCTGACTTGTCATGGAGATGTAATTGAATATGTTTAAAAGCATAAGAATGAGCCAATAATAACCAGTCTGACCACTCTGGTTCCAGTCAACCAGTCTAAAGCCTTGTGACGCATTCAACTTTGCCTTGGTACTAAAACTTAACGTAAATGAAAATGCCACCATAGAAACACTGTACGAGCACACTCACAATATCTTGTTTAGTATTCAATTCCCAAAGTGTCCAAACTTATTTTATTGATTTGCTTTAGATAAATATTGAGGTTTTAAATATAAAATATTCTCACTCTTTTGCAGGTAAAACCATGTTATATGCTATTTTAACAATAAGTAAATTGCATACAACTTTCTGTAGGGACAAGCCGGTGAAGTGCCACAACATTCTGCTACGTTTATCTGATGTGATAAAGTGCAAGATTCAAGTTTAGTTCAGGACTAGACTTCAGTGTGTAGTGGAAGATCCCAGGTGAGTTACAGACAGACACCTCCCACAAGTAAATGTTACATCGTAGAAAGTACAGTAGTTAAGGATGCAGGGCCAAAATCATGGTATTTATTTTATCGGTTATTTAATAAATCCAAAAAACTTATTGTCTTCATTTAGGGTTGCACAAGAGATACGATAGTTCAACATCTAAAGATTTTCCAATCAACAAAACAGTGACGTAAATATTGTGCAGCCCTTTGTGGAACGAAATCAATCATTGTGTGAGATTAGGCTCAAGTCAAATCAAAGACCTCTTTATGCCGTTTAGGCATAAAAAGAATACATGGCTGAACACATTCATCATTTCTTTTTAATCCTTCAGAATTTCATGTCACAATCTCAATTTTAAAAAGATCAAAGCCTTAAATTTGACTCTATTTAATTCACGTGTTTTCATTTATTTATTCAATGATTGGTTCTATCCTGGTTCAGTTTCAGCTAAACCCTCACTCACCAGGGATTCCAACAAAGGCTGGTTGATCTGGGGGGGAATAAAAAAACTCATATTGAACAATCTCATAATTACAATTAGTAAACACAAATTAATGTAATAAGTGTGAAAGGCGAATGGCGAGCCCTTTCAGCTCTTTCTAATATTATGAAGTTTAGGAGAAAAACACGTCCTCTGTGACACCATCGTTGGCATTTCTGTCTTGATTGTGCCGTAAAATTGGGAACCTTTTACATCACAATTTTTCTGATCATACAATCTTTGCTACAGTGGTAAACTTAAACATATAAAACAAAAACATGACCACTGCTCTTCTAGCCTTCAAGTTTGCAAGTAATTCCACGACCTTCATGTCCTGCTGCACGTTATTTTGTTCAACCAGAGACAACCCAATGTAAAAAAAAAATAGTATTATCAATGACAGACAACAAACCTGATTTAGATGCTATACTGAAGATTTTTCAAGCAATATTACAAATAGAACGGTCAGCAAACAAGCCTCGCGCTGTGCCGCTAAAAAGGAGGACTGGCCCTGGGAACACCGTCTCAAGAAGGTTCAAATGCCAGTCCCTCGTACCGTCTTGCTCCAAATCCAAGGTCACTGACTACAGAAACACGAACCCTCTGACTTACTCTGGCAAAGTAGCCCCATCCTGCACCTGTTACAATAATTACTTCTATTTCCACACGCTACAAACGACAAACAACTTCACTTCAGTCCCTCCTGCTCTAAGAGACCTTCAACATAACGTTATCTGCATCTTTCACCGAATTACATTTGACAGGTGCTGCCCTCCCGAACAGGTGTCTTGGTCATTGTGCCCCATTTCCACCATAAATCAAATCACACATGTCCCTCATCTTTCTGGAATTGGAAGTGGTCATTCATTTAGCAACAGAGACAACCTTATAATGATTTAGTTTAATCGGTCCAATCATTTATCTTGGCCGTTTGTCAGAGATGGTACAGGCTGCAGATGGCGGTTTATTATTCCAACAAGTTACAGGTAATATTTTTGTTAACGTAATGTTTACCTTGTCTAATCATTGAAATCCTGGATTCAACCGGCTGTTTGAAAACCTCCATCAGATAATTCTTCAGAGTCGTGCCAAAATCTTGAGAGGCCAGGACCCTTTTTGAGTCCAGATTGATGCGAGGGGTATAAGGGTCAAAATTAACAGCATGGGGAAGATTAATTTTGCACTGAAACAAAAAAAAAAAGAATAATTTAATACATTATCATCACATACTTTTGTCTTCACTGCAGAAGGAGGCTAGGAGACAGAAGGAGTAGAGTAACCAAGACCCATAGTGTTTTCCTTACAGTGGAAGAGAACTATTAAGAGCTAGCTCCATTGATGGGAATGTGGAGCTAAGTTTGTGACTAGCAACAACCTAGCAACTTAAGAGCCAATCAGGAGCAGTGCTGGTCTCTGCTGATCAAAATATAAACAGCAGGATCACACAGAGCGTTAGACTGCTCATTTTTAACCCAAATTGGTGAGTGGGACAAACTGTTAGAGTAAGAGGCGTTCTCTTTTCAAAGTAAGTGAAACATGGGATCCAAAGCAAACAGGTCCTTTTGTCTATGAGCACTTCCTTATTAGGCTTCATAAAGCAGCGGGTTAGCACTGTCCATTCCTTTCTACAGTCTATGGTCTGAGCTGAGCGAAAATTGTACCGTAATACAAAAGAAAGTTGAATTAATCTTCCAAATAATGCAAAGAAAACATATTGTAAAAGCCATCTGTGATTACTGGGAGCGTACTATAAAAAATATTTTGCATAATTTAACCTGGAGGAAGGCTTGAGTCTGCGTCTGCCCCAGCAGTGTGTAGATCTTCTCTTTGGCTTTGCTCATGTTGTCCACATTCTCATTGAACTTCTTCATGAGTCCCTCCAGTTTGCCCTGTCCAGTCTCCAGCTCGCGGTCCACCACAGTCAGGGCCTCGCTCTCTGCCTGCGACAACATCTCACGCATCTGCTGAAACTCCATCGACACCACTTTCTTCCTGTTGACTGCAGATTCCTGTGGGAGAGAAGCAGTCGGTTTGGTCTCTAGTAAGGGCCACCAGGATTTTAGTTCAGTTATGTTTACTTTATCCTTTTTGCTTAAAGCTCGGGTATACAATTTTCAAGCCGCAACAAATTTAAGAATACAAATTCCTTCTGACTAGTTCATCGCTCGGAAAACAGTGTGAAAAGACATGATGCAACCATTCGTTTATTTTTTGTAAAAGTGAAAAAAAAAAAGATTAATTATCAGCCCAAAGTGTCAAAGGGTGACTCACGGGGCTCTTTCATTCAGTTAGGTACATTAAAAGAACCCCATGCATCTACAGACATGTTTAAGAATAATTTTTGCTTTGCCCAGGTTTGACCACAGTCTTGGTCCTGTTCTAGTCCGAGGTAGTCTCTGGAAATGTTTTAGCCACAATTCTTAAAAACACTTGAAATCTCTAATTTGAAACATATTCGTTTTGCAGTGTATTAGCCACAACATACGTCACGATAAAATGCTTTAGAATTGTACCTTGAGAGTAAATTGCTGATTCTTCATTTGAGAAAGGCAAGTGGAATTTTTCATTATCCTTTCGTCCAAAACTGACAGCTTACTACGGAGATCAGCCTGAAAAGAAAGACACTTTGTCAAAACATTTTAAAGTCCTTTTCCCTTGTCTCACTCAAGACAAGCCTGAATTATAACAAAATACATACAATACAAAAATCACACATCTTTAATTGCTTTTGCTGATCCCCTAACCATTATTCATACTTGTTTTAAGTCATCAGAGATAGCAAAAACACAAACTGTCCTCACAGTCAACAACTGTCATTAACCTTGCATTAGAGCTGTAATGCAAGTCCTGCCCTTGAACTGAAATAGAATTATAGAGCATGAACACAATAATGCTAAATGCTGCTAAAGTATAATATACACATATATCTGTAAACACCTCCAAACCAAGTGCAATTATAGCTCCAGAGTTTTTTTTTCTTGTATTTTTGCTTAAATAATAGATCATGTTTGATGTGTACAATCTGAGTGCTCTTATTTCCTCCTTTTACTCTGTTGTAATGTGGGCAACAATGACATAGAAATTTCTCCACTGTGGGACAAATAAGGGACTATCTTATCTTATCTAACCCATTTCATTCAGTTTGTCAAGGATCCAGACCTCTTTGAGACTCCTCTGCTCCTCGGGGCTCACAAGTGTGCAGCCCTTGTGCGCTTGCTGCAGACAGAAGCTGCAGATGGGCTGGCAGTGGTCGCGACAGAACAGCTCCATGAGTTTGTGATGCTCGGCACAGATGCGCTCCGTGAGGTCTCCCACCGGCTCCGTCAGCTGGTGCTGCCGAAACACTGGGTTCTCCTTGTGCGGTCGCAGATGCTCATCGCAGTACGAAGCCATGCAGGTCAGGCACGTTTTGGAAGCCTGCACCTCCATACACGTGTCACATTTGACTGACGACTGCATAATGACCTCAGTCTCCTGAGTCTCCTCTTTGGTCTCCGGTTGAGTCTCTGCCTCAGGGTTGCTGGCTCTCACCTTAAAATGCATATTATAGGTTTAGGTTAGAAGACGAGCTTAACTAAATCAAGATGTCTATATTCAAAAAAAACTTCATCTGACTTTCAACTTTTATAGTGCAAACCATAGGGACAATATTTATAGCCTATGGGACAACCGTAGGAGGAGCACTGGCATCCCCCAAAACCAAATGCAGAAGCCGCCAATTTGAGCATCCCCAGTTTGAGCCCTATTCCTTAAATGGGAATTTGTTACAACCAGATTAGCTACTCAGGGTCAGGTGCAAACTAACGTATTGCTACAGTAAGCTTTAGCAATACGTTAGTTAGATCAATGTCTCATCTATCGCAATATTAAACCAAAAACAATAGAGAGGGCTAAACCATGGATTTTAAAGCCCAAAATGGTCAAAATGGTGAGTTTGACAAATGGTTACAGAATTTACTTCAGCAAGTTGGAGTTATATTGTGCTCATGGACAAAGTTTTTGTGTGCTGTTAACAGACCATTTACCCACACTCCCAAGTCCTAACAGACTCATCTAAAACCATTGATTTGCCTTGTCCTCATGTTTCATTTAAAATCTGTCAACTGTTGAGATAGTAGTGAACAGTAGCCAAAATAAAAAAAGACTCCTACACAAACATTAGACTCTTCTCATCTAGATTTTATTATTTTATACTCAGATGTAATACAACAGTGGAGGTGTTTCATAATAAACTGTATTGTTATTCTGTGTTTTTTTGTCAAACATACACTTTTAACTGGGGTACCGAATATTTAATTTCCAAAATAATACATGTAGTTTGTCCTCACAGAAAGAGTCTATTAAAGTGATAGTCTGTACCTCTAAATGAATTACAAATTTTAGGAAATGTGTTAAATTGACCTCCTGGCCATGTTGATATAAAATAGGTCATTTTATTAATTCTAATATTACGGGCAAGTCCCGCCTTCCCTTCTCTTAGCTATTGACCACTTGCATGTGACGTCCCAGCCACGCCCACTCTCCGTGACATACGGCGGAAGTCTTAACTGCGAGCCTATGGAAACCTGACCAAAACAACCTGTTTCAGAAAATTACAGCCAAAACTGTGATACTCGTCGTGAAGACATCAGACGACGATAACGGAAATCAACCAAAAGGACTGGGAGCCGTGTACTCCCTAATATGCAATAAACACGTTTTACAAGATAAATCAATCACAAGTTTGTATTTATTTTCTTTCCATTAATTTATTTGGAGGACAATGATACAAGTCAAACGTGTCTCTTACTAATGTCCTGTATGTGCGCTGCAACATGTTCCCCACTGTGAAACGAATAAAGATCAAGTACCTCTCTCTTTCTGACAAACTCCAGAGAATCACTTTAAAGGTAGAAAATTTATGAACAAGCCATTGTCATCTTATGAGAAAACACTAGTGCATACTTATAAGGAAGTCACTATTTGACACTCAGAGCTGACTGCCTGAGAGTGCGGTCCTCTTGGTTCACTTTTTGGTCTAAAAAGCGTTGATTTAACTAAACTTAAATATGTGATAGAGGCCAAAAATACAGCATGTTGTCCTGTTTAATCACATTTCACTTTACAAGACAAACAACATGTGATTTCCTCAGTCTCCTTTCTACAGCCTGAGACCTGGATCCTGATGGTTCAACAATGAAAAATTGATGGTTCATCTGAAGGGGCTGTCCTTAAGAATAAATAAATCTTCATCTGGTCAGTCTGAGAGCGGATCCCTTTTTAACTTTTTTCCCACTGTGTTTTAAAGTTGTTCCTTGGTGATGCAGGAGGGTCTAAGGACAGTGACGATCCGGGACATTTATGGACATTGGTCGTCCGCTCCCTGTAAAGTTTATTATTGAAGAACTCTTTAATTTCTCATTCCAAGGGAGACATTTCTTGTATCTTTTTAAAGACAAGATCATTTTGTCTGGTCTATTGGCAAATACATACATTTTACCAAATTTGAGCATTTTTTGACTTATTTCAATAAAACATTGAACTGAATTGAAACAAATTAAAGTAGCCCAGCTTTCATTTCAAGAACACAAAAACTCACTTTGAAAGTAGCCACCACGTTATTGAGCACCGTGTTCTTCTTGAGCTCAGGTTTAGTGGCGAACTGCATGCGGCATTGAGGGCAGCTGAAGGGCGCCAAGTCCCCCCAGGTGGCGAGGAGGCAGCCCTGGCAGAAGTTATGCCCGCAGGGGATGGTCACCGGGCAGTCAAAGGGGCTGAGACAGATGCTGCAGCTCAACTCATCCTCCAGGCTGAGAAGCGAGAACGGCACGTCCTCCATAGTGGCCATACTGCATAATGACAAGGCAAGCAAAAACGAAACTTAAGCGAAAACGAAAGTAAATACACAAAAGCTGGGTTATACACGCATTGTTATTTTCTACTCTTAAATGTATCACAAATATAGCGTCAATGTTGAGACACAGTGAGTTATAGGCAGACCAACTATTTTAATATTTAAGTAAAAGTATTGAGCTAGATTGTTTATCCCAGCGTATTATAGGAAGATATACAGGGCTAGTTTTAGCGTGGCCAAAAGCGCAACTCAAACAAATACTGTTAAATTCTAGGATAAAAAGTTGAATTAATGAAGTAAATTACCTTCTGGCTAATCGCTGTCAGGTGTGTGGCGAGGTCTGAGCGTGAGTGTGGGGAGTGACAAAAGACACAGGCACGTGACGTAGGAGGCAATTTCCGGACTTTTTTTTTTTACATTTAAACCATGGATCTATAAGATTTAACCCCACATAAGTGTACCTTTTAGTTCTCTGTACATAAAAAAAAAAATCTTTTCAAAGGGCAAAAACAACAGGCATGACGTGAACATCCGGGCAACAACATATTTGGTTTGACATGTATGAAACGTTTCTACAATAGTTTTATGTTTGAAAGGCATATATCATATAAATATATTGTCCATCCATTATTCGACTAAAATAATTGATGGACAACAGTATACTGTTTTACACTGTATACTGTTGTAAGTACAAACCTGTTGTAAGTACAAACCTGTAAGGGAATTATTTACTTTTAGCAGAGTTTATGTATACCAGTATCCATACCTTTGCTTAAGTGCCAAGACTGGTGCTTTGAAAAGAATAGATCCATGTAAGCCAATCTTCTGTTTATGCAGAAAAGTTTTCCCTCCTTTTGGAAAATTATAGTATCAAGGGCTCATCTGTTGCAGAAGCCACCAGTATTATTACCATTACAGTAATGATAAACATTCAATTATTTTTTTTTCCATGACATTTTGAAGAGCTTGGATTTTTTCAAATGTAAGAACAAATAAAGACATTTCTACTGCTGTCAAGAACACATGGAAAATATGTGCACTAACCTCAAGGCCTCGTGTATGATTGAATAAGTGCAGAACTTGTTTGGGAATAAACTGCAACTTTTTAAAAGAGTTTTGAACCCTCCTGTCTATATAACAAATTGGTCAATGTATGTGCTTTTCATTTTGTGTGTGTATTTTCTGGTAAAGATGGGAAGCATGTTTATTGTGAAAATAAATTGGATTACCCAGAGTGCATTGATTGTCACGAGTCAACCGTGTATCGTCGTCTATCGGCTTTGTTGTTCCCCATGAGCTGTTGGTTGAGTGTTACATTACAACACTAAAATCTGCAGCTTACATCAAAGTGCTGCCTATAAGTGGAGAAAAATGACTTTCTTTTCAAATGTTGTATACGGATTTGCTTAATTGACCAGCAAGTACTGTAAATGAACATACTAGATAATCGATGTTGTGATAACAAGAATAACATGTATAATAGTCATTTAAAAAATAATAATAATAATAACAATATATATATATGTATATTAGCTTTATAATTCAAAAGACACAAAAGATTAATTTATATTTTTATTGCAAGTTTATCAAGTCAAACCAGTAGAAATTCTGTGAATATTTTGAATTCAAATTATTACATACAAAATGAGATTCAAAACTGGCAATTCACATTAAGCAATAATCCTTTCTCCGTCTGCATTCAGTCTTGGACATGTGTTCTCTGGATATTGTTCTGTCCGCTGTAAGCTTCATTTAGATGCTTCTGGAGCCCCGCAACCTGCTCCTCCTGAGAATACATTGGATATATATAATGAACAAAAAAGCCATGAACTCTTCTGAACAGGAGGCTCTAAGATTAAAAGCAAAAGAAAAAGAGCAGAGGAAACGTGTTGGAGCCCAAATATACATCACTTCAAGACAAATGATAAAGATCCCAAGTCAAACCAGTTTGTTTCCTGGACATTTCTCAGTCGTCCTCATGTATTATTAAAAACTGTTGACATGCAGTAAACAAAGATTAATATTTAAACAACGAAAGGAAAAGAGAAGCTGAAAAGTGTTAAGTAGCCAAAACCTAAATAGCTTCAAGATAAATGATAATTATGTCCTGTTCTCAGCATAAACACATCAAAAACTGCATTAGATGAACTTATACTACACGTCTCTATCTATTATTTATGATAAAGGCAGAGCCAGTCTTCAAGAGGTCCAAATGAATTAAGGGATCCATTTCACAGCTCATCAGGCTTTTTTAGTCACAGTTTGCAACATGGACACACAGCCAGAGGGAACACCTTCTAATACTTATACACAAAAAGTAGATGCATTGTTTGGGTCACTGATTTAATGTCAAAGTAGTCAAATGTAAAATTGTACAGTATATGCCGAAGTCTCAACCTTAAGAATACATGTTTGGAGTGTACTTTTGTTTTAAAAGCCAGATAACTGCTCTGACTGTGACATCATAGTGGTACAATGACATCATACTATTACAGGACAGAGACAGGAGATTTTACGCAGAAGGGACTGAGTTACATACTTGAGCCTGAAGTTCCTGATAATAGCTTGGCTCTAAAAACAACTCCAGGACTGTTTTTGAGGAGGGGAAATTGTTTTAACAAGAAGAAATAAGTTTAATAGTTCTTCTTCAAAGTTGGGGAGCGGAAAATGTTGGCAATTTGTTGTAAAGTGGAGACTGAGAGATACATTTTTATTGAATATATTTAATTAAAAAAAAAAGTGAGAACAATCCTTTTAAACTGGGGATGTGAAAGCAGGATCACAACGATATATATATATTTTTCATAAGTATTAGTACGTTTTAACTGCCTCTACACTTAAAATAGGGTCCAGAGGAAACTCATGGAACTTGCTCTGTGAAGAAAGACTTGTGATTTTTTAATGAGTTTTATTGCTATCCAAAAGTCCAATGTAAAACTACCCTCTGGTCACCTGTAGGCCCTTGCAGAAGGATATAATTAAGACTATGATTATTGCAATTTTGCGTAATTAATGTAGTGGTGCGACTCATTTCTTTGAGGTAAGAATTAACATGCAAAAATTTCTTAACATTTTTCTTCACACAAACAAATAAAAGGGTTTTCCCTTACCAACACATTCACTCGTTGAGCCGCAGCTATAGCCACACTTAACCGCTTCTCGTCCTCCTCCCGCTCCTCTTCAATCACACCCAACCTGGAAGATGGAGGCAGATTTATAAAAGCAACAATATCCACTGTATTTTTGTACTAAAATGTAAACAGTATGAAGAAGTTTACAGTGAATAACCAGGTGTGTAACTTTCTATTTACAGAGAACCATAGGCCTTCCAGTTTCAACTCGTCATGGAATGTCTGAAGTATAGCACCATCTATAAACATCTATAGATTATTAACATATATTTGACTTTCATTTCACAGTAGACCAGTTATGGTTATCTGTCTTATGCATAACTTGTTCCTCTTTGAACCTGTTTACACAACTGTTTTAGGATCGTTGCAAATTCCATTCAGTTCAGTTCAGATTATATATTTGAGCTCAATTATCATTTCTCTACATGAAATGAGTACAATGGTATGGCCATACCAGGGTAGGCTGCAGGCAGCAGAAAGAGACAGTCTTTGACCTCTCTCACTCACTCTCTCTCCAATCTGCTTTTGTTCCTTTTGATTTATCTGCCCATCCTGAGCTTTTCTTGGAATCTGAATAACTTTTTTTGTTAGAAAAACAAAAAAAGCTGGCTCCATAATTAAATCAGTATTTGGCTAATAAAATGGTTGACTACAGTCCTATACAAAATAGTTGACGAATTCTAACGTAATACGTTAGTTGCAATATTTTATTAGTACTATACATAATGTACTATACATAATGCCTAACATATTAGACCTTTTCACTGAGCCATTCTCACCTGAAAGCGGCGCTGGCGAGCTGCTCCTCTGCCGTTGCCAGGAGACTGCGCAGCTCGCTGACTTCCACGTGGAGAGCGGCGTTTTGCTCCTGCAGCAGTGCATTTTGGTCCTGGTTCTGATTGATGAAGTCCTCTAAGCGTTTGGCCATGTCCAGCTCCCTCTCCGTCACTTGTTCGATGCCCAGACGCAGCTCTGACAACTCTTGGGTGTGCTGCAAAATGATGAATTATTATTTCATATACATTCTACTTCCTGACACACACATGGTTGTAGTTAATTCAAGTCATGACTTTTGCAACTCCAACTCCACACAGTCAAAAGCACTATATGTCATCTGCACAGCCAATGAGGTCTACCCATAGTAGACCTCATTGGTCTACTATGGGTAGACCAATGAGGTCTTTCAAAAGACTGTATAAGGTAAGCGTATTAAAAAAATATAAAGTTGAAGAAGGACTGTAAATCTGTTATGAAACTTCTGCTTTCTCACTTGTCTAGCCAAACCTGCTAACTCACATATTGTAGTTGTACTGCGTATACAGTAGACTTCCTACTGTAGCCTGCTTGGAGTTTCTGTTTACTGAATAATGACCTTATTTATCGGCACAATGTACAGCACTTGCTGTATATGCTCAAGTTTACGAATGTGAGAATATGCAGGTGATTTTCATCCTGTAAATATCTGTAGACACGTGCACACTGTGTCAGGTGTGTGCACGCTTACCGTTTTCCTACAGCTGGATCTTCATGGCACAAGCATGTGCTCAGACACTGAGGGGTGTGGACGCGTGCATGTGTGAAGCTCAAGCTCGGGGACACATACATGTGTAATACATGCAAACACATTTCTGGATATGCTCATGGCTAACAAATGTGCACACACACACACAGATGCATTTACCCACTCAGGCACACATGCACAAATACATTTCAATCTGGGTGCATCCACACAAACACAAACATACACTTATACCCAGGCATAAACACAAGTACACATACAAATACACACAGCACTCATGCACTATCAGAAACAAACATATACACACATGCATGTGTACCCACTCCGACACACACACACAACACACTGCGCACAACACACTACACGCACACACACACAACACACCGCACACTACACACAACACACCGCACACTACACACACCTAATTGAAAAACGATATGAAAATGTAATTGGGGCAAGCTCACACAAGTATTTTACTTCGACTTACTCCCTTTGAGCTGTGTCTACTTTTTATTGAAATGTTTTCCTATTGGATTGTTTTATGTTTTGTATGACCTGCTCAAATAAATTGATTGATTGACTGATTGAGAGTCAATACCAGGCTGCAAGATTATTCGAAACCAAATCAAAATGGCAATTTTGGAGGAAACAATGAGTAAATTGCAAAGCCTGCACATATTGCTGTGCTCAACAGACCATATTTCAGTCCCGGATACTATCCTTCATGGACATGGATCCCTCACTGTGGTTCTCCCTGATGTTTCTTTTTTTCTTTGTTTTTGAGAGTATCTAAGTAATCATTATTTATACAGCACATTTCAGACCAGGGTCCGACGAAGCTCTTTTTGAACTGATTTCCTGTCACTCCACTCACGCTGATGGCCATTGAACCCAGGACCATCTGTGTGGCACATGCGTTAGCCACTGGGCTTGTGCCAGGAGGATCTAACGTGTTTTAATTGTTTGATTTTCTAATTCTCTACAAATCAACAATTCAGTGACTCCCTGAGTGGAGAAAATGTCGTTTAAACATCACATTTATCATCACCACTATCATCACAACAGATCTATCATAGAGCTCCCTCTCCATCACTGGGAGGAGACCCCATGGAGGACCCCAGGATATGTTGGAGGGACCATGTCTCTCAACTGGCCTGGGAGCACCTAAGGATTCCCCTAGTTGAGCTGGAGGAAGAGTGTGTGGATAGGGAAGTCTAGGCGTCTCTGATTAGACTGCTATTCTCACGACCCGGCAACAGATAAAGCGGAAGAAAAGGGATGGATGGACATATCTATTATATCTCATGTATTCTTCTGAATGTTTCCCTTCTCTGTATTGAGTTGTGTCTTTAGTGCGAGTCACTGCACCTGGTCCAGAACATTGAATTCTTCAATTTCCGTCTTGATCTCGCTCGAATCTCTGCTTTGATTGACTTTGATCCACGGAACAGGCGCAGGCGTCCGCTTGATGCTTTCATTCTGGTGAAAAATATACAAATACATTTCTAAGTCATGAAATAAAACTTAAAAATAACCAGCCTTGTTCTTGTCTGCTCTTACAGTTTGTGGTAAGGTGATGTGTGGCTGGTTGGACTCCACTGCCCCCTGCTGGTCATCGACAGTGGGCAGGTTCTCAGAACTGGTCTGTCTCTTCATGGCAAACTTTTTGTGCCCCGCAGATCGGTGTGGTGCACTCTGGGTACGATGGACTGGTTTGCGTTCTTTAAAACTCCTCTTGACCCTAAGGTCACTTTAGGAATAAGAAACAAATAAATGATGTATAAAGTATGATTAAGGCTGGATTATAATGGCAGCGCTGACACGAAAAAGCAAAAACACCGTCAACAAACCTTTTTATTTTGAATTTTGATCTGTATCCTACCTACTATTCAGTTTAAGTTGTTATTATTACTTGTCCTGGAACATTTGTGTGTATGTGTACATACGTTTTTTGTATGTTTTTGGAAGATATTCAAAAAGAAATATATTCTAATATGTCTAAATCATGCCAGGTTCTTTGCACATAAACGTCATTTGCTGCTAGAGTGAGCGCAACACTAAACAGAACAGATGAGCTTTGGTTCCAACATAATTATTGATGTTTTGGGGGAAGAAAAATATCGCAATATTAACGGCTGATTAAACGAGCACGAGGTCTGTACAGAGAAATATCAGACCACAGTCTTTTTGTACAGGCCGAGCCGTGGCAAAGCTGACTTGCTTTCTGTGCAAAAAGACCAAGAAAACAACAAGCGTACTGACCAAGAAGAAAACAAGCTTACTGGTAATAGATCTACTTTAAGGTTAGGGAGAGGACAGTGTTGGAAATCTGTAAAGCGGGGAGAAAAGTTTTTGATCAATGTGATTTTATTAATTTGTGTAAAGATTTGACAGCATTTTTGCATGATAACTCTTAAGATCAGTAGCTCAGTTGGTAGAGCATTGGCCTTTGAGCCTGAAGGTCGTGGGTTCAAGCCCACCGTAAGACCTACTTCACGACTCCCACTGATGACTGCTGTCGTTGTGTCCTTAGGCAAGACACTTAACCCCACTTTGCCTGAAGCCCCCCGCTAAAAGATCTCAGCTCCTGTGGACTCACCACCTGCAGGAGGATCAGTGAGGGGCTGGTGCTCTGTGACTGGGTGCAGCTCTGACTGCCACCCCCCCTACCCAGAAATGGATTAAGGGGAAGAAGATGGATGGATGGATGGATGGAACTCTTAAGATCTTCTCACATATTCTGTTACTGATCATGTTACTGTATGCAGGGCCTTTATCCCCACCGCTGTCAGACTGTCCACTAAGTCACTTTAAGTCACTAATGCACTAGGACTAAAAACTTGCACTACTATTGCCACTGTTTCTTTAATTGCCACTTTTTAAAACATATCCTGACTATGTTTTTTGCCTCTAACTTGTTTGCACACTTCTGTCGTTTGCACAAATCTGAGTGATTCTATCCATGCCAAATGTGACATGTACATTTCTCCTGTGTGAGATCAATGAAGTCTATCTTATCTACATCTTACCCTTTGGTTTCAAGGGGAAGCTGCTGCATTGATGACTGAAGCGGGCTGTATTTAGACAGATCCTTAGGTGGCACATAAGTAGGCTTCGTTTGACCTGTTTGGCTACAAAAGACAAGAAACATGAATTATTATAAACATTAAATCTGATAAATCTACATATATTGTGTTGAAATCTGTAATAAACTATTATTTCTTATCATTACCTGCTGACTATGATGTGATGGGCTTCAGGTCCCAAAGAGTCTGAAATCTGGTTCAGAATTGAGGGCAGTGGACACAGTTTGTCTATTGTTTCCTGAGAGAAAGAGAGAAGAGATAGATTTGTTGAAATAGACATCACAGATAGACATTTTTGAAAATGTGGGAGGAAAGAATGTGCATGGGAGAAAATGAATTTGGAAATACTTGTTGTTCATGCTCATATTCACATGAACAGAAAAATGTGTATGTTTTATTTATATGATAATATACAATAATTTATATTTATTAATAAACAATTCTGGGAAAGTGGATATATTTTCTGTCTTTTACAATGGACCATAAGAGGTGCTGACCACTAATAAAGCTGGGGTACCCAACTTTCAAACCACAAATATGTAACTGTATAATAGTTACATATTTGTAATGTCACCTACATGTGAAAGTCAGATCCCAACAGACCTCTGAAGCTAAGCAGGACAGGGCCTGGTTAGTGCTGCGATGGGAGACCTCTGGCAATACCAGGTGGGTCGGCTGTGCTGTGAAGTGCCAAACTGTTGTTTACTCCTTAAAAGTCATGTCGTGGGTTCGATCCCCCCCCATGACCCATGTCCTCTGCTGTAGTTGAGTCCTTTTGGCAAGACACTTCACCCCACTTTGCTATCTTTCTGTGGACCCACCACCTGCAGAACATTCAGTGAGGGTCTGGTGCTATGAGGACTGGGTGGGGGTGGTGATTGCCAGCCCCCCGACCCAGAAATTGACCAATAAAGGGGATCAAAATGAGTAAATGAACTCCTTAAAAGAAGTCAAGCACTTCTTACAAGTATAATAACATGTTTTCACATAGATGAAAACAGCATGTTGTTGTCTGACTTGTTACTTTTATAACATTCTTTCTGTTGCACATTATTTATACATGTATTATATAATAAGGAATTCTTATCTTATTATATATAAACGTGAGCATACCAATGCAAACAGAAAGCGTTCATGAAAAAACGCCATGGTAATATCACAAGGGGAAGTGTGAAACTAATCCCACCTCCACCTGTTATAACACAATGCACTTTTAACAATTATCATTTGTTCAATTTAGAGTTTTGGTCCTCAATATTGGCCTAACATACCGGGTTCTTCTGGTAGATGATGTCGACCAGCAGCCCGTGCAGCACAGCCAGACGCAGGGGCAGGTCCACGTATCCGTCGAAGGAGGTCATGGGGATCTCTGTGTCTGCGTTGGACACCGTCTGCAGAAAGCCTCTCATGTCGTCCCAGTGCTGCTCCAGGAAGTCATTCATAAACAGCATGTACTCCTCCTTCTCCCCGAATCTACAACAGCAATCCAGTGCTCAAATAACCTTAAATATGTGATTATATGGTTATTGTTACATATACCATTAATCTGTTATGATAATTCACTCTTCACTTTACCTACTGCTGTTAGTACTGTTACTATTCCAGATAATAAAACCTTTATTTGGCCCACTGTGGGGAAGTAGTAAGAAAATATGTATATCGTAATCTAGGGGATGAACGAAGTTACTATAAATCCAGTTTATAAAAGTCAAAGTAGCAAGCATTATGTAAGATTTTCATGTCAGGTAATCATTAAATGGTCCATTAATAAATCATGCTAAGTAAGTAAGTAATCTTTATTCATTTAGTGCCTTTCACAGACCAAAGTCACAAAGCGCTTTACAATTATTGTGGCCATTTCTCTCTCACTCCACACAGAGATGGGAGTAACCTCCTGTACTGTAACCAGTACAGGAGGCGCTTGCCAGACCTATTGTACATGTTTATAGTGGTAGGGGAAACCGGAGGAAACCTACGCAGACACGGGGAGAAAGGCCCTGTTCCGACCAGGATTCGAACCCAGGACGTTCTTGCAGAGAAGCAAGAGTGCTATCCACTCAGCCACCAAAATTAGTTTTAAAGCCCCTAAATCTTGTTATTGTTTTCATTTCCATGTCCCACCCTCCACGGTTTTACCAATCAGAAAGTCTGTGATCCGGGTTGCCAGAACTCCCCGCGTTGAGCTAATCTAACTGGTAAAATAACATGCTGCTGCAGAACTAAAAAATTCTTTTTATGATTCTCAAATCATTAATGACAAAACAAGGAATAAAACCAGGATTTATATCTGGCAACCTGAGTCAGGGAGAATGGGAGAGGTTGCAGTACCACTTGTGGCCAGATTATTACAAAGTTCTCCTTTAAGGTAATAATAATGCTGAGATAGTGACTTCGCTGGAAATGTAACCACATACTTTGTAAATCACAACACAACTCCAAAAGAAGCAATTCTTTACAAAAAATTGTACATTCACAAAACAAGCTGGGGTACCTAACTTTTTTCTTCTTTCTTAGATATCCAAATTAGCTTCGTTCATAAATATTCAAATCACAACATAAAGAATGACAGTAAAATGTTGTGAAACAATGAGACCACAACATGCAGTCTTATGAGAAAACCTTTTATCTTTGGGCTGAGGGCTGAGGTTGGTCCTCTCTTTTTCACTTTTTATTTCTATCTAGTTTTATTTTCCATTTACAGTGCTTTGCGAAAGTATTCCTTGAACCTTTCAACATTTCGCCACATTTCAGGCTTTAAACATAAAGATATAAAATTTTAATTTTTTGTCATGAATCAACAACAAGTGGGATACAATCGTGAAGTGGAACAAAATTTATTGGATAATTTATTTTAACAAATAAAAAACTGAAAAGTGGGGCGTGCAATATTATTCGGCCCCTTTACTTTCAGTGCAGCAAACTCACTCCAGAAGTTCAGTGAGGATCTTTGAATGATCCAATGTTGTCCTAAATGACTGATGATGATAAATTGAATGCACCTGTGTGTAATCAAGTCTCCGTATAAATGCACCTGCTCTTTGATAGTCTCAGGGTTCTGTTTAAAGCGCAGAGAGAACCATGAAGACAAAGGAACACACCAGGCAGGTCCGAGATACTGTTGTGGAGAAGTTTAAAGCCGGATTTGGATACAAAAAGATTTCCCAAGCTTTAAACATCTCAAGGAGCACTGTGCAAGCAATTATATTGAAATGGAAGTATCAGACCACTGCAAATCTACCAAGACCCGGCCGTCCCTCCAAACTTTCATCTCAAACAAGGAGAAGACTGATCAGAGATGCAGTCAAGAGGCCCATGATCACTCTGGATGAACTGCAGATAACTACAGCTGAGGTGGGAGAGTCTGTCCATAGGACAACAATCAGTCGTGCACTGCACAAATCTGGCCTTTATGGAAGAGTGGCAAGAAGAAAGCCATTTCTCAAAGATATCCATAAAAAGTCTCGTTTAAAGTTTGCCACAAGCCACCTGGGAGACGCACCAAACATGTGGAAGAAGGTGCTCTGGTCAGATGAAACCAAAATCGAACTTTTTGGCCACAATGCAAAACGATATGTTTGGCGTAAAAGCAACACAGCTCATCACCCTGAACACACCATCCCCACTGTCAAACATGGTGGTGGCAGCATCATGCTTTGGGCCTGCTTTTCTTCAGCAGGGACAGGGAAGATGGCTAAAATTGATGGATGGAGCCAAATACAGGACCATTCTGGAAGAAAACCTGTTGGAGTCTGCAAAAGACCTGAGACTGGGACGGAGATTTATCTTCCAACAGGACAATGATCCAAAACATAAAGCCAAATCTACAATGGAATGGTTCACAAATAGACATATCCAGGTGTTAGAATGGCCAAGTCAAAGTCCAGACCTGAATCGAATCGAGAATCTGAGGAAAGAGCTGAAGACTACTGTTCACAAATGCTCTCCATCCAACCTCACTGAGCTCGAGCTGTTTTGCAAGGAAGAATGGGCAAGAATTCCAGTCTCTCAATGTGCAAAACTGATAGAGACATACCCCAAGCGACTTGCAGCTGTAATTGCAGCAAAAGGCAAAGTAGCGCCACATAGCGCAACTTGCGCAAGGGGGCCGAATAATATTGCATGCCCCACTTTTCAGTTTTTTATTTGTTAAAAAAGTGTAAATTATCCAATAAATTTCGTTCCACTTCATGATTGTGTCCCACTTGTTGTTGATTCCTGAGTCCTGACAAAAAAAAAATGTTTTTATATCTTTATGTTTGAAGCCTGAAATGTGGCGAAATGTTGAAAGGTTCAAGGGGGCCGAATACTTTCGCAAGGCACTGTATGTTTTGGCCTCTGTCTAATCTTTAGATCAGCATTTTCAGACAAAGAAATGGAAAAGAGCAGACCATCCTCACCCAGACAATCAGCTCTTATCCCAAATAATCCAGTAGTGACTTTGTAAATGTTGTCTAGAAAGATTGATTAAGTACAATTTGATTTTTTCACAAAATGTTACATTAACAAGACTCTTTTCATTGGATCGTATTATTGATGAAACAAAAGAGTAAGCTTTAATGTGTTGCCTGTAATTTTCTTTCTTATCAAAGGAAAAAACAAAGGAAAAAATTCAGTGAAATTTAATTCTTTCCTCATTTTCTTATTTCTAATCTCTGTCTTAAATCATTTGGAAGTGTGTTCTATGCATAAGTCACTATAAATGAAAGTTTGCTGTTGGCCAATTATTTTATCTTGAGGTAAAATATGCAGAATATTTTTATAAATGGTTTGTCGAGATTTATATTCTACAATATAATTGAAACCATGATAGCAATGCATACAGAACCAGTAAGTAAGTAAGTAAGTAAGTTAGTAAGTTTTTATTTATATACCGCCTTTTCACTGCAGATCTGAGTCTCAAAGCGGTTTACAATTGTTAATTTTGGGCATTTGTCTCTCACTCCACACAGAGATGGGAGCGGGGTCGCCAGTACAGGAGGCGCATGCTAGAACTATTGGACATATTTTTAGTGGTAGGGGAAACCGGAGTACCCGGAGGAAACCTACGCAGACACGGGGAGAACATGCAAACTCCACTCAGAAAGGCCCTGGTCCGGCCGGGATTCGAACCCAGGACCTTCTTGCTGAGAGGCGAGAGTGCTATCCACTCAGCCACCGTGCCACCAGTAAACGTTTAACTAATTCTTTGTCATTCTCTGATTTATACTAGTGACATTGTTGTTGTTTTTTCCACAGTATTTTCTCTGGTCCATCACCTAAAAAGCACGTACCACCTGAATGACTCACAGTGTGAAGTTGGCGAGGTTCTGAATGACTTTGGCCGTGAGTGTGAGGGTCCGTGCGGTGGCTGGTTCTGGGTAGGGCTGGGCCAGGTTGAACAGGGACGGGCTGAGGACGGCGGGACACAAGAACCGCAGGAACAGAGAGGCGGAGATCAGCCTTTGCCCGATCTCCGGTTTGCCCTGGACTTCACACGACTCCTTCCAACTCGAGAAGATCTTGTTCAACTCTTCAGGAAATGGCCTGATCAAAACATAAAAAAAAACACACATTAGGTGATTATGTATTTGTAAAATGCAACATAGTGGAGTAAAGAATTCAGCCATAATGATCCATTTGAATAATTTGTCACAGAGAAAAATATGAAGCAAAAATACAAACTGTCAGATTTCAGTACAAATAGTGATCTTTGTTTATGGTTCATTTGTGGCATTTGAGGGACTTTCGTTTGGGCAGTGGTTCTCAAAACTTTAACATCAAGTACAAATTATACCTGTGCTTCCTTTGGGTTAAAATGACCCATCACAGATTATTAAAAGTAGAAGAAAAATACCCTGGGGTTCTGATAAGGTCTAAATGATCCAGGGCTGGTGGAAATATGAGAAGTCATCAAAATTCAGCTTGAAAAAAATATTTTGGGTATTTATTAATCACCGTGGCGGGTCAATTTAACTGAACAGTAGCACAAGGGTTTTGAGGCCGACTACAGTATCTCCAAATCATAATGACAAAGATAAAACCAGCTCTAAAATGTGAGTTTTGTTGCTTTAGTTTAAGGCTAAAAGCATAATAGGACCGAACTAATAACATAGTTCTCTAAACGTCAATAAGCAAAAGTTGCCCTAATTATTATTATCTCATTTTTTTTGTATCGTAATTTTATCAATTTTATGTCTTTTGGGCAGGATCTCTTATCTTCTCTTTTAAAGTCTTTAAAGATCTTATACTTTTTAATTTCTCACCCCTGAATCCCAACGATCTTCTGCACCACCTCCTCACACGTGTCCTTCAGCTGTTGCTGGTTGTTTGCCAGATCAGAGGCAGGACATTTCTTGGAGTCGACTTCCCAGCTCTCCACAGAGCTGTAGAGACGTGTGATGAAGTCCCCTGAAGAATGAACAGGTAAATGATGAGAACTTCCCTATCATTATTACCTTCATTATTGTTATTATTAATATTTGACTTACCTAATGTGTCGATGAGATACCTTTGTCCCACCAGCTTCATGTATTCGTCAATAGCTTTAGTGGCCAATGTGTTTTCTCTGAAGATCAGTGCGTCATTCTCTCCGAGCCGCTCCACCTCAGCACTGCCCAGGTCGATTAGGAACTCCTATTATTGCAGAGCGAGGTAATAAAGAATATTTCTAGTTAGGGGTATGACGATATATCGATTATCGATATGCATTTGCCAAGTATCAATATCGATTTTGAATTGTTTTTTTTTTAAATCAATACTTAATATATGGCTACATTACGCATCTCCATTCTATTTATCATGAAATAAAGAGTATTTTTTCTTTTATTTATGCCATAAATTGGCATATTGTATATTTCTGACCAATATATCAATAATTGTCATATCGTGATAAAATAGTTATCGTAATATCGTTATCGTAATATCGTTATCGTGATATTATCATTATCGTGAGCTTTGTATCGTGTATCGTATCGTATCGTCAGGTACCCTTAGGTTCCCACCCCTATTTCTAGTGTTCCTGGTCTTTATAAATAGGAAAATATACAAGAAACAAGAAGAAGAGCCATAGCAATTTCCTAGTTTGTGACTTCTTGTTACTCACATGGCAATGAAAATAATCTGATTCTGAAACAAGGTTACCATCTAGACATTTCTCACAGAGATCAATAAAGAGAACGATACTATGTTTTTTTTTATGTCATTGAGAAACAACCAGGGGAATACAGTACAATACAGTACATAGACAGAGCAAAAGACAGCGGGCAAATAAATGAACATACTCTGGTGGAATTTATGATTGTACTGATTTTTCAGTCTAATGTGAACGAGAGGTTCTGTAGGGCTGTCCTTCCTGCTGCTGTCAGACTGTACAATGAGAACTGCTACACCCATTGATCTGTAAATAGTTAATACTGCAATCATGTACAATGTACAATACTGCAACTTATGTCCAATGAATGTCACTTTATCTACTTACTATCTCATCCTCACTTTCTCATCACTTTATCTACTTATTATCTCATATATATCTATCTCTATATTGAAGCATTTACAGCTAGCTAAGAAACATAGCAGCTACATATATTGTATATTTTGTGTGCGCTGCAACAATGAAGTTTCCCCACTGTGGGACGAATGAAGGATCTCTTATCTTAATTTGGATTTAAACTTTTCATTATTGTCATTTGTGTTGTTCAGTTGTTTGGGGCTGGTTGGACAAAGCCATAGTTAGTCTTTTTAAAATATGTTTTTAAATCATTTATCCATATCTGTGGGAATCATTATTTGTCTATATACTGTACCCACTACTGCTGAAACTACTTCTACTACAAAAACATGAATGATAAAAAAAAAAAAAAATAGTTTACATTTACCTTTGCTTTCCCAATACTCTGCAGCACATGGACCAGGGCTCCCGCCAGCTCCTCCTTCTCCTTGACGTTCAGCAGTGGCTCCAGCTTGGTGCACATCTTCACATAGTCCAGGGTCACATACTCTGCAAACTCTTTATACTTCTCCATCGGCAACACCTTCAGATTCTGGAAACGTGCTTTGATTCTCAGCGACGCCTGCGCTCCCAGCATTTCCTTTGCTCCAGCCACTCCTGGCGCTTTGAACGGCACAATCGGATACCACTTTTCTAAATACGTCCTGCCTCGGATCTCAGCCAGAGCTATACTGACGCTGCCCAAGGGGTATAAAATGGACTCATCCCGAGATAGGCGCTTCTTCTTGGGGTCCTCGTCGCGGAACAGATGCAGGGTGATTTGGGAGATGGAAGGGAGGTTGTCGAGCTCAAAAAACTCGCCCCAGAAAAGCTGACAGCCCCCGCTTGAGTTGGGGACGCTGGCCGAGCCCATAGCGGTCTCTCCTGCCAGACTGGACCGGTTGGAGGACTTGCCCACGGCGCGGCTGCTGGTGCGTGCAAACAGGGTCCCATCCAGGTGCAGCTCGCAGTAGTAGCGCTTCTTCGGCAGCAGGTCCTTGGCTTCGTTCACCCACAGACTGAGCGAGTTCTCTGTGCGCTCAATGTTGTCCTGGGAATCATTTAAAAGTATGTTTTTATTATTCCAGGTGACTCACATTACTTCTCATAGAAGTTTTTCCTCATTGACTGCCATTGACGTATTTGTCTAAGGTGACTGGTGATTTCTGTCAAACTTCCCTGCTGTATTCGACTGGGGATTACAGGAGGACAAAACTAGCTAGAAACAAACTTATTTTTGCTGATGAAAGTAGACAGTCCGGTCTTTCAGAATCTGGTTTCATTTTTCACATAGTCATAGCACATAACATTCTGTGGGTCTAGAAAGTCAGTGAAATCATCAAAAACGGCTGGCAGTCAATGTATTCTTGTATAGTTATCTTGGAGGACTCTACACAACCGTTGAATTCGCCAACAGAGATCAGAGAATCAAACAAGAATCACAAGAAATAGAATAGAAAACACATTGGATTTGGTCCATAAGGGGCAGATGACTAATGTCCATAGGTGTACCATTGTTTTACTGTATGGCTAAAAAAATGTAGGGTAGGGGTACCTTTTGTATAATTTACTGTACATATAGTAAGGGTCCCAACAGTTTGTGATAAATCTGTGAATTGGATGCCACCCCTGACACAGAAATGGATTAAGGGGAAGAAAATTGATGAATGGATGGATTTTGGTGTTATGATAGTGGAATTGAACTCGGGTCCTGCAGGAACTTCTTGCTGTAATTTAAAAGCGCTAACCACTGTGCCACCGTGCCGCCCTATACTTAACTACACTTCATCATCGGTTCATATTTTAGATTAGAAAAAAATAGTGTGTTGTGTGTTAACCTTATTCGGCTGCGCGGCTCTTCTCAACTCTTCAATCCAGCGGTCGCGTTCAGATAGTGACGTGCAGCCAAAACAGTGGGTATTCTCAGAGTTGATCACCTGTGAATTCAGAACCAACCATTAAATATAAGATATTTTAAAGCACGTTATGATGGGTCTAATATTAAAAACCGCAATGCACCTCAAAGCAGTACTTCTCCCCCAGAATAGAGCTGTGGACCGGCCGGATCACTGTAGTGGTGTCCGTGTTTAGGTCCAGACTGGGCAGGACCGGGATGGAGATGGAGTTACTGGAGCCATACAGCCTGAAGATCAAAAACAAAAAGGATTGAGTTGAAATGAATATTACCCCAATTAAACGTTAATTATATATGTATATCAAATTAATGCTATATATATATGTTTATAAACCTGTTTCCTTTCAGCAGCCCCAGAGATTGTGTGGCACTGCTCCTTTTTGCTTTATTCTCCAGACGTCTCTTAATCAGCCCCTGTAGAAGGACATTATTATTGGGATAAAAAGTAAATATTTTAGAGGGCATTTGGGTATCTTTACTTTTATTTTAGTTGCACAATTATTGCTGAAGATTAATTTCAACTGGAGTACCTAACTTCGAAAACACAGCCTTTTAATACAATCCATGTTACCAGTCCCCTGCTTAGTTTGGTTCTATCAATAGTTTTCACATGCATGTACTTTTGGTCTCCTAAGATCAGCTTTTCTAGTGAATCAATTAGTAATGTTTTAGTTTTTCTATAACTATGAAGACAGCACGTCGTGGCCTGATTTATTCATACCTTAAACAAGATTTATTTATGAAAGAACATAAAGGGTATCTTGTTTTGATTTCTCCTTTTGTTCAACAGTTCTACAATACACAATTCATACAGAACCCAACTCAAAGTGCTGAACAAAACAAGATAAAAAACAGACACAAGACATTAAAATCATACAAAATCACAGTACATTCAAAGTAGTGAAAATACATCCTTCAGTTCTATGCACAGATAAACAGAACTGTTTTAATCTGGATTTGACCCCCATGGTTAGTTCTGACTCTGAGCACATACTACTAATACTGCTACTATTACATGTTATTTATAACTCTACTGTTCGCTGCAAAAATGACACTTCCCCACTGTGGCAAAAATGATATCATAGTTTAAATGAGAGATAAATGTGATACAGGCAAAAGAGCACATACCCGAACACCGCCCTCCTGGTTCTTGGTCCGTGGTCCGGAAAGACCCACGTTGTTAGGACTGCATTCTGTGGATTAGATGAGTGGACTTCTGATTCATTGTTTTGAATGAGTTCATTTTGTTTCTAAAAATGTCTGAATTATTATTATTTTTTATTCTTATATTCAAACTATTACTACCATACTCAACTAAGAATATTGTCCACAATTACTTCAATAATTAAACATACAATGTGGAACTAATGTATGACAGACTCCACAAAGTGAGATATATAAAGCTTTTGTTTGTTGTAATGATGATAATTGGCTGTTAGCTTGGAAAAATCCTCCTATTTCAGAATCAGAATACTTTTTAATGTGTGTAACATGAAGTCACAAACTAGGAATTTTCTATGGCAAATGACGCAAACAAGTAAAAAAAAAAAAAAAGATACAAAAGACATCTACAGTATCAGTGCAGATTTTCCATAAGTGACCCGATTCTATGATATCGCAGTACAGAGTGACAAAAGTAAATCTATTTTGAGAATGGGTTGTGATGAGTCAATAGCATGTATTCATTTCACATTTTAAGATTAATTACAGAAATAGATTAACTTTAGAAGAAAACTAATATTCCAAGTTTCACCTCTAGTCAATTTATGAAGTAAATAATTGTAAAATGTCAACAATGGTTTGTCAATGATTGTCAATTTACCACTACATTTTCTAATTGAGAAAGCTAAGTATTGTTCCTTACCCAAAACCCCGCCACAAACAATCCAGCGTCTGAATCCCATCATTTAGACGAGCAGAAAGTTCCTCTATAGTTGATTTGCCAAAAGTAACGGAGTAATGTATTTTTTGCAACCTAAGTTTATTCACCAAGCTAGTAAAATGCCAGAGTGAGTCTTCTGATTCTCAGTTTTGATTGGTCGGGGACATGATGGTATCAAATAGGAAGCAATTTGACACTCGCACGCATAAACATCAAGTCATTTCCTGTGTGAAGGTAATGGTCGCTCCACCACTGTAGCTCGGAGGAAGATGAGGTCTATATGCCTAAATATATTGTGATTTTGATTTTTATGGGGGTTTTTTAAGTGGCAATATGTAAGATTTTCATGTTAAGTCATCATGAAATGGTCCTTATCTGTCAAAAAGAATTAATAAACCATGCTCTTTTCCAATACTTCTATATTGATAACAGTAGTTCAGATGAGATATGTAGGTTTCAAAATTAGTTTTACAGCCCCTAAATGTTGTTATTATTTGACCTCCACCGTTTTACCAATCAGAAAGTCCGTGATCCAGCTGCAGAACTACAAAAGGTCTCATTATAATTCTCAAATCATTATTGACAAAATAAGGAATAAAACCAGGATTTCTATTGGGGCCTTTGTGAAAAAGGTGTTGGTTATAGATTTGTTGTTGACAAAACTCTTGTCTATTCAGTTATTATGGTCCCAGCTGGATTTGTCTGCATATCTGGCAACCTGAGTCAGGGAGAGTGGAAGAGGTTGCAGTACCACTTTTGGCCAGATTTTTACATACTTCTCCTTTAAGATAAGCTTGTGAAAATGCTAACCTTTTTCAATATCAGTTACGAGGTTCTGCATACTGAGGTTGGACAGGAAGCTGTTGCCACGGTTGCGGGTCCACATTGTCGGCTGAAAACGTAGAAAATACAGTATACGTTAACAAATAAATGACATAAGTTTAAACAACTAGAACAATTGTATTTATTTATTTATTGCGAACCTGCACACAACACATTTTATTGTGTATTATGCAGACAAATAACTTGTATTTGGTTCGAAAAGGGGTTGAATGAGGCAGATGTTTATTGGATTCCAACCCGCGTCACACATAGACAATTTTAACAACATCATGCAGTAGAATTCTCAAACATACAACTGTACATACAAACAGTAATAATACTACCACCGATGGTATAAGACAGACAACACAACACACACACTCTGACAACACACAGGCCCAAACACTCTCCGACCCTACAACTCTCTCTCACTACTTGCTCCGTGCTTAACACATCACTCTCTTTCACACGTACCACATATTTCTTCAATACATCTCTTTTAAATTCAATCTGGTTTGAGCATTTCTTTAATTCAAATTAAAATCATTGATACAAATTCTTTACTTGTTTCATTAGAAAAATAAAGTTTTACCAATCAACTGTTTTGTTTGTTGATTGTTCCAACAAAAAGAGTCTTGAAAAAGTACAAGTTTTTGAATAAATCAGACCACAACATACTGTCCATCCATCCATTTTCTACCCTTTAATCCATTTCTGGGTCAGGGGGGTGGCAGTCAGAGATGCCACCCAAGTCTCATAGCACCAGCCCCTCACTGACCCTCTGCAGGTGGTGAGTCCACAGGAGGACGGCTGCTCTCTGACTGTGAGCATAGCCTTGATCTTTCAGTGGGGGCTTTGGGCAAAGTGGGGTTAAGTGTCTTGCCCAAGGACACAACGACAGCAGTCATCAGTGGGAGTCGGTGGAGAAGGTGCAGAGGTGGGAATTGAACCCACGACCTTCTGGGCTTAAGGCCAATGCTCTACCAACTGAGCTACTGTCACCCCTGATAAGATAAAAATGTATCATGTTTATCTTATCAGAAAACATGATACATTTTGTGTGCTTTGGGAGCTGCTTGACTGAGTGAGGGGTAAAGATGTGACAGAGGCTAAAATCTAGCGATAGAAGCAAACTCATTCAGTCAGGAGAAAGTTAGATTCATCTTATTCCATGCATGTTCTTACCCCAGCTTTAAAATATTAAAACTGTCTTCTATACTCACAATTCAGTGTTTGTTTGGGGGATTTATTCATATCTCCACTGTGAGATCAATAAGTGTTATCTAATCTTACACTTATAGACGTCATTGCGTCTCTTTTTTACAGAGACACTGGAAATCTGCAGTGTTGCACATGCAGACATTTAGAGTTTGTTGCAGACAAAGATGTGGAACATAACAGTTAAGTACACTTCATGTGCCAAACCAAAAGCTCTATTCAATCGCATAATAAGCTAATGTATACAGTATATATATATATATATTTGGAGACGTGGTAGCTTAAAAGTAATATTGTTACATTACTTTGAAATAACAGCAATTTTTGAGGTAACACACCCAACACTGGTCTTATCTTAGCTTTAATACATCCTATAGAGCTCAATGAAAGTAATGTCTTTCTGTGTAGAGTGCGGTACCTCCTCCTCTTGTGCGATGAGGATCTGTCCCTGCTCCAGGACACAGTTGCTGATGTCCCACAGAGGAACCTCCTGAAGCGGAGTCCACGACAGATCCGAGACCCCGGCCGGCTCCAGCTCCACCACATCTGGAACAGTGATGCGTTCACTTTATTATTACATGTGACACAATTGAAAAAGTTACAATTAAAGAAACTGTTATGAATGATCATAAAAATACACATGGGGTGGGAGTTTACACGTTTTTCTTCTTCCTTACTCCCTTTCGAGCTCCGGGAACAAAATGTGTATAATAACTATGTATTAAAAAGTGTTTGAATATGTAAAGTTTGTTTTTCTCTGCTTGGGTGCATTAATAATGTAAATTGTATATTTGTTCATATAATCTATCCACTGGTGCACCAATGTACATTTGGATGCTTATAATATACTTAACATTACAAATATGTACCGTTTTAAGTAAATAAATGAATAATAACGTAATGAATAAATAAATACATTATTGTCGTCAGTTCTACAGCTCAAAGCTATTTTGACATATATGACGGCATGAAGGAACCGCTTTTGGAAGTGAAAAGATGTTCCCATAATTATACATTTGTAAAAAAAAATTGGCAGAGATGATTAAATTGATGTCACAAGAACGCAATCTTTTAAACAAAATATTATTAAATCTACACTTCCTATACTATACATGAACGACTATCCATAACAATTTTGCCTTCGATAAGTTATTGTAATTAAAGGTAATTACCCAACTTTTTTCAAGAATAATAGACTTGGTCTGTTCCAAAAAAGAAGAGTCTTGTAAAATTAAAAAGTTTCAAACAAATCTGACCACATCATGTTACATTCATCTTTTAAGGAAACATTGTATCTTTTGAATAGAAGAAGTAAGAAAGAGCCTTGTGAGTCGACGTTTTGGGCAAATAGCTGTTGGAAGAATTCTGACTAAGAATGTGACAGAGACCAACAAAAACATGCACATGAAATTTAGAGATAGAACCAAATAGTTTTGAGAGTTAAAGGAACCATGTTAATACTGTTAGATCTATTGTGTTACTGTGGTTTGAAAGTTGGGACTGCCAGCTTTAAAATTCGGTTAAATTTAATGAATATTTATTTGTCTATTTTATACACAAGGATTTTTGTTGCACACATCACTATTGTGTATTCAGTGATATGACAGCATTTATCTCACAGCGACCACTCCTGTTTGTGGGGTTACCACGGCGACTGATGGTATCGGTATGAACTGCCTACATCCTGTGCAAGAAGAGATATTTTTTCCCTTGATTTTCACAATCAAACTGTAAGCTCTGATTTTTGGAAGTCACTTTTAATTTACCTTTTTTCATACTTTTTGTTGTTGCTCATGACCACCATTTTACAGTAAATTTACAGTCCTTTGTTAATTCAATTTATATTTTCATAGCCCTAAATTACAACATCAGTCGTCACAGAGACCTTTACTTTACTTTACTTTAAGTTGTTGATTCCGCAGCAACAGATCAGAGAAACAGTTTGAACACAGGAAAAGCTATAATAGATAAGTTAACAATAGTAAAAATAGCAGACACGTCCAGAAATGACCAATGTAAATGTTATTACAAGTTTGCGTCAATAATTTAAGGTAGTATTTAAAGTTAATTATACTCTAGTTTCCAACTGTATATGTGTGTAATATTTTGGACACATTTAGTTACCGTGCAGCAGATGTGAGCAGTATGAAGCGTTAAGAAATATCCTTTTGTTGCCTCACATCCCTTGTACCCATGTTTGGTTTATGCAAGTGTTTAGGAATAAAATACTATAAAAGTAACATGAATAACACTGACAATGTTTACAGGACATGTGGAGTTATGTGTCTATACTTTCTTGGTTATGGAAAAGGTCAATGACAATAATTAATAATACCATTTACTCCACTTGAGTATGGAATAAAAACCTCTGAGAAAAAAAAGGGATCAAAAATCAAAGTAACAACAATGAAAGTATGGAGAAAAGGTCAAAATAAATAAATAATCAAACCAGTTTGAACAATTTGCTACATTTCCATTGGTTACTGAAGTTGGGGGCGGGGCTGGTTGAGTGGAGGCTACTGCCCACTCAATCTGGTCTCATTCTTCCTATTGTTTTTAATGCATTGCACTATACATAAAAACATAAACATAAACATCTTATTATGACATAAAAATGTCATAATAAGATAATTTTAAAACACTTGAGAAAATGACAAGACCCTAGAACAGGGTTTCTCAAACTGGGGTACGCGTACCCCTAGTGGTACGCGGGCGCCCTCTAGGGGTACGCCAAAGAATCTGTGAAAAAAAAAAAAAAAATCTGAAAAAAAAAAAAAATTTCATTTGAGGACAACATTGTTTTTCAATCTTTTCCTGTCAGTCTGTGTCCCCTGTATCATACAGTCTGGGGTTTGGCTGTAGACAGTATTTTATTAAGCCAGCAGGTGGCAGCAGAACTCCCTGGTTTGGTCAAAGATCACTATGAGCACTTTGAGCAGGAGAGACAGAGGTGAAGCAGACATGGAGTAATATAGTCAGGGTCAGGCTTAGGGCTGGGCGATAAAACGATAACGATATATATCGCGATAGACATGTGTTCGATATCAATAGAGAATGGGGTCGATAGAATGTTCGATAGTTTAACTTAACTCCGTCAGGAAAAACAGGAAGAAAACACCGGAAGTAAAGCCGACTCATAAGCGCATGGCATTGTGGGGGATGTAGGCGGAGGCTTCTCGACCAATAACAGCCGAGCAGGAACCGCAAAACTTTGTGGGAAATGCAAAAACAACAACAACCGCAGCATGCGTGGCGTCCATGGATCTATAGCTCGTGTTTCAATGCCGTGTCAATGGTTGTGCACGTACGTGCGCGGAATAACATGTGCGGCGGCAGAGGCAGTGGACAGACTCGATGTATTCGGCGAAAGCAAGAGATTAACTTTTTCCTCGGGAAGCATGTGCGGCACAGAGAGCCGCACGGAGCGGTCACGGGGACACAAGACCCTCAAACAGCTAAACCAGGAGCTAAACCAGGAATAAAAAACCAGGATTAAACCAGGACTAACAACGAGGGACACAGTGTGAACATATTTCTCCAGCCTCATCGCCCCGTGACTGTAAACAAGGCTGCTAAGGTTGGTTAGCCCACACGACAAATATATTTATTTAGGTAAAAAAAAAAAACTCAATATATATCGTTATCGACCGATATGAATGACTTATATCGTGATATAGTTTTCAGCCATATCGCCCAGCCCTAGTCAGGCTACATTTGGAGGCAGTTTGAGCAGTAAATGTGTCTCCAGAGCTGACAGAGACCATGTGGAGGGTCCTAGCAGCAGACCATGTGGAGGGTCAGAGCAGCAGACCATGTGGAGGGTCCTAGCAGCAGACCATGTGGAGGGTCAGAGCAGCAGACCATGTGGAGGGTCAGGACAGCAGACCAGTGGAGCACCTCAAAAAAGCCACAGAAAAGTGGACTATTGCTAAAATTATCACTGAGTCCACACCAGGAGCCAGCAGCAAAGTCCAGATATGTTCACAGCGCACGCCGGACTAAACAGACGCTCTGTAGATGTAACCACACAAAAACACACAAACGCGTGCATAAACGCACATACATGCACGCCCAAACACACAAAGACACACAGCAGTATTCTGTTGCACTTATACTATAAGTATAAGTATTCACTTTGATTTATTGTCATGTATAGTGTTTATCATTGTAATTTTGTTATTCTTTGATTTACTCTTATTGACATAAATATAGTGCCACCTAATGGATGAATACTGGCCATTCTATCTGGCATAGTTTGTCATGGGCTCTACTTTCAATATGAACATTTTTGACATTTTTTGGATGAGTACATTTTGAAATTTTTGAGCAACACTTTGTGGATGTGTGTGTGCCATAAAACTTATTATTTTACATTAAAAACACTTTCTCAAAACGTGTTGCTGTTTTCTAACATGTAAGATCCTGGACATGTTTGAGGAGATGCTACAGTTAAACTAAATAGTTTTACAATCACTTTTCTGCAGTTCGTCTGTTTTCACAAAAACCTCATTTTCTAATTTTTTTGTCTAAGACTGGTGCTTTTTGTCACACTCTCCTCTTTTCGACTGGAGATCACAGGAGAACGAAACAAACTAAGAACAAACCTCTTTTTTCTGCTGAAAGTAGACAGTCCTGTCTTTCAGACTCATATTCATATTTCATATTTTTCATAGCACACAATATTCTGTGAGTCTTAAAAATCAGTGAAGTCATCAAAAAATGGCTGGCAGTCAATGAGAACCTCTTTTTTGTGTACAAAAATTACATAAAATTATAAAACAGTCACATACAGATGATAAAATAGTCACATACAGATTATACAACAGTAACACACAATTTCATAAAAATACGGATTATAAAAACAGTTACATTTCACTGAAGATGTCTCAATCTGGATCTAAAAGCATTCAAGGAAATAAGATCAGATCATTTCTAGTCTTTTTGCAACACGTTCCATGTAGAAGGAGCAGGTTTTTTTTCCCAGTTCTGTGCAAAAGGAACAGAGAGTAACAAACGATCATTTGATCCAAACCATGAGAACATGTCTCTGTGAGTAAACGACAGATGTAAGAGGGCAGCAGAGCAAGCCTTAGAAACTAAAGTGCACCAGTGTCCAAACCTTCTGTGGACAAAGATCCCACTCCAGAATATCACTCACAGTGAGGCTTTGCAGTTCGCAATGAATGAAACATTTAAAACAATTTTTTTTCCTATATTTAAGCGCAGTCTTACTGTTGAAACTGTGTAAAATATTACATTAAATATACTTCTTTAGGAATGAAACCTCTGCCTTGTTATTGATGAATACTTCGGCTTACTACGCTACTGTGTGGTGTGGTCATTTGTGGTGGTACTTGGAGAGGCAAGTATTTTCTAAGGGGGTACTTGGTGTGAAAAGTTTGAGAACCACTGCCCTAGAACATCATTGGTGTTTAATCTGCCTTTAGAATATGACTATTTATGGTAATGAGTGGCAATTATATTTAAGAGAATTATCTGATGCTTATGAGTTCTGACTGTAAATCTATTTAAATCATTTGAACGCCTGTAAAAGAAGGAAAATGTAGTAAGGGGTAGGAAAGATAAGTTTTACTTCTACCTACACTTTTTTGAATTGTGTTTATATGTTTTTTATCACTACTACTACTACTACTACTAATATCATCACCAGAGACCACAGGGTATTTAACTGGGAGACACAGAACAGGAAAAAAACTCAAATTATTCACAAAAACTGAAATTACAAAATAAAACTATCTACCAAAATAAATATAAATAAAAATCCACACCACGGCTACAACCATGGACCCTCATTTTTCAACGTTTTTTTCTTCAACTTGCCTGTCGTCTCTCTGCTTATTTTCAAAAGTTGGGCCCGTGCACATCACACAGACAGGTTCTTACCATTGAGGAGGGCTGGGTTGCTGCTCTGGCTCTTCAGTCTGGGCCTTTTGAGTTTCTGGGACACTGTGCGCAGGTATTTCTTGAACAGTGCCCCTCCACCGGCCCCCTTCTGCCCCGGGTCAGTGGTAGGAGATGCCCCTAAGGCCTCCAAATCAGCAGCAGAGGAGGAGGAGTGCGGAGTGGAACTGCTGGACTGAACCACGGTGTTGAAGAGAACTCCTGGAGGCTCAGACAAGGCTCTTCTGAACGGGTTTTTCCTCCCTCCACCTGTGAGTGAACCCAGACGTTAAGATAAGATAGGATGAGGTAAAACATTATTGATCCCACAATGGAGAAATGTACAAATACAAAAACATAACTTCACATCATAAAATCACTACAGTTCAAGATGAAATTGTCCAGATTCACTGATCTTTACAAACACACTATTGATACCAAGGGGCATGAATGAAAGTTCTCTTATGTACAAGTGACCTCACACTGCCCTTTTTAATTTAGTTGTACATATTATATCTTGCACAAAATCTTTTGACTTTTTAAACATGTTTGCACATTTCCTGTCTTTTTCACATCCTGAGTGATTCTCTTTATGCCAAATGTGACAAATGTCTCCATTGTGAGATCCATAAAGTTAGGGTTAGGGTTAGGGTATCTTATCTTTTCTTAAATATATGGTACAGTACACATAATTATTGTGTATAACAATAGCCTGAGCTGCCTTTTTTCTTGAATAGAAACTGCTCTTTATTTAAACAACATCAAGTTTTAATGGATTTTATTAGTAATCTTCAGACTGCCATTTTGCAGCAACACTGTAAATGGAGGGACAACTTTTATTCACCACAAATCCATTTCCCACCGCAGCTACCCATTACAATATAAATCATATCGCAAAGATGAATAATATAGAAGTTTTGTGAAAGTGGTCAAGTAAATAGTGATTGTTTCTTGTCGTGTTTGAAGTCGTCTGGACTTTATAGGCCATTATCATGAATAAGTAAGTTAACATAATGACCATACCATGAGATTTGGATGCATCTTTTGATCCTTCTGCACCTTTTGATCCTTCTGCACCTTTTACTTTTGTCAGTATCTCTCCCGAGTCTTCACTAAATGCTTTGCGCCAATTCTGAACAGTTTTCCATTTGTTGGTGGATGCTTTGTGAAGTTTATCCATTGTAGAAGATGGAGAGGGCCCTGCAGCTGCTTCCTTGGCCTCCTCAGACCCTCCTTTGGACCCTGCGTTCCACTTATCTGTGTCTGCGGGGTCTGGTGTTTGAGGTGAATCCAGGGAAGATTCAAAGTCTTTGTCCATTGGTTCTTTCATTGTTGGATGAGCTATAGTTTCTGGTTCTGCCTCTTCAGTGCCCATTGCGCACCATTACGGATGTCTCTTTACCAACACGTAATCTTGATGTAATTTGAATATTTAGAGCTGTGGATAAGTCGTACCTCTGCTCGTTTTCGCCTCTTTTGTGTGTACATTTCCTGTCCTCCTCTGGTGCAGTGAACGGTTGTGTCTGTGGTTTTTGGTGCTGCAGCCTCCCTCTCTTTCACTCTGTCTGCTTCCTCATGTCACAAACAAGTTCACCTTTTCACTGTAATCTCTCTGCCTTGTTGAACTGCAAATGATTTTCACTTTCTGTCTATTTGATTATTTTTTCATTTTGTACAGTGATTTATTTAATTTCTATTAAATTTATTTTCCAAAGTTCAAGTTAGTGCCATATGAACCAACTTGGACTCTGAGGAGCACAGGGACTGACCAGAGTCAGGACTTAACATGGGGAGGCAGCGTCTCAGAATCTTACAGCTAAGATCTGGAACAATCTTCCTGAAAGTTTGAGACAGGCTTCTATCCTGATAATGCTTGAATTCAGTTTAATAACAGTTCTGTTTTGCTGCATATACAACTGATATATTGTACCTCACACTTCACTTTATTGTTTTGTTGAGTACATGGAGTTGCCTTGTTTATGAACTGTGCCTTTACAAATAAACTTGCCTTGCCTATTATTATTATTATAAATTGGTGTATGAGAATTACAATGCCCAAAAGCTCCCACTGAAAGATCAAGGCTATGCTCACACTCAGAGAGCAGCCATCCTCCTGTGGACTCACCACCTGCAGAGGGTCAGTGAGGGGCTGGTGCTATGAGACTTGGGTGGCATCTCTGACTGCCACCCCCCTGACCCAGAAATGGATTAAAGGGTAGAAAATGGATGGATGGATGGATGAATTACAATACAAGGTCCATATTATTGTAACATTACACTAATACCTGGGTGTGCAGTGTATCCTGTTGAAGCGGCACTTCCGGCCCTGAAAACCACTTCCTGATCTGGTGCTGTTTTCCGATGGCACCTGCAGCAGATAGAACAGATCTTTGCCTTGTTTTTAAAGGCCCCTACACTTTTAATGCTGGTTTTATCTATACAACACCATCAATAGGAAACAGTGAGAAATAAGTAACATGCACAAACGCTCATATGTCAAGTAAAGATCTCATTACGTTAGAGTAAGTAAGTTGGAAACCGCCTTTTCACTGCAGATCTGAGTCTCAAAGCGGTTTACAATTGTTAATTTTGGGCATTTGTCTCTCACTCCACACAGAGATGGGAGCGGGGTCGCCAGAACAGGAGGCGCATGCTAGAACTATTGGACATATTTTTAGTGGTAGGGGAAACCGGAGTACCCGGAGGAAACCTACGCAGACATGGGGAGAACATGCAAACTCCACTCAGAAAGGCCGTGGTCCGACCGGGATTCAAACCCAGGACCTTCTTGCTGAGAGGCGAGAGTGCTATCCACTCAGCCACCGAGAGTGCTATCCACTCATAGAAGAGTCTTCCTATATAGCTTTGTTTAGGGCCCCACCTGCTGGCAGTATTGCACTGATTTGTTGTCATTGTGAGAAGAAGAGAATTCAGCAGAGGGCACTAAAGAACAGTGTGATTGGTGGGTTCAGATAATATAATATATATAACATCAACAACATTGGACGGCTTTGGGGGTTTTTCTTAACATAACCCAACTGATTATTCTTTCCAAAATTCTGCTCCATTCTTAGATATTGTAGTATTTAACTATTTGGTCAATGGATGATTGTATTCTGTGTATTTTTTTCTCATTTGAATCTGACTTTTGTATACTGTAAATGACAAAGAGTGATGATTATGTCTGTGGCCACACCTATACATGAAAGCTTGACCTTGACAGACATCAGAAGATAGGCAAGGGCAGGGCCTGGGTACTATTGTGATGGGGGACCTCTGGGAACTGAGGCTAGACAGGATACAACAGTTGGGATTATATCTGTCTCTCCGATGGCCTGGGAATGCTTCAAGACTCCCCTGAATGAGCTATAGACTCCATCACATTCTGTCATTCTACAAATGTATCTCTGAATCATGGTGGCAAGATACACCACCACCCATCACATAATACACAAGAAGAAGAAGTGGATATTTTATGGTTAATGACTGTGGTGATGTAGAAACTGTCTGTTCACTTCTCAAAGTTAACCTGAAATTTCGTAGACCCTGAAAGAATATCTAAGTAAATTAAGTATTGTACTAGTAGTAAAATTGGTATTGGAAAACATTCAAATAAAAACTCATGCACTGCTAGTTACAGAAATTATAAGTATGGACTATAAAAGTGTGGTAGCTCCAGGACACATTTTACTTTTAAAGTAAGTAGGTTAAAATTATGCAAAATAATTAGTGCCTGGAGACTGGTGTGTGTGTGTGTGTGTGTGCGTGTGTGATTGGTGGTGTTTGGAGAGGTTGATAGCGCTGATAATCTACCCCAGGCCAGGGCAGTGCTGTGGCTTGATTGTAAAGCACTCCAAGTTGCCTTGCGTATGAAGTGTGCAGAACAAACTTGCCTTGCCTCTTCCACACTCAGCTCACCCATATCATACATTACACTGCATTTTTTTGTACATCCTCCTAAACTCAATGCCTCCCCTGCCACTGTACACAATGTCAACAGCTCTGACCTTTTGAGCTGGGGCTGCAATTTTTGCTGGTACATCCTGTGATTATGAGTGTGGTTTATGTCTATGTAATGAGTTCACAATGGCCCACATAATTCAGCGGTCAGTCAGCGCACAGTTAATGCTGGAGTGAACTGCAGCTCTGGCCTTTGAGACTCAATCGCCTTAGTGCTATCATCCGTCGCCATCGCCACTAAGCGGCTTACACAATTAGAAAGTGAGTGTATTAACTAATCGCAGTGATTTTGGCCACGTGAGACGCAGATGCGTTTTTAAACCATTTCCAATCAAACAGGAAACACCACTACAACACTTTGAACAATTCAAGATCAAAATCAATTTAGACAAAATAACTTACCAAATACTAACAGATTTATTACTGCTTTGTTAATATTTTTGTACAGTGATGGCGTCTATTGGTCCATTCATCCATTTTCTCCTGTGCGACACGGTTGGGTTCAAATCCCGGTCGGAACGGGGCCTTACTGAGTGAAGTATGCATGCTCTCCCGGTGTCTGCGTAGGTTTCCTCCAGGTGCTCCGGGTTCCCCTACCACTAAAAACATGTACAATGGGTCTGGCATGCGCCTCGTTGTTTGGTGACCATTTCTGTGTGGAGAGAGAGATAAATGCCCACATCAATTGTAAGGCGCTTTGTGACTCTGGTCTGTGAAAGGCGCTTTATAGATAAAGATCACTTACTTATTTACATTTTCTACTGCTTTATCCAGTGCCGGGTCGCAGAGGCAGCACTCTGAGCAGAGACGCTGACACATACTTCTCCCAGCTCATTTGGGGGAAATCCTTAGGCTTTCCCAGGTAGTTGAGAGACTCCAGCTTGTCCTAGGTTGTCCCAATGGTCTCCTAACAGTGGGAAATATCAAAAACACCTCTCCAGGAAGGAATCTTGGAGTTCCTCTCAACGTGAAGAAGTAGCAGCTCGACTCCAAGCTTTTTTTGTGTGTGACTAAGCTCCTCACACTGGCTCTGAGGGAAGGCCCAGCCACTCATTTTGACCATCTTATATCCATGTATTTGTGCATTACCAAAAGCAAATGGCCATAGCTGAGGGGGGATATGGATTGATTGTTGCCTCTTCCCCATAAAGAGACTGATTGAGTAAAGTGATAAAGTATGCGTATAAGTAACATTGCTTTTAAGTTCACCTTGTCTTCAGTAAGACCTCATTCAGCTCAATAGTGTACGGTTGTCTGATAAGGAGAATATAGAAGACATAGATTTTTTTTCAAATGTTTAATGAGCGTGGTGATGTAGTAATTGTCTTTTTTCCTCTCAAAGTTAGCCTGAACATATGTAAATAAGTAAGTTAAAATTATGCAAAATGTAGAAGTACAACTCAAGAGGTACCTCACCCCAAAAAAAATATTATGTGAGTATAGGCTAATTGTGTTGTTTCACCTATAGATATAAAATGACCTAAAGCAACTTTCCCTAATGAAGTACAACAGTGTATGATTAATCATTCATGCCTCAGTTTCTGTGGCATGGCTTGTTTACATGGCTCCTTTTACATGTGACAAGCAAAATACCTATTGGATTCCCACAGCAAAACTGATTGGTCCCCACCGGCTCATTCGCATGTGGCTGATGTCAGATGAGAAAGTTCTCAGTTCATCTGAAAAAAATACAGGTCACAACTCTTTGACCTATAATCAAGAGGAAGTTCAGCCCGCCTAAACATATGACTACTTGCATCCTAAATAATAACAATAATAGTAACGCTTGTAATGGCAAATCCTCATATTGGGTGAAATAAATTTGTGACTAAACTACACAAAGATATGATGACGCTGATACAAAAATACTACGGTATAAATTCATATTCACATGGGTCAAAAGGTGATGTAAAAACTGAATTACAATTATAATGAACTCACTATCAAACAAAGAATAATAATATACATTGTTTTATGATTAGTTTTAGTGTTGTAACTGAGGCGGTTTTCTGTCACTTCCTGTTGGTGTCTATAACTTGTTGACCCCTGTGGTGATGGAGTAGGAGGATTATTGAGAATGTCAGATCACATGATTCATTCATGAATCATACTGGAACTCAAATCAAACCTTTGTCAGCACTTGAGGTGTTGATTAACTGTCGTCTTGAAACCACTGTCAGGGTTTTCCTGACATTTAGCAATCTGACATCTAAATGTATCTGTTAAACTAGAGACTGTAGAGCATACTAGAGCTGGCCCTAAACTACTAATCCACATATTGTTTTTGAGGTGAACTAGCAACTGACCTTTCACAAGTCAGTCTTCCTTCAATTTTATCAATCAGTTGTTTAGAATGAAGATAGGATACCTTATCTATTTTCAAGTAAACGTTTTTGAAGTGAAGCCTCTTTAGAACATTCCAAAATATTATATTTCCAGTATAATTTTTCATCTGATTTTAATTTGTACTCTGTAGCCCTACAGCTCTACTTACATCACATATCCCAGTGAGTTAAATGTCTTGGAATCAAACAGGTGACAGTCTTACAAATATTTGAATTAATATTTACAGCCCTAGCTAGAATTCATGCTCAAGTAATTCACTTCACAAATAGTAAAAAGCCTATTGTTGATTCATTTTAGAACCAGAAAAGACACAATACTGGATACAGGCATGACACTGCTCTTCACGTGCTATTAATAAAGTGCTAACATGGTCTATACACATATTTTAGATGCTTTAAGCCTCGTCTGCTGGAATAAATCAGCCCAGATTGTCCTTACATCATTGTGATAGTGTTTGGTGTAATTCCTTTCTCCACCGCGGGGGTGCGCAGCTCTCTCACCGGGCTGATCCAAAGCCTTCACCGAAGAGTGGGAGGAGGAGCTTGGTAATCACAGAGCCATAACCGGGAGGAGGAGGGCAGCAGGACCACAGGCACATACCGTCCTCCTCCAGAACTGCTCGGCTTTATAACAACAGAGGGTTCTCACTGACAGATATATCTACGTTTCTCGTTCTTGATCTCTGTCGGAGTATTGCCTCTGATGCTAACTCTTTTGCATTGAAATGGCGAGTTACAGCTAGCATCGAAGCTAACCAGCGCTAGCTCTGAAAGTAAAGTGGGAATGGCAAGACATCCCACAAAGGAGTAATTGAAGCGAAACGACAACTAAATCCACGATTGTTTTTTCACTTTTAATTCACAGGTAAGGCATACGATGTTTTGATTATGGATAAAGTTAAGTACAAAGTTAGATTGCAGCATCAGTCTTGTTCCTGCTGTCAGTCCTCATACAAAAAAGCGTATATATTTTTCTATTGCGTGTATGTGCTCATGCTAAACACTTTCTCAAGTCCAAACAAGTTGATCAGCATAACGCTAAGTCAAGCAGTGTCTGTAATTTCTACTCATTCAATGGACTACACTGTATCCACACATCATAACAAACTTAAAACAGATCTCCTAAATTCTGTTCATAACATTTTCTCATTACAGAAACAGAACGAGAGACTTTTTATCATCGGGATTCACTATTAACTCTTCTATAATGCAAAGATAAAACTATTGCTCATGTTATGGCCAAATATGTGTAAACATTATTTCATATATTCTGAACGGCTTCCGTAGATTTTTCTGGAATATCATATTTTGTGATCATAAAGGAAACCCCTCCACACACCAAGCCAATCTATATGACCATTTATTTAACTCGAAAATGCAGATCTATAACATCCTTCTGACAAAAAGGCAAATGTCAATGTCATAATACTGATGTTTGTTGATACTACTCGTTTGTTTTGTTGGGTTTTTCCCCTTACTCAATGAAGACTGTGATTCTAATAATTCTAATTTTAATCATTATTTCCTCACATTTAAAGTAACAAAAAACAAGTCATAGCCTGTAATATCTTATCCCCCTTATGCACCTGCTGTGTCTTGACTATAAAAACAATATATCCCTGACTAACCTGGCCTGATTGTCTTGTTATGACTCGCCTTTTAAGTTTGCAGATTGATCTTGAGCCATGACGGTAATTACCTTAATTGTATAGTAGTTGCTAGTGCTAGAAAAGTGTTGTTCAAAGTGGATTATCGTGGTGCTGCTGCTTGGGTATTAGTCTTGCTTCCCTGATCCCTGTGTATATCATTAGTATCCTACTTGTAGCAATATGTAGTCTACTGCATGTGTAGCGAGCTAAAAAATGATGGGTCAAGACAGATTCATACAACTAAAAGGCTATGCAAAGTGTATTTTACTCTTGTCTGTGAATTAATTTGTGTCAGAAATGTGTTGACAATGCTTTGTTTTGTGTTTTGATACAATTTGTTGAAGGGACATATTTTGTTATTTCTACCTTCTCAATGGTTGCATCAGTGAAATCTCCCTGCTCAGTTGTTTTCTATTCCTATATATTTTTTAAGTTACACAATTATGCTTACTTTGGGAATCTTATAGCAATGCATTGAACTAATAGCATTGCAATAAATACTCTGGCTTTGAATATGTGTCTTCTTTTTGCTGGCATATATGAGCTGGTTTAGTTATGCCCCCAATAGTTTGTAAAGGCATGTCTGTGCAGTTGTACAGTCCATAATAAATTAGTTGAGAAATGCTGCATCCATTGATCTGTGGGATCGTGGGTCACCGCTCTAGAGACTTCTATCCGCACACATCACAATTCACTGCTCTTGTTTCCATATAAGGCATCTGTCCTTAACATGCCAAGCTGCTCTTTATGCTCTTATGAACACCTGCTGTCTATGAAGCAGCATGCGGTGCAGTCAGCCAATCCGCACTCCTTCACGTAATTACACACAGAGTTCCCGACTGTGGGCCAGATGCAGCCTTCGTACTGTAATGTTGGCTGGTAATGTGTTGCTGAAACCCTGCCAAGAATGAGCTGTCTTTCAGTTCACATGCTGATAGATAGTGTAGAGGTTTACATAAAGAGGTGAAATGTGTTAGTTAGTTTTGTTATATAGAATACATTTGGGGGATAATGTCGAAAAATATGGGTGAGGTCTTTGGGAGCCACGCTGTGTATGTAATACCATGCATAAAATTCTTGAATGTTGAGATAAGAGTTTATTTTTTTTTAGTTTAATGTACATCAAACATTAATTATCAGAAGCCACTACATAGAACTTTCCAGCAAATTATCCATTTATAATCACTTATTACAATACTGCACATGTTTGTTAGTTAGTTCCATTTATTTCAAACCTCCAGAACACAATTTCATATATCTTTACACCAATACAGGTTTGAAAAGGGGTTGGACGAAGCAGGTGCTTATTTGTATTACTAATAATGTTTAGTAGTGAGATCTATGTTTAATGGATACTTTATAAACTATATCCATCCATGGCATGCATCCATCTTCTTGAGCTTTATCCTTTTGTCGGCAGTCTGAATAGAGACTAAAAACTGTATAAAAACTTTATTAACTATTTTTTCAGTCATCTCAGAGGACTTTACAAAGTCGCTGTTTTGCCTACTCAGATCAAAGACTCAACCAGCTCAAACACAGGAAATGCAATATTTACAAACACATAAAAGCCATTGGTCCATAAGGGGAAGATGACCAATGTAGTTTTGTGAAAGTAACAAAACAAGTACAAAAATATTGGATTGTAAAAATTGGCTTTCCTGATTTTCTTGTTTACATCAGAGCTTAATCTGGAGCAGTATTAAGCCTAAACATGTTTCAAAGTTGTGTAAATCATAGTACAGAATTATTCAAATAGTCTTGAGATTATAGTAGTTAAAGTTACAATTTGTCAAAGCTTTATGTGAGTTTAATGGTTAAGAAACGCTTGCGTGTCAGAACTCTTAACTCATGACTCTGTACTTGCGGCAGAGACACTCTCCAGTCCAGGCCATCACGCCAAATACTCCTATTACTGTATCTGAAATTCTGAATCCAAACATAGATGTCCACCCAGTTTAGAGTGCTGTTCTTGGTGCCGTCTTTCAATGGATGGGATATTGTGTACTTGTGCCAAAGGTCTTTACTACGTGATTTTCAGCTTGAATTTTTAATGCAGCTCTACACAACAATATCCAGTAAATCTCGCAAAACTCAACAATCACATATATCTAATTACTACTACACAGCTTAGAGATTGACTCGGTTTTAGAGTTTTTCCTTGCCGATGCAGGAGGGTCTGTTGGACAGTTGGTGTCTAACAAGAGGGACCCTTTAACATTCTACAACTTGTGCGGACATTTATCAACATTCATGGACATTGGTCTCTCCCTATGGACCAATATATATGTGTTCTATATATTTTGACTTAACGGTTGATTCTCTGATCTGTGTTAGTGATTTCAACGGTTTTGTTAAGTCCTCTGAGATGACTGCTGTTGTGATTTAGGGCTATACTACAAGAATAAATCGTACTGTAATTGCATTGTATTCTATTTGTATTCTTACTCCCCAGATCCGTCATACATGCTAATACATCCCTGTGTCCTCAGGTTGTTGGGGTGAACGTCGTCTCCACCATGGTGCAGAAATACCAGTCGCCCGTGCGCGTCTACAAGTATCCCTTCGAGCTGGTGATGGCGGTGAGTGTTTTAAACCTGTCATTTCAGCCTCGGGTTTGAAAAGAACATGAATATCGCATGCTATAGATGAGCTGTTATGTAACTCTTTGTGGAGGGGTCAGCAGGTAGTCCTTGAATCACACTACACACACACACACACACACACCTTTTCTGTGCGGTTTCTCGATGGCTCCCTGAAATGATGTAGGCAAACTAAGGCTATGGGCTCCTCACACAGCCTTTGCATTGACATCACCCTGTTTGCAGAGTGTGATGTTGTTTTAGTAAACGCCATGCAAACACGCTGGGAGCATAGGAATTTTAAATGGGGCTTTGAGATGGAATTTAGACTTCTAGAAATGCAAGAGAAATCATGCACTCAATAAAACCATGTAATAACATAGTTCACTGTTTATGTCGCCACCCAGACAACAGCAGCATGTGGACAAGTGTAAATGAAGTGCAAAAATACATGTGACTGGAATATTTATACAGGGCGCAATCTAAATGTATACACCCAGCATAACTTAAAGTCGGCCCAACCTTTCTACACACAATATTCAGTGAGTAACAACATTCTTTCTTAGGTAGCCAAGTGAGTGTCGCTAACACTACTGTATTTAGTTTCTCTTCTCACTTGTGGTGGATAAAAGCATTTTTCTTGGCTTCCTGGTTTGACTCGACATGTCAATAGGTGTAATAGTTTCTTTGGCACACCCTTCACTGTTTCCGGATCACTTCTCTTTGTTGTTATCGCTAATATTATTCTCCGTTTGCTGTGATTGCTCTGGATATTTTGAATTCCTGAGTTTGAACATGATGTCTTTCGTGATTGTGAAAGTAATGGATCTTTCAATTGATGAATGTATTGTATTTCCTTCATTTGATTCTATAAATATCAGTTTTGCGCATGGCATAATTGCGTGTACCTTATACTTTTAATCTATAATTTTTTTAAACTTACAAAGACCACAAAGCAACAAGATTTGCACTCGTTTTACACCGGGCACTGCTCTAGTATTGTCAAACACTGATATTGATATTTATACTTCATACCATTATCATAGAGTTGTATAATTTAGTGTATTTTGACTTAAAGTGTCCCCATTGAAACAACATTTATGAGCCTGCCTTTGGCTTTGACCCTTTGACCAGCTTCCCTACATTCACATACCTTTTACACAGACAATACAGTGTTCTACATTCATTTTAATTTGTGCCAAAGTGAGATTTTTTGGAGCGAAGCAATTAGACACTAACCAGGCCAGCGCATGTAGCAGGCTAAGCACTTCATTTCTAAAAGTGTTCTGACACATTTATGGCTTAATCACAAAATTGCACTGTCCTGATTGGATATATTTGATTGCAATTTTGCCCTTGATTCAAGAGGATTGCAGGATTGAGGTATTATTGCAAAGTACATTCAATACTTTTTTTCTGTCAACCAATGCCAAACCATACACTTCAAATGCTGTTTTTACTACTTTTTAAAAACGCAAAGTAAGAACACAAGCTTTACCTGCCGCTACAGCACTGGTCTTAGGTCAAATGCATGTTTCACTTCTCAATGCACTAAAAGCATATTTGGCATGTTAAAAATTCAGTAGTTTTTCTTTTTAGCAAGAAGCTGACTGTAGATTTTCAGCAAGGCAAGCCGAGGCTAAGGGCATAAGGTTCATTTTTGGAATGTTTGGCTTTATGCGTTTGGCATAATGCATGAGGCGTGGAAGTATAATTTGTTTGGCTTTTTTTAATGTAAGCGGATCATTCGGCACACCTTTTTTTAATGTGTTTAAACAGCCGTACACATTTAGCTCAGGTGCTGCTTTCTTTAAATGGAAATAAGCCTTTCCTAACCAGATGGGAACAGTAAATCTCCTTAACTCTGGCTAGTAGCACTCGGCTAACAGCACACAGCTATAAATAGGGGGTTGGTCCACTCCACCTGGGTCTGAATGAGGCGCTTGGGGGACAGTAACAGGAGAGACGAGTGATTTGTGATCTGGATGTGACCATTTCGCAGTTGCCTTGGGTGCTTCCCAAACTAGGGCAGGGTTGGATAAGGTTCATGGTGAAAAGAAAATTGGGTCTTGCAAGCTGCTCAGTGACAATTCTTTGCTCCTCTTTGATTTATTAAGCGTATATATATCTTCCATGAGTCTATACTTTGGTCAAGAATAATTGACAGTCTGTGTGTGTTGTCGGAGCTCTTCAGAATTATGGGTCTTTTAGTATAAGTAAGTTCTCTCTGCTGTGAGTGTTTTGCAAACGCTGCAGAGTCGACGTAATGGTGCGTCACAAGAAAAGCTTCTGTTTTTGTTCAAAACAGTTCTATAGAATATACCCTCTCACTGTTGCACCAATCAATCCTATTTTGTAAATACGGGAGATGTTTCGGGCATAATATAGAACATGTTTTGTTTACGACTCTGAATGTGCAACTATAATCAATCGGGGAGTATTATTTCACAACATTTCACAACATTTCAATCACAATCCATTGATTTTCCAATGGATAGATTTGATACTTTGATTTTGAACCACAATGACAATTTACAAATGCTCTGTTTGGTGAAATAAGCGGCAGTGCTGTCAGACGTCCAAGAGTGATTCATATTGGGAAAACATTTTATTTATTTATTTATTATGGATTGCCCCTTGAGATGAATCATCTCTTTTTCGATGGAGTCCTTTTCATCTGTTTTCTCTGCCCAATGGCTACAAAACAAAAGTTACATAGCCAGAAAGAACAGACAAGACCATAAGCACATGCAGTACATCAAAATGGCAAAGACAAACCCGAGAAGATATACATCCATCCATCCATTTTCTTCCGCTTCATCCGTTGCCGGGTCGCGGTTAGATTAATATTCAACTTCCTAGTACCTTTTTATGGTTCCACAGGGTTTTACAATACTTTCTAATTTAGATCCAAATGCTTCTAAAACACCCATACTTGATCATTTTAGTACCCAATTTTCTACTTCTTTGAGAGTCTGGTTTTGATATTATTTTCATTCATGGATAATTTCTGATTTTTGATTCCTTTTTAGACCTTATACTGTCCATTGTTTCCTCAGGTTTACACTGTGAGTCTGTGATGGCACGATCCATTAACATTATGTAAATCCATCGACATGGTATATATGTCACAATTGCTCCACTTGATGATATTGCCACTACATTGAAGACAGCCCATATATTTACTTAAAATATATACATTGTTTACTGTGGGGGGCATTAAGTTGGAGCCACCATTCCTTAGCTCTTTTTTATTATTTGTTTTGACATTAACTGGATTATTCCTACACCACTTTGTTTTTGCCTGCAGCTCTTAAAAGCAGGTATGTAAAATATTTCTCCGAGGATTTCAACCTGACTCATAGCTGCCGCTGCCTTTTGATCTGGAGGATTATATTTGACAGTTTGCTTTGAAGAATTTGGTACTTTCTTTTCCTTTTGAATTTGCCTCTCCACACGTTTTTTGACACAGCATTTCATCCGATGCTACTAAAGTCATTCATTTTCTTCACATTCCTTTTTAATGAAGATTTGATGAAACAAACCCTCAACGTCGCATAAAGTCACTCAACGCTGTGACAGGTGCTTGGCTGTTTGGATCCTGAATAATTCATTGTTGCATAATCTTGGATGGCGTTCAGCTGTTTGCATATTCTCCCAGGTAAAACATGTACCCACATCTGAACATGGCATTCCTGGTATGTTGACGGCTTTTTGGCACATTTTACGCTTTGCTACAAAATTGGGCAATAAATCTGTCTATAGTTTAAGAGAGGTTCCCACTGTTGTTTAGGAATAAGCTAAGTGATCACTGCTTAAGTTAACTTGACAACACCAGCCCTAACCCTGAATTACAGACACTTCTTCGAACACTCTTCCTTGTGATTTATAGCCCTGGGACAGTTTGTCTTTTAAAAGCCTTGAGTCGCTTCAGAAGAAGTGAAAACCACACCACAGCAGTTCTTGGTATTGACTTGTGTGGCCACTGCCGGACCGGATCACGTAAAAAAAAAAAACAGGTTCCTTCCTCTTAAAATGCAGATCTTACAAGCATTCTACATCTTACAGTGAAGAAGTGAGATAAGAAAACGGTTTGGTTCTATCACTTGTTTTCACGTGAATGTATATTTGACCTGTCACATTTTTTGGTGAAGACTGAATATATATTACCTAAAACAGACTTCTTTTTTTTAATTCTTCTTTTTTAAACAGAATATATTTACAAGATAATGATTTATGATTACCAATTAGTTTAAGTTGATTATAATATCTTACTATCCATTATTCCCTTCTTATTATACGGCTCCTCACAGCAGCAGTAGAATGCTCCATTGATTTGAATGTAATTTAAAAACGTTCTACCGGTCATTATTTTCTATAACGGACCTCTCAAAACAATAATGACCGCTGCCCATGGCAACGCACTCTCTGCTTGTCTTTCAAATGCGTGGATAACTCCGCAAGTAGTTCCGGCCACTCCGGAGCTAGCCACGCTCAATCAACACACTTAAATGTTAATCGGAGAATACTTATACATATACATTCTTCACACACGTGCACGGAAATTTTCAGAATTTTCTGGTCTTGTCTTCATGACAAAAATACTATTTCTCTGCGTCAAAAAGCGATCGTGAAAAAAACCCGGAAGTAGTTCTGGCCGCTCAATAAACGCAAATGCCAATCAATCAACGCAATGAAATGTTAATCGGAGAGTAATTTATACATATCCAGTCTTAATACAAGTGCACGGAAGTTTTCAGAATTTTCCGTTTACGTTTTCATGACAAAAACACTGATGTAATGCGAGAAAAGGCGATCCCGAAAAACCCGGAAGTAGATACCGGCACATTTTAAGATACCGGCACATTTTCGGACACATTTGCAGAGGATCGAATTATGGATTTAGGTTAGGTTTATGTATGGGTCACTCACTGCTGATGTTCAGAATTCTTTGTTCAGTTTTCATGCAGTTCCAGAGAGTTCTAGTTTGGAAGTTGCCA